TCAGTAAGTAAGTTTCAGGAAAATATACTTCCATTGCTGTAGAAAAGGCGATCAAAGTTTCAACTTTGACCTCGGTTTTCTGGAAAACTGTCCATCGGAGGAGCTATTTAATAGTACCGATGAATTCAGTTTTTATGTGGTTTTATGTACAAACCGCACTAAGTAGCAACTCTCAACTTAAATGTTCGCGATTTTTGCAGTACTTTTCGCATTTCTTTTGCAAGTTTAACCAGAAAGTTGGTTTGTTAAATAAGTTGTTATTTGTACATGCACAACCCAAATATCATAAGCCAAATGCACTAATGAAAATTTATGAAATTGAATTGAATTATTAAGCGATAAAGGATTCAATCGGCACAAGAATGATGACTGTAGTTGGTACTATGCTCGAAATATCGAAGCTCAAAGTTTTAAGCAAAATGGCCAAAATTGATAAAAGTATTCAATCCATCATGGGAGACAACAATTTTTTGGGCAAATAATAAGTTTCAGCTCGCTAACTCTTATGGTCATAGAATGCCGTCGGTTTAACTTAAAATCGAGCTAATCGATAACCGTTAATCGACATTTAACATTCTACTGATCAAGCAGAATCAAATATTTTAAATGACTAAACAAAAAGCGTAAGGTAGAAAGTAGGAGTGAGTTAGGTAGATTATCATAACGTTTGCTAAAACATGAATAAACAAACAATGTTACCATAAATGATGTTTGTGTTAACACATTGATTACATATCAATAGATGTCTCTCTAATGTACAGAAAAACAATTTTGTTCTTATAGCAATGAATTTTAATTGTCTTGTATCTTTTAAGCCGGTCGATTTTTAATTATGAATAGACGACAATTAATTCTGTGGATTAATTAACAAATCAACATTGTTAAGATGCAGTTAGATGACCTTCCACCTGAATGTTTACTAGCCATTTTAGAAAGGATTACAACGTTGGATGAATTGATCAGTTTAACTAAAGGTAAGCCTTTGATATTAATAAATAAAATTGAATAGGAAAGCCTTGAATTGCTTCTGTGTCCAAAACAAGCCGACTTTTATTACTGTCGATGGGAGGTTTCGTCAATAAAGTAACATTTGTGAAGATGAGATGATCCTAACTTTGTAGATTTTAATCGAGTTTCATTGTTTCTGCCAGTTGTCATTAACAATTTGAACATAGATGCTGCAAAGCGCCACATTTGAATACATTTTCAAACTTTCAGTTTTGGATTATTTAACCAATTTTGAACTCTACTGAAGTGAAACCATCTAATGAATATTTTTTTAAGTTTGTCGCAAATGGGAAGAATTGATCATTCACAGACTTAGCAAAGTCAAGTATATTTTTGGTGAGTTAATCAATTAGCAAGTGGACAATTTCAAACCAGCAACTAATGAATACTTTATTTAAGGCAATGAAAATGGCCATTCTTCACCAGCTACTGTTTACATTGGTGAAGGCAAGTTTTTAGAGAGTCCAAATTTCTTACAATTTATTCCTAATCTTAGGGTGAGTTAATATTAAATATGCTAATCTTTCTCAATTTTCAATTTACCTTCCATCTATCCATCCACATAATAATATTATCATTTTTATAATCTATTTACAGGTGCTTGATTTGTTGTTCCAAAAAGGATTCACTTTGAAAACGTACCATCAAGCGTATGAAATTATTGGTAGAGCTAAGAAACTGAAAGGCCTAATTTTTTATTCACTAGCGATAGTGCCTAGTTTGGCCAGTTATTGTGAGACTCCTGAAATGGTTGCAATAATTCATCCGGGTGTAACTTGGTATCAAAGTTTTGCTCGTTTTAGTTCCAAAGTGAAACAATTGTTCGTTGAAAGTGCCCAAATTAATGATTTAGCATACATGAATCTAGATAATCTAGTGAGGTTACATTTTTCCAATATTGGAGGCAAGTAATTTGTGGACATAAAACAACAAAGATACAACATTTAACATTAATTTATTGAATTTCTTCATTGACAGATGATCTACATTTCTATGAAGGTCCGATTTTAAAAAATCTTGAGATACTGGAATTTAAATCGTTCTTGTGGGCTCCGCACTGTCGTAGTCTAGATGTTTTTGCTGGTTATCGATTACTCGACTTTTGCCCTTCATTGAAATCAGTCCACCTTTACGATATATCTAAAAATCAAACACCTAATACAAATAAAATAAATCATTCACTGAGAGATTTGGTCATTGAATACTCCGTAAGTAATTTTTAGTTTTTATTTTATATTTGATGATAGATTCTGGTAATTTTCAAGTTACAAGTAAAATGGGCAAAGAATCAATCTAATTTTTATATTTTATTTTCTATTGTAGGGTGAAAGCTCTATGAGTTTTGAATCTTTAAGAAATTTTCTTTCAAAGTACCCAAAGCTGAAACATCTTGCAATCCGGAATTACTCAAACATTGGAGACGCCAATTTAGTCGATTTGATGAGATTGCTGCCACATTTGGTAATTCTTGATTTACGTCGATCGCCTGGTATAACTGAAAGCTCAGAAAAGATTGTTCAATCTTATTGTAAACGTCATGGCAGAACAATCGAGTTTCACTTTTCTTGCGGAGAAACAGCTGATGTACCAGAGATCCCACCAGCGCAACGCACTAATCGATTGGTTGAAGGTTTTGATTTCATGAAATATTGTTTCTTTAAACATTTCAATGAGCTTCCAATGTTAATGGACACAATCAACCTTGAATGAATACTGGTTTATATTACGTTGAAATCATATTTACGCTGCTATGTACACAAATAAGTTACTCGGTTCCAGTAATCATTTCATTTCACATCATTTCACATCGTTTCACCTTCAATAAGATAATCAAGTTTACAAGAAATTTTTTACTTTGGTTAACAATGATAATCAACTGGATTGAACATCGTTTTTTTAAATCATTTTTTCCGATATCTCTTAATACATTTGTATTAACAGTAATCCTATCGCTACCTTAATCTGATTACCCCCTAAATAATTCTCGATTCCCTTCGAGACAAAAACATTGATGATAAAACATCAGTTGATCTTTTTTCTGAGTCCACTTTCTTTGTACCTGTATATTGTGTTCATTTATATATATTTACATGAAGACATAACGTCTGAAATCTTCATAATTAATAATCAATCGAAAGTAAACAATTCAAAATGAGTGAATCTTCCAAATCAACTCCACTAAAACCAATACTGTCTTTCAGTGCAATATTTTTTTTCATTTCTGTGCCATTTTTCACAGCCAATAACATTCAGGTAATTAATTTAATTTTATGTTTTATGCAAATTCATTAATATGAGCTTATTTTGTTTATTGACAATGCTTCTTGAACCATTAATTTTGCCTAAATTGTTGCAATGAACAAAACTTTTCCAAATAAATTGCGGTAAATTTAAAAATTGATTTTAAATGTTATTGAAGTTGAATTTGATTTGTTCATTATGCTGACAGAACGATTGAGCTTTTAGTCATAAGATTCCATCTTACCTAACTGAAGGCTTGATTTAGCAGAAACATTTATCAGAAAACACAAAGAAACCTTGAGGTATCAAATTGTTTATGAATTTTCAATGACTTTTGTCAAAGATCTTGAAAGATTTCATCATGTTTTGGAAATATAAGCTCAGTACATGATGATGATACAACCTGTTAGGCTAATACAACCAATTCGCATTGAACAACCCAAGCTAAAAATATAGAGAGCTTGTCAAAAAGTGAAATGATATTTGTCAAACACAAATTCAGGTTATATTTTTGTTTTCAAACTAATCTCTCAATAGTTTTAAACAGTCAAGTAATTATCGATCAGTCGCTAATTTGACCTCAAAATGGATTTGGATATTTGCTTTATAAAAATCACCGAATTTAGTGAAAAGTCTTGAATCTTGGACTGTGAGCGTTTTTCAAAAGGTGATTTACCTTTATTTAAGCCCCTATCAATAAGTAATGTGAAACTGTAATCAATGTTTTTTTCGCGCTCATAAATTATTCAATAAAATCATATATTCTGATAAAGCAAATGTGTTAATTCATATTTTGTTTGCAAATCGGTGATTAAAGTTGACAACTAATCGGTAGTAAAGTCTCAATTTTGATGATAAATTGCAATACCTTACATGAATTGATTTTTTTAGAAAATTCAAATAAAAACAAGACTGAAAATTGATATTTTGCAGTCGGTAAAGGAAAATATTCCTTATCTACAATTTCGAGCTTTTCAGCTTTTCATCTCATCTCAATTTCTCTATGTATTTTTAACATGAGGTTAGCAAAATTTTTTAAAAAGGAGCTCATTTCCCAGAGCTAAAGTCCAGAAAAGATGGTCAATTTAATTATGCTGAGTTACGTATCAAATTGAATAACATGTTTTGCGAATCAAAATGGTGTACCATTTATCTTTCTATGAATATGCCTAATTCACTGAAATGGGTGAATCTTCATGAGGACTTTACTAACAGGTCACCCTTCAAGTGACAAAAGTTATGAAAGATTTTCATCTTACAATCTCGATTGGATAGAACCAACTTTCATCATTTAAAAAGCTACAGACTGTAGAGACACAGAATTTTAACAGAACAAAAACCAATTTCCAAATGACCAAAAGTTACAGTAAAATTGTCAACGTTCAGGGCAGACTTCATTTGTTTCACGAAATTTTTCAATGTTATTTGAACGGACTTTTAATAAATTCAAGTATACAAATGACTCAGATTTGAAAAATGAGAATCAAACGACGAGAAAACTGCAATTCTCTTATAAATCGAGCCGAAACATTACTATAGCGTTTGTTGAGATAGTATTTTCCAAATGCGATGATAATTGATGCAAAAAAACAGAAATCAAATGCAATTTCAATCAATACAGAATCTTAAGATTAACTAACTCAACAAAGTTCTTCTCAGCATAAATTGTTACTATTACAATTAAATTTGTTTCTTGTTTAGGTACACGTGGCTCATCGTTGTACATTCAGTATGAATGAAAGTTGCAAATACGTGGCTTTCAATGATTTGTTTACGATCAATTTTCTCCGAATTAGTGAGATTTAATTCTGTATAGTTATCGATTTGATTGATTTTAGATAATAAAGTCACACTGAAAATGGGTTAATCCACGTTTCTTCAATGATAAGCTTGCTTGGCGTCAATTCATTAATTGATCTTTATATTTTAACTTGATTTTGACTTTTACAACATTGATATTTATTCATAATATTATCTCTTTGTTCAATCATCTTTTATCATTCAGCAACTTGTTGCGGACTCAATTAATGACGATTATAAGGATGCTTGGGATGGATTCAAATGGAGCGGTTATGTAAGCTTAGCGATACTTTATTGGGCCAATGGCATAACACTTTGGTTGACACCTTCATTGATCTCATACATTAATTCAAAACGGGCAATCGCTCTGGGTGCATTTGGTTTCAAGTAAGACATTTATATAAATTCAATTCCTAATCACATTATCTATTATTGATATCTTATTGAAATCGATTCACCTTTCTTCATTTCCAGTCTTTCACTAATAACTTTCATGTTCCCATTTAAGTATGGCTTGTACTTTTCAACAATCCTTTCAGGTTTAGCAACATCAGGTAAGTTGAGAATCAATTTTACTCTTATGCACCAAACCAAGTACCATTTCCATTGAACATTTAACACAAAAAGTGCGAATGATACAATACTGGTTAATTATTAATAGATGATCCATCAACAGATTAGCTGGATTTACATCCACGAGATTTTATGTTATCGGTTAATCTGTTCAAGATGGTCTGCTGTCGATAAGCTTAAGAATAAGATTAACATAAAATTGATGCTTATGACACGTACGAACTGAAACTCAGCTGATTCGGATATATCAAGATGATTAGGTGTTTAGAGAAGCATGAGAGATCCCAATCATATAACTTTCAAGTTGCCAATTATTTACAACCAACATTTTTTTCAATATTCACCCATTTATTCTTTGATTCTTGGCAAAGTCATGTGGAATGGCCAGGGTTCATATGTGTCTACAATCAGTGATGACAATAGTATCACTCGAGATACTGGCATATTTTGGGCATTCTTGCAGTGCGGCACTGCTGTGGGGAACGTTGTTGTTGCCTTTTTATTTCAAAACACTGACCATATTGAAAAAACCACTCGATCTGTTTTGTACTCATGTTTAATTGGCTTCGGTTTAGTCGGCATTTTTCTGTCCTTTTTCCTGAAAACGCCATCCAAAGAAATATCTGAAAAACCTGTGAAAATGTTTGGTGAGTTGAATGCTTGTAGTAATTAGTAATTTTTTTTGTGCAATAACATTATATTTTATCAACTTTTCATGATTTCAATAGTAAAATCGGTTAAACAATTGGCCACAAAGAGACTTGCTTTATTGGCAATCACATCTGCTTACACTGGTAAAGTATAATTATAATTATAATGATAATAAATATAATATATTATTATATTTTAAAATAAATATTTACCTTTTTAAGTTAACAGTTGAGGCAAAATAGGCTTTATTTGCACATTTGATAAGCATTTTTTCGTTATGCGGTACGATGTTTGCATTGTTTGTTGCCTAGTTTATAGTTACATATACAATGAATAATGATTTAACTCGTTGATTGTTCTATTAACATGCTCTCATTACACTCAATTCAGGTTTGGAGACATGTTTTTTTGCCACTCTTTATGGGACATCAGTTGGATTTACTAAAGCATTTGGGAGCCACAGGAAACAGCATGCTGGAGAAACTGGAACCTTAATTGGTAATTATTTTTATGCTGAACATATTTAACATGTTGATAATTTTTTCAATCGTGTCTATCATTTAGGACTGGGTCAAGTTTGTGCTGGACTTTTATTGATATTAACACGAAAACACAAAAAGCCAGAGTTTATTTTGATAATTGCTTATGTGTTGTCATTAGTGACTTTCACATGCATCTATCTGAATATTCCCGATACAGCAACGCTTGGAGACACAGATGAACTTGCAGTTATACATTCGAGGTTTGTTAATGTTATTGAATAAGCATCTAGAGTCATTGTCACCGAAGATTTCGCTCTTACCTATCCCCAGACATTCAGCATGATGTGTTGACCATTTGATATCAACTCATCAGCTTGAACTGAAAGGGGATTATTTTATAACCGTAGACAACCTGAATCTAATCGAATCTTTATATTGATATTCCATAATTTAAATCAAATGGATTTATCTTTTTTACAGTTTGCCGTTGGCTTTGATTTGTGCATTTTCACTAGGATTTATTGATGGATGCTTCGAAACACAAATCTTCCGATATATAATCAAATTTTATGCCGAAGATAGTACGGGTCCATTTGCCATTTATTTGAGTCTTCAAGCCTTGGCGATGGGATTGATGTATCTATGCTCTGGTTCCTTTGGTATCCATTTTCATTGTATCATGTTGAGTATTACTTGCACTATTGGAACAGCTTGTTTCTTCCTTAGCCTTAGAGTTAAAGACTCTGATGATAAAGTCGAGGATAATGTTTCCAAAACAAACTCTCATGAGCTTTATACAATAGAGACAAACACAGCACAACAAATAAGATCAACAAATTAAATGTTCATTCCAGTCAAGGTTTGAAATAAGAAAAAAATGAAATGAAATTTATTAACAACTTATTGGTTACATAAGTTTTACCATATGGCTTTTGTAAGTTTGGTTGAATTGATTTTAAACTTAGATTTCGATTCATCGCCAATCCTTTTGATCGATATCGATAATGAGTAAGGAAAGTTAGAAACAAAAAAAACAAATTATAACGCAAAAATATGTCTAATTTCACATCTTGGAAGTAGTCGATTGGATGAGAAATTACGGTTAATTTTATTTGTCGTCTAGAGGATCCATCAGGCATGGTAAATGATCAAATGGTTTCAGGAAGCAATTTTTCATGAAATCTAACCCTTGACATATCTTCTTGCGTTCTGCTGAAAACTGAGGCCAGTCTATCTCTAAACGTTGTTCAGTTTTGTAGTAGAATGAGATCGGCTTATTCCGTTTATTATGTTCATCAATAAATCTGATAGTTTTGTCAGTAATCTTTTTGGAGTTTCTTACATCAATAATAGTAATTTGCGGCAACATTCGAATTATCTCTGGAATATGTGCATCTTCGATAATAGACTCAATGTTACTTCTAATAGCCAAATGTTTCAAATTGGGATATTTTCTCAGTATTCCTTTGATCGTGTTCCAATTCGGAGAGCAGGCATACATCTAGAAGATAATTTTTAAATGGATGATTAGGTATAATTTTTAAATATTGAACTTATATTAATAACTCACATTTTGCAAAACCAAATCTTCCATGTAATAATTTTTTATCTCTTGATTGACGAAAACTGAGCTTCGATCTACATAATGAAAAGCACTTTTGAGAGATGGCAAATAGTCTGCCATGTCGAAACCAGGATAAGGGTTAGAATCCTCAAATGATGTTACACTACATTCGAAAATTTCAACCTTTTCCAGAATTGGTCCTTTATAACGTGAGACATCATCAAGCCAAACTGTTATATGAGAAGAAAAACGTGCGAATATATTAATATATTGATAATGAAAATAAACGCGTGGATGGGTTGTTTTCATACACTCTTGATCTTCTAGATGCAATCTTAAAAGATTAGGTAAATACTTGGCGCAACTTGAAAAGGCTTCCAAGTTACAATTCGTAAGGTGAAGCTGCTTCAATTTAGACCCATAATGAGAGTTCAAGAAATAGTGTGCTAAACGTGGAGACGAAACCATTTCAAAGCACTTGTCAATATAAGATAATTTATGGCCATCCAATAAATATATTAATCCTTTGGTCGAATTGAGCTTCTCCAGGTCAAAACGTTTTCCATAGCTCCGGTCAAAAATTAGGACGGGAATATCAAGAATCTGAAGATGAAATAACAAACAAGAAATGAAACAAATTAAAAACATGTTTGCGACTAAGGAATGGTTTTACTTACCCTGAGATTTGGCAGGAATTTGGAAAGTTGGATTTTATACAAAAAATTCGTCTGATTATAAAAGATCGTATTTTTTGGATAAATTGCTCTATCAGGATAGCCATCTAAATTGATCAGATTGATTATCAAATTATTAAAGCACATGAAAATAGATGGTTTACTTGTCACTTACCACTCAAATATTTCACTTTACGTAACCGTTGGCAGACTAGGCGACTCCACCTTGGACAAACTGTTGAAAAAAGCAGAAAAATCGGAATGTTATTCGGATAACGCTCAATAAAAGGGACAGAATATAATAACAAGTGAATGAAATAATTTACAAAAGGCTGTAAATATTGTAAAATAGATAAAATAAAAAAAAATTTCAACACTTACCTTCAACAAATATCAGAAGATCATCTATGGTGTTGATTAGGCAGAATATTGCTAGCAAGCAATCATCAGGTAAATCATCAATAAACATATCGCTGTTTTGTTGGAGCTTAAGCCACAAATAATAAATTCTAGGTTCACTTTAAATTAATTGAAAGATTAGATGAAAGATAATTTTACAATTAAAGTTAAACACTTCGAAATATACTAGCATGGATTAGCCAAGAATCTACTAACAAGTGTTAGTTGGATGTCAATCACAGTGGTGGCAGCATACTAAATCGAATAACTATGTTGATGAAACTTGCGTTGACGAGTTTACAAGTTGAATTATTTTTACTAGTGATGGACAATTATCAAGCTGATTGATCAAATAAATTATTTTATTTCAAAATAACTTCATAAAAAAATAGTAATCAGCTAATTCTTAGTTGAAAACCTACTGGCAGTTCCTTAACATCTCCCATAGGAAAAGACATTTTTCCACATTAATTTACCACTTCCGTCATTACTACCGATTGAATGATTTAGTGAGAACTTCGGACTGGTCAAACTGAATTGTAGCCCACCAGATATTGCGAAATCGTCGTCTTTATATGATTGTCTAATTGTTCAATATTTCCATTTTTCATGTTTTTACCGCTTGGTGCGGAATGTCGTGGTTTCGAGTAGAACCATTTACTAATACCGATTGAATGATTTAGTGAGAGCTTTCAAACTTATACTAAAAAAACTTTGACATGTCGATTAGATTCATCCATAGGTTTAGGTTAGGTTTAGGTTTAAGTTCAATCTAATTCAGTTAGGTTAGGTGCGGTTAGATTAAGTTAAGTTATAAGTTATGTTATTTCAGAAAACTATCAATAGATTGAAAATGTGTTGATACTTACCTTTCATTTTATCATTGAAAAAAGTTTCAGCTGGTTATTACCAATACTCAAAGCAGCTGATTTAACCAAAATCGAAGGGACCTGTTAAGCAGAAACAGAAAATTTCATTCATAGAATCGCTGTAAGTTTATACATTTTCGATATTTTTGAAGTTCATCTCATAATTAATAAAAATATTCTTGGGACCACATTTTTTCCACCACATTAACCACTTTTAAAGGGCTTTTATCCACCACTTTTTCAATCACTTTTTCATTGTATTGTCTACCATCTAATCTAACACATCCACCAAATCAACCAAATCAAACATCATCACTTTTTGAAGAGATTTTTCTCAACAAAATTGTCCACCACATTTTTTCAATATTTATCATCACCCAAATCCACCAAATTGTTCACCACTTCTCGGATATGATAGATATGATGGCGATGAATAGTGGATGTGTTAGATTTGGGTGGTGGACAATACGGTAAAAAAGTGATTGAAAAAAGTCAATTTCATTCTTCTTTCTTTCTCTTTTTTCCTATTTTCATCTTGATTTTTTATTGTTGTGAAAAATTTACAAGAGGAAGAGCAAAGAAAGAAAAATGATTAATTATTCTGAGAGATGGAGTAACTTCAAAAATGTTGCAAATGTCTAAACTTACAGTGAGTAAATTTTCTGGTTGACCATCAAAAATTACATCAGGAAAATGAGTTTCATGAAAAATCTAGTTCCACAACTGTGCGTGAGGAGATCGAAGATCATTCAACTTTGAACTCGATTTTCTCGAAAACTGGCGACCAGGGAAATGTTTGCACAATAGAATTGCACAATTGAACTCACAAGGGAACTTTCCCACATGTACCTGAGGGATTTTGTCAGTTTTTTATGACCCATCAAACACACAAAGTCTCAACTGAAAGGAAAAAGTTTTTGCACTTAATCCTCAGGGAAAGCCTGACCTAAACCATAGAAGTTAATGATCGCAGGATTATAAAGTGAAGGATAGGTGAAGAGAAAAAAAGATAAAATATCAGAATCTTCAATTGTCTTTAAACTAAATCAGAATCCACTTGCTAATTATCTGAGAGTGTTCATCTTCAGGATGACATACAAACAAGATCTTACGGTTCTATTCAGATTAGACCTGCAATACAAAGGACACTAAGAATGTCAGGAAATTACGAGGCAAATTAAAGCTCAACACTAAAGCCTTCAATACTGAAGGTGGACATTGCTCGACGTATTTATCGACTCAGAGAGCAGCTTATAGACACGGCGATTCAAATTAGTCATAATTCATCAGGTTTGTATGGTTAAACAAAAAGTTGCAAATAATCTAATAGTGATAATTGTAATGATTCTAAGTTATTCATATCATTCCATTCATGCAACCCAATTCAACACTTTAAGGGAATATATTAGGATCTAATCATTCAACAACCAGGCATTTCTCGAACTGTCCAGAACTTACTGAAAACAAAAAAAAACAGTTATTAATTAATCAATTGAACATCAGTAAATATTTGCTTTTCAGCAATCAATAACCAAAAAGTTTTATGATTAGACAATTCGATTGTTTACAACCTACACTCAGGATTATTTTAATGCTGGATTATGTAGTTATCAACAATAGATGAACCATACTTCCCATTATTAAAGTTGGACGTAGACCAATCATATGGAATAACTCGATTGTTGATAAAACTAGATTTAAAAGAAGTAAATAGTGCGAAATTAAGTTGCAAATCAAGTTGATGAAATGTTGCATGCTAGTGGAAAATTTTCCGATTGCGAAAACAAATTCCTGAAAAAATGATCAAAGTGAATGTTTCTCTAATTCTGCAAATGAATTAATTTGATTATTATTAAACTTGTAAAACTGATCTTTGATTCTTTCAGAAATATCAAGTATTATGTTATCATCGGCATTTTGATCCATCTGTTGAACATTGTCTTCAACATCAATCACATTTTGAGCATAATAATTATTTGAAGCACTCGACTCTCCATTGACTTGATCCAAACTGGTTGCACCGTTTAGGGTTGATGATTAAATGAACTGAATGATTAAACAATTACAGATAAAGGTAATGTTAACAACGTAAATGAAATTGAAATTGAATTCCTTTAGAGTTATGAAATTCCAATAACTGTTCACTGTTTAACCTCAAGATGAGCTGAATCAAGTTTGATTATCAACAGCAAACATCTGACAACTTCAAGATTGATAATGGTTCATTGGCCTTAATCAATTGTAAATTGACTCCTTGGATTGTTACCTAATCAAGAAAAAAATGAATTGAGAATTAGAACGAAATTGAAAATGAAAAATCGCTCAGTACAATACAGAAGCGAAGAATGGGTATCGATTTTGCATCTGTAAAAGTTTAAGATCTAAGGTATCTCTGCGTTGGTCTTCAGGTCAATTTAATCAATGGCGAAGTATATTTGTCATCTGTTTAAACGAGAAGATAAAATAAAATTAGAAAAGTGAATAAATGATTAAGATAGTGTCAGTCAATTAAGAGATCAGAATTACATAAGAAGGTAAATTGGCAAAGAGTTAAGTTTTAATGAGCATATTACTGTTAACAATGATTTGTTTGCTTGTTAATAGTCAACAGGCTAATTTGGGACTCTTAACTTGCTTGAAATCAATGAAGATACAATCAATTATGATTGTAAATATGAAGATGATGAAAAACTTGAGATGATCTTAGAGGGAATTTTTTTACCAAGGGCTTTCAATGAGATTAACATTGATTCAAGTTGTACTCCTGCTTTAAAGAGTGTTGGCAGCTTTTGTAAATCGAAATGTAAGGGGTGAATACTAAGATTAAAAAGTTGAAGTATTAAGTATTAAGTAAAAGGGTTCTCTTATAAATTATCAGAGGACTACAATTAAATTCATACGGGATGGAGGTGGGAAGGGAGAAGAAAGGCTGAAGACGAAAAATCCGGAAGATTGGATTAAAAATATAATAACCAACAACGAATGAAACATTGATATGTTATTATTATGGGAAACAAAAGTGTCATACATCTAAAATGATATAATAAGTAAATAAAAAATATAGTTGATTGTTTTGTTTATTTGATTTGGAAATCATCACCATCAACTGATGAGGATGATGATTATGAGGATGTTCTGTAAGCGTTATACGATGATAATTTGAGGGATTCACTTACTTGATTACATTTTGATTAAAATTTACACTTCTGGGTAGCTATTTTATAATGGTTCAGCAATGTTTAGTGGTGAACAATATCATCCATCTTTTTCCAATTCTTGGTCATTCGATGCTTGGTTGAATTAGTCTTTTGCTGCAGCGAATGGGCTACGTCTTTTTGATGTCCAATATTAATATCGATTAGATCAGCTAAATCAATTAGTCTATCAAGGTGTGCATCCATCTGTTGAAGCCAGCGTTCATTTGGATCGTATGTTTTGCACCAAAGTTTATCAATTTCTTGTTTGGTCAAATGATTTTCTACAGAAAATATTTCCAATGTTGCTGGGGAAAAGTTTAACTGCCTGTTTGTCTGGTTAGACTTGTATGATTTACAACAGCAAAAAAACTTGTAGCAAAAACTTCTCTCATTTCGTTGGATTGTTTTCAGATCTACTGAAATAGTATCCAAATTGTTTGAAAATTGATCCAAATTGACATTTGTTTTATCCAAAAGATTACCCTGCCATTTCAACTCATTGTGCACATTTTTACCAATCTTTTCAATTCGGTGAGCTTGAACAGCAACATCCAATTTAGCCAATTTTTCCTCCTCTCGAGACATCAAAAACTGAAAAATCAACCTGTAAGAATAAAAAGCAAAAATAAATTAAATGTTAATTTAAATATGAGACATGTAATAAAATAACGGAAAATTCAGATTACCTTTAGCTTAACAAAGTCATTCTCTTAAAAATGTGGTTAACAAAATCAGCGCGAATAACAAAAAAGGCTATTTCAACTCATTGTTAGTACAAATAGCTCTAATAATAGAAATGTAAAATCTTTGAATAATTTACATTTAGTAATTCAACATTGCGAATTAAAGCTTTGAGGAATCAATAATTAATTTTCCTTAGCTAAATTATCTCAATTTGGTGACTAAGTTATTAATTCTGGATGAATAATGGTTGAAATTTTAAAATTTTAATAATTCCGCACTTCGTTACCTTGACAGCGTATTTTATAAACATGTTTACATTTTTAAGTTTGATTTAATTTACAGTGCAACAACAACTTAGCCATTGTGTTTATCATTTAATTACAATTTGTTAACAAAACTGTTAACCAGTCATGATACCATCAGATTTGCAATTTTTTATTTCTTCATTCTTATCCTCTTAACTCTCTTTGAAAAGTTAACTCTTATTAGATCGATGAACGACCCTTTCAAGACTTGAGATGAGAAGCAACTAGAAGGAAGACGCCGATGAAGCCGATCAAGAAGAGGATTCTGATGGAGAAGAGGAAACCTAAGAATAAGACACATGTAAAGAAGATGATATGATAAGGAAAAAGTTGGAGGTGAAATTATAATTACGAGATGAAGGAGGAGGAAGATGATTGAAAATGATTATCAGTGTTATCTTTCAAGAAGGTGAAGCGACAGAGAGTCTAAGAAGAGAGGAAGAGACCAGAAGATGGTGAAAATTGATTGACTATAAATTGCGAAGCAAAATTAGCGATCATTAACTCTGAGAGTCTTGATCAAAATGGATCTCAGGTTAGGATATATTTTACTTTTTATTTACTGTGTTCAAACAGTTACACCAGGTTTGTAAATTATTTTTTTGTTTCAACCGGCGATCGTAAATTGTCCCCAGTTTAATAGTTCAATACAAGACCACAAAAGTTTTGCATCAACAACAGCATAATTTAATCAAAATTTTATTTCAATATTACCCAGTGACTCTTTATATCACGAGATTATCCCTTTAAACATTGAAATTTCACCAAAATTTCAATATATTTTTGTGCATTTGTTGGTGCAAACCTCTTGTTTAGTATTGAAATATTTCTTCCAATTTCTCTATAATTGACTATTCATCGATGTTAACATTTTTCAATTTGTTTTCTCTCTGTTAATTGTGTGATTCGACATCTACAGCAAGATTACCTCTCACCAAGTCTGGACAACAATGCTCTCTCCAATGTACAGGTAAGATTCATATTTTTTAATATTTATTCAAAGCTTAAAACCAATGTTAACCTCATTGTATTGTAAGAAAATAGTGATATTATTAGATTGAAATTTGCGTTGATTGACTTTCACTTTCAGTGTCACTTGAACAACAAAGAAAAATATTATGTTGCAATTTACTAATTGCTATTCTCTCATTACTAAACACCTATTAGATTAAGAGCTTCTTTTGATAATAATTTGCAATCGAATCAGAAAAATTGACTATATTATTGAATACAGTAGTAGTTAAAGTAATAGTGTTATGATCGACATGCTTCGGGTGAACTTTGAACTAATTATTATATATTTTCAAGTGTTTCAAGATACTTATAACTGTAAGATTCACTGTTGATTATCGCAATTGCTTGATTACTTCTTAATTGTATTCATGAACATTTAGATCAACACTTGAAAGTGAAATAGATCCACTTGAAGTTTACCTTTTCACAATTTGTTTTCTCATTTTGCCTCTCTTGCCTTTAACTTAAATCGATCAATCTTATTGATAATCTGTTAATCAACCCAAAACGTGATTAAATCCATTAAATAAACATACCTTAAAAATATTATTCAATATCCGTTTCCGTATTCAGTAGATTCCAAATGAAATGTTGATTGAATTGATATTGTTATATCAGGATTTATGTTTACAGCCAATTCGTTTTATAAGCAAACCCAATGGAAACAGCCTTGGAAGACAATCAAATTTAATCAATTGAATAGCGGTGAAAAGCACAAATAAATCACTTTACAATTTGTATTAATCTTTGAACTAGACTAACAGCTATCCTTGATTATCCAAAGAAAGGATAATTCAATAAGTTAATGGTTGATTCATTTAGACATAACACTTTAGCTATGATTCAATTTCACAGAATCTCTATTTTAGCGAATTAATCAGATTAAAAAGTTAAAATGTTGAGTTGATTTCCAGAATCTATTACCAATGAACTATAAAAGAGATTGCTTTCTATTGCTTTTCAAAAATAAATTACAATCTTGTTAAGAGAAACAGATGATTAATTGTTGATGTCTTTTTACAGAATCCAAAAATTTAAACTATCAACCTGGTAAAACATATATCTACGATTATGTTGGTAAAACTTGGATCAACTCGAATGATGGAACTGAACAGTTGATTGAGGTTAAGGCAAAGGCTCATGTTTCAGTCATTTCCAAATGTGAACTTAGCTTACAGGTAATTTTACTCACTTTTGCTTTAATTTCTTGAGCCTTTTCTGTTAGAGGTTAGTAATTAAATTAAATTGTATTTGTTTTTGTAAATGACAGTTGGAAAATGTTGAACTCACTGGGCTACAATCAGATCATGCCCTGAAACGAGAACTTGAAGATCGTCTCATTGGATTTTCCTATCAAGATGGTTCCATTGCATCTGTCTGTCCATCTCCAGAAGATTCAAATTGGTCGATCAACATTAAAAAGGCAATTATCTCAGCCCTTCAAGTATCTTCAACTCCAAAATCGGGTAAAACAATCGTAACCGAAGTAGATATTTTGGGTGAATGTGAGACAAATTATGAAGCAGTTGCAATCCCGTCTTCATCCAATGTCTTGGAATCAATCAAAAAGTTCAAGAACTTGAGAAATTGTAATCAACGACAGGCAAATGTATTTTCACTATTTCCAACCAAATACTCAACCGATTTAAATTCAGTACAAAATTTACCCATCCTTAACAATGAACACTCATGTTCAATCGAAATCTCCAAGGAATCTATCGTTTCCAGAGTAATTTGCACAGATTCAGCAACATTTATTCCCTTATCCTGGACTAAATCAGTAACTTCAGGCTTTAATTCTGAGTTGACTTTAACTTTAGAAGCTTCAGTTCCAAGCAAACCAGTCAAACCAATCAGCCATTCACATTTATCCAATCGACAGGCATTAACCTTCAAGCATACTCTTAAGGAATCTTGGGCTAATTCAAAAGGTGATGTTGACCAAGTAACCAATCTACTTAAAGATATTTGCAGCTCAGTTGAGAATCAAATTGAGCCCAAAGTTCCTTCTCAATTTGCTGAGCTTGTCTATCATTTACGAAATTTACCTTCATCATCAACATCAAAGCTTTGGTTAGCAATCAAGAGAGGTGATATTTGTCCATCTGTAGCCAAACTGACCGACTTATTCACAGATGCACTTATTATGGATGGAAGCGAAGGTTCACTTAAGATTATCGTTGAATTGATCAACGAGGGTAAAACAGCTCCAGTAACAGTTAACTATTGGTTGACATTATTAGCCTTTGCCAGTTCACCCACCGAAGGTTCAATTAAATCTCTCTTACCATTGATTAAAAACAAGTCACTTCCAAGACAATCAGTACTTGGTGTATCAGCTCTGGTTCACAACTATTGTGCTCTTCCTGATGTTGACTGCAACTCTTCCCCAATTGTCAACGAGGTTACCCGAACTATTGCCTCAAGATTAAGTTACAAATGTTCAGTTTCTCCTGGCGCTGAAGATGATACCATCGTTGCACTCAAAGGTTTAGCCAATATTGCTCCATACCTTTCCAATGGCGAGATCAGGTCGATTCTTGAATGCTCAGTAAACTCAAATTCTCTTCACGTTCGAGTAACAGCAATAGAGACATTACAATCTCTTTCATGTTTGGACTCTGTTGCCCCCACAATGATGGATTTGTTCACCTCAACTGAACACGACGCTGAAATCAGAATTGCTGCTTACAAGAATGTCATCGCATGTCCATCAGCATCAAAGATTGAAGCCATCATTTTAACCCTAGAAAATGAACCATCAGTTCAGGGTAAGTGAACAAAATTATTAACAAGTTTTAGCCATTAATCTTGTAAAAATTTGCTAAAATTACTAATATTTTCCTCATTTTTTTGCATTGCAGTTGGCTCTTATATCGTTTCACACTTGTCCAATATCCAAGAATCATCTGATCCATTGAAAAGTGAAATGAAATTGTATCTGACTGGCATTAAGATCCCACTGAAATCATTCCCTCGAGATATTCGTAAATTTTCACGTTATTATGAGTTGTCTCAACACTTTTCAAAAATAAACTTGGGTGCTGTTATTGAATCTGATGTTATCTTTGATGGTTCCTACATTCCTCGATCAATCAAGGCCAATTTATCTATTCCCATGTTTGGTTCTTCCGTAAACTTGGCTGAAGTAGGTTTCCGTCAAAAAGGATTGGAAAGCTCAATAGAAGGCCTCTTTGGACCATCTGGATCTTTGAATGGTAAAAACTGGAAAGAAATTCTAGAATCATTAGCATCTCTACTCATCAACGAGAACGATCCAAATGAAATTGAAGCCAATCGTTATCGATTAGCCCGTCGATCTGTCCAAGACATTTTCAGGCCTATTAAATTGGAATCTTTGGTTAAAAAAGCAACCATCACATCCGCACCAGTTGAAGGATCCATGTACCTAAAAGTAGACGGTAAAACAATTATCTACTTGTCAGTAAATGATATCAAAAAGGAATCATACAAATCAATGTTTGATTCAAAACTTGAGAATGTGGTGAAATCATCCAAATACGATCGAGCTTTTAGCTTCATGGTTTTGGACTCAATTCATCAATTCCCTGGTATCAACGGTTTTCCAATTAAACTCGACATCAACTCAACTGCTATATTTGGATATAAGCAAACTGGTAAAACATTTTACCCAAGGTAAGCTTATAATTATTACTAACGATAAAGTATAAAGCTTGTCAACTCAAAACTTCAATGAAAAAGTGTAAATATATTGTGTCACTATGTTAGTGCTAATCATGTTATCATCATAATAATTTAATCAGTGAATATTATTAATTTATATTTAATTCTTTTTCTATTTTAGTTTTGCCTCCGAATTGTCCGTTAAAGTTGGTTTTGATGCTCGAACCTCACAACCTGGACTAAAATGGAAAACTATTGTCAGTTCCGCTCCTGCTTTATCGGCTGAAATCGAATATAAAAACCAGATTCCTACTAAAGTAACATTCTCATTACCTGAAGACTCATTAACTCTTTTCCATTATCAAAGTGATTTGATCTCAGTATCTACTGATGGTTCAGAAAAGTCTATTCAAGCTCCATATTCTCGTCACCATGAAGGCTGCACAAAAAGCTTCACCAAACCCTTTGGAATCGAGTTTTGTGGTGCCCTATCTGTCCCTAAACCTTTGTTTACTTTATCATCTCCATTCATTCCATTCAATGGGCCAATCAATTTCGATATTGTCCTTCGAAAAACTGATGTAACCATGAAAGGTTGGACTTTCTTCTACCAAGTTCCCAGCGAGAATAAGATTGAAACTAGAGTTTACTCAATCGGCTTTTTAACACCTGAATCCACCATTAACCGCCAATTCTCAGCTGATTTGTCCATCTTTAACACCATTGATGACCTTTCCAAGGAAATTAAAGTAAAACTTGTAACTCCTTACAAACGTATGGATGCTTTCATTGGTCGTAAGATTGATGACAAATCTATCCTAGTTCGTGGTGAAATCAGTATTGATTCCAAAAAAGACTATTCGGCAATGGTTAAACTAGACAAGTACGATGTTGGTCGAGATTTAATTTATCAAGGAGAAGCTCAAGTCCAATTATCTGCTTCTTCATCTCCTTACAACATCAAGAGTACAATAATGGTGAAAGAAGATAACACAATTGTCTTTGATTTGAAACCAAAACAAGGTGTTGCTTTTATTAATGGTACTTTAGGACTGGCTCCACCTCGTTTCGATATTGACGGTAACTTGCGTTACATCGTATTCCGTTTGAGCAATACCGTTACTAATGAAAAATCGAGTTTAAGGAATAACTTCCATCTTTCATACCGTCATCATTCATCTAACAAATTTGAATCATTTACTTTGGCAAGCTCACTCAAGACATCTTTGTCTGGAACTATTCACAAATATATCACCAAAGTTGAAGGATCTGCTACTAAATGGCCAAAGAACAGCTTCCTTGCTACCTGGGAATCATCTTATGCTCCATGGGAATTGATTGAAAACGATTTTACATTTGAAATCGGTAAAAAAGCTAAAGGTTATGCATCAAAATCAAAAATAACTCAAATTTCTCGATTCAATGGATTAACTGGTGATTATTCAGATGTCTACGCCCGAAATACTTTAACTATTGATGTTGCTGGATTTTATTACAAAGCTGGTTTAATCGGTAGTAAACAAATGTCAAGCTCATCTTCCAAAGCCAAGATTGAATTTACCGGAGGAAACCGAATGTCTGGTGATTCACAAAAGGTCACATTTTCTTATGGAATTGAACTCGAACCACTTTTAAGATTCTCATCTTCTGCATTGATCCGCTTGGGACCAATCTCAGTCGATTATGTTGATTCAGTTTCAGAGCGAAGCAAAGGTAAATATTCTGGTTCCAGTGAACTTATGGTTTCTCGTTCAACTTTCTGGACTTTGAATTACAACTACTCTGTAGGAGATGATAATAGGCTTAGAATGTCCCGAAATTTGGAAATGTCTGTTAGCCTCCCAAGATATGGTATTGATTTCATTCAAGAAGGATCATTTGATCTGAATAATGATGAATTATCACTCACATCGTTCGGTGCAAGCAAACAATCTAAACTTTGGTCAATTAACAGTAAAATCAGTCAAACAGCACAATCAATTGTTAAAGTCAACATTCACCGTCTTGCAGAACTAGAATTAGACCTTTTACCTTATGCCCCTAATCGATTGGGTTCCCTTAAATTGGTCGTTGGAGATTATACAAGCATGAACAGATTCGCTTTGTACCCAAGCAGTTTTTCATTGGACTCTGAGTTGCAATCTAAATCATCATTAGTTTACCAAATTTCTGGTCATTACAAATCAATCAACAAGTGGTCTACAACAATCATAACTAGTCCAGTGGTAGTTAACCTCGTTTTGAATCCCCAAAATGGAAAATTTGATGTCAAACTAACCAACCAACAAATCCACCATTTGATTTCATTTTCAAATGAACCAGCAACCTTTTCATTATCGAGTGAAATCAAGAAAAAATCTAAACAACTGATGACATTGAAGGCTGATTACCAACGAGCAGGAGCATTTATTGTTGAATTTGCATCAAAACCTATTGAATTCCATTCAGAAGCCAACTTCAAGTCAGCCAATCGATTTGAAATTGAATCAGTTCTTAATTTGAAGAGTTACTCTCAAATTTTCACCATTGAAGGATCAAAAGTGAACAAAGATGTCAAGCTAAACCTTTCACAACGTGGCGCTTTCACAATCAAATTATATCTAGAGTCAATGGAAAATCTTAAATTGAATTTTGATCTCAACGACTGTGGAACAACTGCCGTTGAACTAACCAACAAGCCTGAATTGAAAGCTTTTGCACTTAACTGTAACTATCCATCATCAGGATGGGAACAGTCCACTTTGATTCAACATGCACCAGAAGTAACAACAATCTTCTCAAGCACACAAAGATCTTCTCAAAGGCTTTTATTAGTTAATGGACGCATTTCAGACGATAAAACAGCTCTTGATGTTAAATATGGTGACAAAGATTCTTTCTACGCTGAATGGTTATCTTCGAAGAGCGTAGGTTCTACTAAGTTAGCCTTAGGTCAATATTTATTGAACCACGATTCTTCCATTTCATTTGAATCAAACAAGCTGGTCTTCTCATCACTTACCACAAAATCAAACAAACAATTGCTTAAAATCAACTTAGATTCTGATCTATCATCTGCTCTTGAACTTACCATGTCTTCTTTGAATGACCATTCAATCAAATTATCTTATGCAGATTCTAAAGCTTTAAATATTGAATTTGGGCTTAATTCTCGATCTTACTCTATTGTCCATTCATCCAAATTCAATTATCCATATGCTCTTGATAGATTTGATTTTAAATCAGTCACTTCATCCAAAGGAGTTGATTTGCTTACAATCAAGGCTACATCAGCTCGCCAAGCTCCAACAACTCTTGAAATTTACAGCAAACAAGTTACTGGAACTATCCAATTCGAATCATCATACAGTGAGAAAAGATATGCTTTGAAAATGATTAAACCATTGGCTGTCGAAACTGAATTCAATTACAAACCTCGATCGTCTCAATACTCTTTATACAGTGTTGTTAAGAAAGTTTCTTCTGGAGAACAACTGTTTGAGATTGACGCTAAAATTCAACCTAATAGTAAATCTTCTATCGATGTCAATGTAATTCCAATGAAAGGTCGTTTAACATATTCTCACTTGTCATCTCTTGAATTGACTTTTGACAATGGAGCCGGTTATAATCATCTGACAACAATCAATGTTGACTCTAGAACTTCCAATGTTGACTTTAAATCGTCAAGTTCATCTAAAGGATCAATTGTCTATCAGGTTGATGCATTCTTAGATCTTGAAGAAAGAATTAATCTTAAGGTTATCAAAAATCCATGGGATGGTTCCATTGAAATCAATGTCGCTAATGCAATGTTGACTGCTTCTCTGGTTAACCAAGCCAAATCTTTAGTTCATTCAACCAAAGCATCATTCGCTGCAAACTCGTTCACTTTGACTTCGGACACAAAAAAATCTGAACGTAATCTATTTTCTTTGGATTGCCTGTTATCAACAAACTCTAAATCTGAAATTAAAGTATCCAGCTCTTCATGGAGTTCAACATCAATTTTGAATACCATTGGATCGTCATACAGCTTCCAATTTAATCTGAAAAGGCCTTCAATTTCTTCTGATTACAATACCAAAATAGTCTTTGATAAACGATCATCAACTTTAAAGATGGCTTCTTATAGTCAACGTAAAGGCGTAAAATCAACAATCGAAAGTGAAATCAGTAGATCAAATAAGAGTTGGTTCAAATATGCATCACCAAAGAATGGTCGAATTGATTGGGAAGTCAGTCCATTTGGATCAACCAAAATTTCTAAAATCAGTGTAGACTGGAAACCCTCTTCATTCATTCACAACAGTGAAGTCAAATACGACTCACAAGGGTTAAAAGTTAAATCAACTTCCTCTCAGTTTGCTCATGCATTGTACACTTTCAACGGTGAAATTGGAAAAATCAATGGACAATTGTCACGAATCGAGTTGAATTTCGACGCAGATTCTTCAAGTTATCGACACGCTTCTTCATACTCCTGGACCAAAGACGTACTGAATCTACAGTCAAAATCAACTGTTAATAGAGAAACTCTGTGGGACTTCAAAGGAGTTTTCCCATTGAATGCACAACAAACAACATCCATCGACTTAGACTCTCCTCAAGTTTTGGGAAAAGTCACATTTGATCCAGATTCAGGAAAATTCATTATCGAAGCTTATCTCAGACAGAGCCAACGAAAAATTATTTTAACAACAAATTATGGTTTCACAATCGATAGTCCATTCAGCTTTGATCTAAATTGGGATGCTGATCGTAATAATGATGCTCGAATCTATGTCACAAAGAACCGTGGATCAACTGACTCTTCAAGAAGAGATATTTTAACGATTGGATATGGTTCTGAAATTAAAGCCATGCTTACTGTCGAATTGGGATCTGAAGCATTAGTTGGACCTCATTACATCTCAATGTCTCTCGATCTTCCAAATGCACCTTCAAGATCATTATCATTCAATCACGAAATGACATCTAATAAAGTTAATTGTGCAATTCGATTCCACGAAGATAATCAAGTTGTTCACCAATTGGTTCACGAAATGACTATGGAATCTAAATCATTCAATCTTGAAATCGGAACAAAATCAAGAAATCCAACGTTCGATGGACTCCACCTATCTTACAAATGCAGTCACGCTGCCAACTCAATCGCTAGTGAACTTAAAGTCCAACCTTCATCAGGTTCACCTTATTCAGTCAAGTTGAACGCTGAGTTCCCCGTTTCGCGATCCGAGAAATCACTTGTTGCAAAAATTTTGGCAAAAACACCCATAAACAATTATCGTCATCAAGGGTTAACAATCAACTTTAATTTAAAAAACGACCTTTCACAATCAAATGTTAATATCAAATACTCTAAGGAATCAAGTGAATCAGCTGCTTTTACGGCTAACTACATGTTGAAATCATCTGGTGGTTCAGTTTCATTATCACTTGATGGTTCACTGGCTGGAGTCTATGATGGTTCAAATTTGAAGGGTCAATTTGATAACAGGTCAAACAAAAAGTCACTATCACTAGAGTCAAATATTTTAACAGTAGGTGAACTTAATTTGGTAGCTACTAACCAACGCGGTGCAGTCGAAGGTCAAGTTACTTTGTCATCACCAAAATCGTCTCGTTACACTTTTGCATTGAAAACTAACACCCAAACATTACTAGGAAGCTCTCATGAAGTTACTTTAACTCAAGATAATCTCGAGCTGTTTGATTCCAAATTATCCCTTGATTATGGTAAACCTTTACTCGGCAAGATTAGTGTTACTTCCAAAGGATCTGAATTGTTGCGTTTTGAAGTCAATCGTTATGATGTTTCAAATGAAGAGAGTAAATTTATTGCTGATTACTTTGGACCAAAAGGGCCTTTAAAGGTTAATCTAAATTTATTGCTAGCTTCAACTCAATCACGAGTTGATCTTCAAGTATGTCCATCCAGTCAGTGTTACAACTTAAAACTGACCGATTCATTGAACCAATGGGGACGCGAATCAGCAATCTCTTACCGAAATGGAGCTTATTCAAAAGTTTACCGAGCTTCATATGTATTAAAATCTGAGAAAAATATATTCATTGCTTCTGGATCAATCAATTTGAATGGAATTGATTTTGGTGGTGAAATGGTTTCATCTTCATCAAATTCAATCGGTAAAATTAATTTGGGCCAAAGAGTAATTGAAGCTCGTTTCTATCAATATCCATCAAAGATTATGATCGAGTTTCTTGCTGATGCCAGACGAGAACCTGGTTCAAAAGTAACCCTGGAAATCGATGGAACTTATGAATCTGTTCCTTCTAGAAGGTTAATTAATGTTGATTATAAAATCCGATTGGGTTCACCTTCTTTATACCGACCAATTTCAATTACCTTTTTATTGAAAAGAAACCCAGCTGATAAGAAACGACCATTCGACTCCAAAATTGTCTTCGATTTGGGAAAATCTGAATCACAATCATTGGTTATTGAGAGTTATCTTGAAAATGTTTCCGGCAAATCAAACAATCAAACTGTTGCCTTGAAAGTTTATCAACCAAATGCTAAATTGAATGTTGCAGTTAAAGGTCATTTTGCCTCTACCAACACCAAATTATCAACTGGCCTTACATGGTCTTGGACTGATGATTACTCACGATCACAACAAGTATTCAATTTATTAGCAATTAACTCGGAAACCAAAGAAATCTCTTTTATAACTCATGGAGGTTCCAATGATATCTCAGGCCGAGCTCAATACCAAACCAGTGATCAATCTATTGACTTGATTGGTGAAATGTCTGTTAATGGTGTAAAAAATGAAGGAAAATTAAGTGGTTCATTGGAAGGTAATTGTGCTTTCGCAAAGGCTTTCTCAGGAAACAATTTGAAAAGAAAAATCGAAGCTTGTCTTGAACCTTATAGACTTGTAAGGATCAACAGTCAACGGTTTGATTACGGTTCTTCTCCTTCGACTGACCTTTCCCTGATTTTATCTCAGAGAAACGGTAAAGTCTTGAAAGCCATGGTAAATATCGACCCTAATTACTCACAACAATTGGTAAGTTATTAAAAAAATCAACATATCATTATCTCCATAGTGTATGAGAAAATTTTCATCGATTGTTTAATTTTTCAGGAATCAATTACCTGGCCATCGCTTAATTTACGAAAGTCACAATGGAATGGATTACCATCAACAATGACTGTTAATTGGCAAATTTTCTCTGACATCTATCAACCTATGGGACAATCAATTATGGAAGAATCATTCGAGTTCGTCGGTGAATTGGATCAACATACTTTACCAGTCAGATCATTTTTCTCGGAATATGTATCTTTACCATCTATCAGTCTTCCAACAATCAACTTCTATCCATTAGTTGACCGATTATCTGCTTGGGCTGATGAAATGTCTACTAAGGCTGCTGTTCAATTGAAGTCTGTCTGTCGCTACAAATCATCATGCTACCGAATCGCTCATGCTTATGAACGTTATGGAATGGATGGCTTAACCCGAATTGCTTCTGATAACTGGCGAGTTTACAAGATTTCACTCAAAAACTGGTTCCAAAATATAACCTCCAAAGTATTAAGAGCATCTGACGATATGTATGAATCAATTTTATCCTACTTTAACAATCTATCATCAAAACTTTGGTCATCTCAATATGGTTCAATTTTAACCAAAAAATTACACCAAATATCTAAATTTCCATGTCGTTTGACCAAATCTATCTCTTCCGGAGTTCAACGATTCTATTCAAATTTAAATAGACGAGTCATGTCAAACCCTGATGTCAGAGCCTTAGTCAACATCATTGTCTCATTATACCGAGAAATTAGCTCTGAATTGGCAAAAATTAATATCAAATCATCTTTGAAATCTTCAGCATCTCAATATAATTACTTGTTGTCACCTAGCACTTGGGGAGCATCTGCTCGCTATACAACCTGGAACCCTGCTAAAGGATTCTACGAGGCTGAAATCGTTTCACCAGTTGACATTGGCACAGTTAAATCTACCTTACGATCATCACAAAAATCTGTTTCTGATATTAACGACTCTCTTAATAGTCTAAAGGCATCTCTTTGGACTGAATTGACACCACCTTTCAAGTCAACTGCTTTTCTCATTGGCGGACAACATTTCGTAACTTTTGATGGTCGATCATTTGATCTTGGAACTACTGACTGTTCATATCTATTGGCTAGAGATTTTGTTAACAGCAACTTCTCTGTCATTGTTAGATACCATGGTGGAAACAAAAAATCTTTCCTAATTACTCTAGGCGAGGAACAAGTTATCGAAATCAATCCATCAGAAAAGCGAGTTAAGCTTGGTAGAAATATAGTTGAACTTCCAGTTATTCAAGGTTCACTGTCCATCCTTCGACACCATCAAACTATTGTCCTAGAAGATTCATCAAATGGGTTAACTTTCAAATGCTTCCTTAGTCGGGATCTTTGTTCATTAACTGTTTCTGGCTGGTATTTTGGTCGAACCAAGGGTCTTTTTGGTACTTATGATTATGAACCATCAAACGATTACCTCCTTCCAGACGGACGACAAGCAGCAAACCCAAATGACCTTGCCTCTGGCTGGGAAGTCGAGGGTTCATGTGCCAACCCATCTGGAGTACCAATACAAAGTGAAGAAATTCGTCGATCAAGTAAAGCATACAGATTATGCGAAAAAACATTCAGTTCATCCGAATCACCTTTAGCCGAAGGTTTTCAATATGTTTCACCAGACTTTTACTTTTTAATGTGTCGTCGTCATATGGCTGCAACTAAAGGACAAGATAGACCCGAAAAGGCTCTTTGCAATATTGCTGGAGCTTATGTTGAGCAGGTTAGAGCAAATGGATTTGAATTATCAATGCCTTTAGCTTGTTTGACCTGTGAAGCTGGTCAAGAATTTGGAAGTCGATATGTAGCCTCACCAACCCGATCATCGTCCAGAGCTGATGTAGTTTTTATCATCGAGGAGAGACCATGCAATGCTAAACTGATTAATGATTTGCCCAACTTGGCTCGTAATATGCACAAAGAACTTGAACAGTCTGGTCTTAAAGATCCCAGATTTGGAGTTGTTGCTTTTGGTGGTCCTGCAGTAAACACTCGCGAAGCCCATGGTCACACTGCTCGTGGTGAATTATTATTCCCATACCAAGATATCGCTATGTCTACCAAACGAATGGAATTAGCTCCAATTGATTCATATGATGCTAATTACACTGATGCTTTGAGTGCAATTGTCTTAGCTTCACAATATCCTTTCAGAAAAGCTGCATCCAAAAATCTTGTCCTTTTATCTTGTCGAGCTTGCGATGAACGAACGTCCAGATTCGATTACAATGACATTCAACATCTTCTCTTATCTGAAGGAATAACTCTTCACGTTGTCTCTAATCAACGATTCAGCACTAAACGAGCTACATCAAAAACTCGAGAAATTTTGGGTAAATATTAGTACTATTTGTAAATTAACCTTTTGATTTTTGATTTAACCTGTAAACCTATTCAAAACTAATGTTTCTTTTGTTTTTCATTTTCATTTTGTATCATTTTTAATTTTAGGTATTGATAGACGTTCAGTTCAACGTGCAAGTGATATTAGAGCAAATGAAGTTTCCGATGAACGGGTTTATCTCCGCGATTCAATTACTGTTCCAAAAGATGTCTGCATTTCTTTGGCCCACCTCAGCAATGGCTCTTTCTACCCAAGCCCATTGGTAACCTCTCTTGACCATCGATTAGAGAAACTTTGGTCTCTTGGATTAGCTCGTCGTTTAGCATCAACAGCAGACCCAAGTCCATGTCAACACTGTGACTGTGTTCCTGACAGCGATCTTCTTCATTCTAAAATCCTTTGCCGTCCATGCAGACCCTTAAAACCCGTTTACTAAGAAAAACGAGTGGAAATAACTACAAAAATTGCATTTCTTTTTCTATTAACACTTGTTTCTTTTCAAAAAATTTCATTTCAACTCATTTCTTTTCCCTATTCTCTATTTTAATGAAAACCCCTTCCCTTAAAATTTAAACATCCAAAATACAACTATCCACAAAAAAACAATCATAATGCAAACTTTTGTCATTTTTTCTAACCCTGCCCTTTTTATATTAGAGTCAACATTTCCAATTCGTTGAAATCACCTTTAGCCATTTATATTTGTTCAAAAAAATTCTACTGTAATTAAGCTAAAATTATTAGCTAATAAAACCCTTTCCAATCATTGGTTTGTTCTTTCTTATTCATTTCTATTTTTCCATCGTGTTCATTTCAATAGTTATCCGTCTGCAATGTAGTCTTTTAGAGATTTCATTAACATTATTGAAAATTTTCTTCTGCTAATCATGCAAATAATTTAACAAATGACTAAATGAAAAAATTCAACAATATATCAGATGTGTGCTTATTATAATATAAAATTTCTTTAATATATTAAATCATGATTGGGTGAGTCCGACATATAAAATGGACATAAACGTTCAATAATAAAATCACTTCAATTTTGTTGCGTAAAAGGCTGTATAATATCTAGTTATCAAATTAATGAGACTCAATGGAATGGCAATCAATTTTCATCCTTAGGATCCATCAATAGAGGCAGTTGATAAAAAGATTTAAGAAAACAATGTTTCATGAAATCAAATCCTTGACAAACTCTTTCTTGTCGTGTCGATAAATGAGACCAATCACCTGTTATTCGTTGGCCTGGTTTGTGATAAAATGAAAGTGAACGATTATTCCGCATACAATATCGATTAATATAATCAGCGGATCTCTGCGTTACCCCAAATGATTCTCGCACGTCCAGTAATATCAGGTTTGGCAATATTTGAATCAACTCTTCTATATGAATATCTTTAATTTTATCGTTCTCTCTCAGAGCAAGGTGTTTTAAATTTGGAAATTTGGATAGAAATTTCTTCAGAAAGATCCAATCTTGTTCACAGCCAGGCATCTGAATCGAATTGAAAGAAAGAAGGAAATAACTGAAGAGATTAATAAATAATTATAAAACTGGTTTCTTACATAACAAATGACCAAATCTTGGACGGTCGAGTTTATAATGGATTCGTTCAAAAAATCCTGGTTAGAGTCAATGAAGAAATATGCACTTTTTAAACGTGGACACGAATCGAGTAACTTAAATCCATGGTAAACCTCTGTTTCGTCACAGCACGATGAAAGCACTTCAAGAATCTCGAGATTTTTTAAAACAGGACCTCTGTATTCATAAAGACTACCTGAAATCCAGAGAAAAATGTCACTTAATACGAAATAAATAAAATTATCAAAAAATGAATGAATTGAAAAGGTCTACACTTGGTGTACACTTGCCTACGCTATTTTCAATGTGAAGTCTTTTCAATTTAGGAAAGTACTGAGCAAATATAGAGAATGTCGATAGAAAGTAATTCCAGAGATAAAGTTGCTTGATCTCAGATCCATAACCAATTTCAATAAAGCGATCTTCCAAGACACCTGTTGCAAGCATTTCGAGATTTTTACAATGTTTTGTCACAGAAAGATGTTGAGAACTAGCTTCAAATATCAACCCTTTAATCGTTTCAGTACTTTCAATGATTGCCACAGTCTCATTGTGATTCAAAACTTGTTTAAATGGATGCGTAATGTCAAGTATCTAGAAAATAGAAAGTAATATTAATAATAATAAACATAATTAATAAGCAATCGGCGTAAATATAGCAAACTCACTTTAAGGTTAGGTAACAATCGAGCTAAATCAGCCTCTTTTAAAACATCGGGTTTATTGAAGTTTATCATCCCCAGGGTTACATTAGATTTTGATGCTGAAAAAAAGGTGATGAAAAAATTATCCTAAGAGTTAAGAAGTCATTAATCGTATTCGTAACTCACCTGTCAAGTATTTAACTTTGGACAATCTGTAAGAGACCAAATGGCTCCATCTCGAATTCACTAAAAACAGGAATTTCAATGAGACACTGATATTTACTAAGCCATTGTTCAGTTATGATAAAACTATGCAATGAAAAAATATCCCAATCAGCTCAAAATTAGCTGCTAATAAATTACAATTGGCTTGAAAAGGCAAAAATTGGTTTATTCAAGTTGATTCAAATTACGCGCTGCAGGTAAGGAAATGACTTAAGTGTTTGTTATGATCCAAATCATCTTTAAATTCAGATCCTATGGTTAATTGAGATTTAAGTTTTTTTTTCAATTAAATGGCTCAATCTGCAAAATCAAATGTCGAATAATGTCCTATTTATGTTATTTTAGTGACCTTTTTATCCTGTATAATTCAATTCTTAACAGATTTGGATATCACAGGAAAATGCCAACAGTGATCAGTTGACAACAAATATCTTTTAATGTAAACTGGCTAAACAGGTGTTGCAATGGATTGAATGGAACCCAAGAAAAGCTCATTGAATAATTGACAATGGTTAAATGTCGGTAAATAAATCATATTTACCTTTGTAACAGTTGATTAGATCCTCTAAGTTGTCCAGAAATATGAAAATGTTGAGTAAACATTCATCTGGCAGGCTATTGATGGGCATTTCAGTATTTTGATAGCAAAACTAAATAAACAAGCTTTTAGTTTTTTTCAAACAATGAATCATAATTTATGTGAAAATTTTTCATTAAATAATGAATTGCTAGTTCAATGTATCTCAGAAACTTGTTAAACAAGGGAAACTTGAGAAGAAAAAGTAAGCAGATTGATAACAAGTTTTCATGGCTGATTCAAGCACTTTTTACAGTTACACTCATCTAATCAATTGATCGAAATGTATCGATCTTTCCTTCACGATTATTGCCTATTTACCTGACTTCTTAACAAATACCCAAAGTGAATTACGGTGCTCTTACACCAACTTATACACAATTTAAAGCTTTTGAATGAAGTCCATCAAAAGAACCAGGATTTGTCTGGTTACAAATAGATACAACATTGTATTAGTTATTTCTAACGTTCTTTCACATTAACTTCCAACTCTTGACTAACAGAATAAACATTTTATAATTAAAAAATTATCTTACAAGGGAAGTGTCCTTTGATTTTACGGTCATTTTCAAATTTTCCTGGACTTATATTGTAGAGGACGAAAAATAATTGGACACGTATTTTTGCTTTTGTTTCACTGGTTATTGATGTTTAGGCCCTTAAATGAGGATAATCATTGTACCGTGCTTCCGCGCCTTCTAGCACTGGGCTTAATTATGCAAAATTTCACTTCTAAACCACTGTTGACCCTCATAGATTTGACTTAAAAATGGATAAAAAAGCAAGAATCGAAACAAAAAGATGTATCCAATGATCCAATGTAATGGAAACCGGTTTTAGTTCATTTTTAAGCTACAGTGCATAGGTGCGAGTGTCAACAGTGACTTATAAGTGAACCTACAAGTGTACTTATTTACAAGTCCGGTGCTAGTAAACACGGTAATCTATTGCAGTCACTGAAATGCGATTCACAATTTTCATTAAGATATTTTCATTATTGTGCTTTTCATTTGTTTCATGTGGACTGCAATGCATTACTATCTTTACTTAAAATGCCTGAATATCAACTATCACCAGCGTAACAAATGCAAAGATAAATGTCTAATTATTTTTCGACCTCTTCAATATAAGCCTCAAAAAAATTTAAAATGTGGACCAAATTAAGTGCAGTTTCTCAATGGTGATAAATATCAGTATCTCAAACACGACCACCAATCCATGATTTGTGGACCAAGCAAGAAACCTAGTCGTAGAGCTGTTCGTATACGTGCTCATTTTGAGTAAGCTTTTGGTATAACAAATAATAATTAATTTAAACACATTTCGTTCGTTGTCAAGCATAATTCACCGTGAAAGAGGGCGATTGGATAGTTCGTAATTTTACATAGGACTAACTGCTTTGATTTATTTGTTAAAAACAGTCGAAATGTATTCTTAAATTGTGATTAGCTTAAAAAATAATTGAAAAAGTGAAATCTCATTTAACTGCAGCTACTTAAATGGTCACCAGCGATTATTAATGAAAGCAAAAAAAGGTAATTTTGGTAAAATAAATACATTTTCACGGTAAATGTTATTACATATATGAAGACTTTATGGTGCTCAAGATGGATTACCTTTTCACCTAATTGAAGCAAGAAGCAAGGAATGAAGGTAAAACATCCGTTTCGGTTTTTATGGTACATAATACAGCACATACATATCAAGAGGTAACACACCTAAAAAATGAATGTCTACAATGGACCAGGTAAAAGCAGGATAAACAATAGGCGGTTATAATACAAGCTGAATCATTGTTACAGTGAGATGGTTAACAAAATTGATCTTATAGTTATTGTTAGTGATGCTTTTTGTTTTCAAGTATATTTTCATTTCACAATTGGATAACAATCAAAATGAAAGTTAAAATGGTTCAATTTGGAGGATTAATCAACACAAACAACAGCGATGAAGGTGAAACAAAATGACAAAAGTAAAAGCATTGCTCGCTAATACAATCTCAATGATGGTTGAATTACAATCAACTAATTATTTCACCTTAATATATCTATATAAATAGATGATTGAAATAGCAGCATCATTGTGATTATTATAATACATCCATTGAAAGTATTGAGTGTAAAAAAAGAGATGAACCATTATATCTGTTTATTGAAATACTGATGAGTCTAATGATTTAAAAAAGCTTTACTGTCACTTGAATTGAATACTGAATTTCAATTGAAAACTTGTTTCCCATAACCTCCACCCAAACCATGAAACCAACTAGTTAATAAACCATCTTCTGTATTACAATTAAATTATTAGATTCATCTTTGATTCAGTTTGAGATTCATCTTTCAAAGAGTTGATTAAATTGAAAGCCTTTTTGCATTCAAAACTTGAAAGCAATGGTCGTAACATTTAATCAATACAACTTGTCTTTTAAAACCTTAATCAATTGAGAACATTGATTAACTCATTGATTATCATTTAATAAACAATTGATTGTGATTCGAAAGGTTGATGACTTTGATTAAGGTTACCGGTCAACAAGTAATGGTACCATAAACATTAAGGTGAGGTTAGTGAGAAATATTTTCATTCATTTGATCTTTATCCTTGTTTTGTTGAGTTATTTCTTGATACCACATCATTTGCTATTCATATTTAATAAAGAATCATTTGTTGATCAAAAAATTGATGTTATATTATGATTAGATATGAATGGGAAATGGCAACAATTAATTGTATAAGCAAGAAGAAGAAGTAAACAAATAAATGTTTACAATCATCTTAACCATCAAATCAAGGTTTAGTCAGACACTTTTTTGGCTCCTTTTTTTCAATCTGACATTTTGTTTCTTTCAATCGTCTAAACATTTTATTTCATCTTCAACAATTGATTAATTGTATTGATTGTCCATGAAAATAATAATCATAAATGTTCACAATAAACACGATTTTAACCATTCTCACCATAAACCATTCATTCATTGATTGGATCAGGCAAGATCATTTAAATCATTACTTGTCATTTTGTTGTGTTGTGGTCTTTTGTGTTGTTTAAATCAACCCTTGAAGAGATGAAGATGAATAGATTCAGTGATAGTAACATCAGTTAATCGTAGGTTGATTGTGAGTAAATCAACTGAATCCATCTTTGCCAAAATAAATGAAGATGACGATGATAATGTTGGTTAAATGGTTAAAGTAAATGGTTTCATCAAAAATTTGTGTTACATTTTCATCACAACAATTTTGCTTGTTATCCTTATTGTGATTATCTTGCTCATAAGGTTCCAGTTAAATGATTTAACAGTTGTCCATCTTGTTAGCCCGGGTCAAGAATCATGTTCACGTTGGCAATGGTGGTGGTGGTCATGGTCATGGTCATGGTGTGTATATTTATACATTCACGTAAATCATGAATATGAAAGGAAGAGAGGCAAAAAAGCATTGAATAAAAAGCAAGATGAAAGGCATAGACCAGGAATAGACTCTCCCAATAATTTTGGATCCTTTCTTAGTAGCCAACTAATGAAGTAACCAGTCTTTTTCATGCCAAAAACTTGCTTCTTCATCCTCATCTTTATCATCTTCTTTCTCCTTCTTTCTTCGTGATTTAGGACTACATATCATCAGCAATTCCTTTGCATCATCTTGTAACCAAAACCAAAATTCCAGTTCAATCTTTTTCCTTCTCTTTTTGGGTCCTTCCTTTCCTCTTCTTCTTTTACCTTTTTTTTATATTTCCTTCTTGTTTCAAGTTTCAACTTTATTCTCACTCAAATCAGGACCGGATTAATCAGATTCTCAACCATCAGGAAGCAAGCATTTTAAACCGTCATCACCATCATTAGAAGTATCAGCATTTCCTTTAGGATATAACGTTCATTGAACTGAACGAGAAAATGTGAAAACCCTTGAAAAGCACAGAATTAAGAGGGAAAACAATTAGAATCACAATTAAGGCCAAATTTTATGCATTTGTTAAAACATTTTTTCTTTATTATAAATACCACCCAAGCTTCCCAATAATCAAGTCGCCAATATTTAAAACTTGATTAAGCATCGATTTTTTCATTCAAAATGATATAACAATTGCTTTTTGATTGATTTGAAGTCTTACTGTTGAAATTTTGATTCAGATTCAAATATATTTCCTCAAATTTTAGATTGGTTAATTAGGTACGTTTTGCCCAAGCTAAAGATAAGTCAATTTATTTACAATCAAACGTGATTGTATCCACGGATACAAAACACATGTTATAAAAATTGCTATTTGTCAAGTAGTTGATAACAAATCTTAATTGTTATCCTCGATCGATTTAACAAATTTACTAGAGAATGAAATTCGCCTAGTTACAAATCGGGTAAGCATCCCAGTCTCTGTATATCCGCACAAAGCTAATATAATGCAATGTATATTTAAGCATTTTCATCGCAATAAAACTCTAAGGATAAGTCTTGATTTTTTGACCATAAAATAAATATTCAATTTTGAATTGAACTGAGTTTTGGGTTGCAAATTTTAGGTTTTCAATGGCAAAGAGTTTTTATATGAAATTTAATCACTTTTAGAAGACTTGGTCAGTTTCTAATTGATATAATTATTTACATAATTTGGATCAACAGCTATTAATATTTAAACAAATATCCTTTTGTTTACAATACATTTTAATATCATTTTTTCAATGAAAATTTTCAGCATTTACTGTTTAGAACTGTTGATTGCTGGTTGACAGGCAACACATTCAATTGATTAAATCAATTTCATTAACTATTACTGATGATAGACTCAGTAATAGCCTTCAATTTCATGTTGACATTTCTTGTTCACACCTTTTCTCCCAAAAAGATGCTCGTTTCATTATTGATGGAGCCATGCGACGGACCACTTTTTTACCACCAAAAGGAGTTTGATTTTTTCCGCTATCAACTTGTTCACTTGAATTACAATCATCTGAATTGTAACTGCATGATTGCCAAATTGTTTCAAATTATTGGTTAAACACGTTGATAGAGTTGATAAGATGTAACCAAATGGATTTGCAACACAAATGTGTGGGGTTTGAATGAAGACCAGAGATTGCAATTGTTGCCAAATTGAATTCAAATCATTATTTAAATTTTCGTCAATAATAGTTTTTTTTTCATTCAAGTTGAATTAAAGTGAAGATGCAATAATGATGATGATTGAAAGCCCAAATTGAGCAGGATAGATTCAATTATAGTGATGTAATCCAAATAAGATGATGATTATAATGAAATAGTAAAAGGAAGAGAATAAAATGAGTGATCATTAGTTGATGAGTAATAATAATTGCAATCATTTGTAATAATTAAAGTAAATATTATTTGTTTTAAAGTGAGACTTGAATATGGCAAAAAGAGGTTAAAAATGATTACATAACTCAGTGGTTGATAAATCAACTTATCATCAATCGTTAAACTAGATAATGTTGCACATTTAACAGCCACTGTTTAATCGCACAGTTAATATGCATTGTTTTGGTCTTCTCTTGCTTTCTTTTCTTTTTCTTGTTCTTCCATCTCTTTCTCTTCTCTTTCTTTCTCTTTCATTCTCTTTCATTCTCTTTCATTCTCTTTTCACTCTCTATCTTCTCTCTTATCCTTATCTTTCTTCACCTTATCTCTCTTCATCTTCATTCTCTTTCATTTCTCTCTCTCTCGGCTTCTTTCTATGGACATCGTTACGTAAATTTTTTAAACAACTGCCCCTCGCAGTTATGAGATAAAATTCACTCGGGCTACGCCCTCGTGCTTTACATCTCATAACTGCTTGTGGCAGTTGTTTAAATAACTCGTAAAAAACCTGAAATCAGGTTGGTTAAATTGGTAAAGAACGATAAATAAACATGTTTTATGAATGTAACAGCAATGATGGTGATCATCATAATCATCATTATTATTGGTAAAAGGCAATCGATTTAAAAACTGAAATTGAGCTCATTAATAATTATAATTTCAGCAAATAGTCAAAAGGTAAAGCCAAAAACTATCCTTTAAATTGCTTATCTGGTTATCATTATTAGTAATGTTACTGTTAAAACATAACTAAAGTATCATTAACCATTCTTACCCAGTATTTGATTGACTACGGACTCCTGGACTTGCCGGGTTACTTGATTCAAATTTGCCTGATGTTTCTGAGGCTTGATTAATATCATATAAACTTAAACTGCCCATAAGATTGCTTGATGGATTACTTTGATTCTTATTAGTCCAATTACGATACTCCTTATTCAAACATCGACCAGTAATACTGTTTACCTGTTTAGAGGAATAATGTAAATTGTTATTAATCGATGGATTGAATAAAGTGTTGAATTTTCTTACAGCAAGAGGATGTTGAGGTTTAGTTGAATTTAATCTTGCTTGAGATGAATTGGCTTGGTTTGACTTGGTCGATAGACGTGGCTGAGGTCGAGGTGGAAGTATTGGTGGTGGAGGAGACATTAAGCTGGGCAATGATACTTCAGAATTTGATCGTTGATAATAATCTATAGATTGTTCACCATTAACATGATTTGGCTCTTGTTGATGATAAAGCATCTCATGATGACAATTATTTTTCTCATGATGGTTATTAAAATCTTTCGTTAGCTCAATAGATTGGCTTTTAGCGTTGTTTTCATGGCAATTTACTTTGTTCCTGGGTGAAGACAAATTACTATCATTAATATTATCATTTTCATCATGATACATATCATGGCCATTATTATCTCCATTTTCATCGTCAAGCCAACAGGATAATTTAAATGGTACACTAAATTTGTGTTTATCTGTAATTAAACGCGGGTTGATTCCTGTTCCACTATTAGCCAATGTACCATCACGATTTAAACTGTAAAAATTGGTTGAATCCTTTAAATATTGACCATTCATTGGATTGGTTGATTCCTTATAAGCAGAGAAACGATTAATCAATTCCTTAACTGACACTAAGGATGTAATGTTTCCCAGATTTTCCAATACTTGAGCCTCGGCATGTTTATACTGCAGATGATGTTCATTAATGATTCTCGGTAAACCAGGTGAACATGAAGATGAAGATGAGCCTGCTGATGGTAAAGGTGAAGATGAACATGAAACTGTTGGGGTTGGTGCTGTCGTTGTAACCGTTGGTATCAATATTTTTCCTGGTAAAGTTGACTCTTCATGAGAATTTATCAAATCCGTTTCAGAATAATTTAAACCTGGTGACTCGGAGGCTGAAAAATATTTCACCGAAGAGTAAACCTGAATTTTAAGAGTGAAAAAGAAGAAAAAAAAACACAAAATGATTAATGAAACAACCAATTAAACAAGAATGTTGAAAATCAAAGTAAAAATCATAAATAGATTATAACCAGGAAATTTTTCTTCCTCCAATTAATCACATTTTCACTGTCTTTTTCAACTTAATTTTGATTCTTAGCTAAATTTAAAAATATCGATTGATGATAAATAAGATTCAATGAAAGTTAACCAGAATAAAAAACAGGTAAAGGTGAAAGTAATAGCTGGTGAAAAAAAGTAATAACAAGTGATTGCAACAATTCTTGGTGAGTTTCCACCTAAAGTAAAGTTACAATTCTGATCCATCTGAAGTTGGGTGTGAAAATGTAACGTGATAATCTTAAAAATAATAATCATTCTGAAGGAAACTCTTCATGAAAAAATCATCATACAATCTTAAAGGGGGCAAAAAAAGGTTGATTTTTTTCGTGATTTGATGATTTTGGTGGTGAAGAAAATAGCAGTTGAATGGGATCGGATGGAAGAAAAAGAAATGATTACTTTGAATGAGAGAAAAATGTTGATGATTATGTTCAATTGTGAGTTAATTTATAAGTTACCGATGGCTCGTCATGCAACAGATTATCACACATTATTTTGGTTATTGCATTGACAGGCAACAATGTATATTATTTATTTTCATTGTGTCAATTTTTGACTCTTTGTTGCTCTTGTTTTACTTGTTGCTTTTGTTGTTACTTGTGTAAATGAAAGAATAACTTTATTCACCTTTTCATCAAAACCATTGCAAGTTTCATGCTCCTTTGGTACATTTGGCACATAATAGTCTCTCTTAAACCTTCCCATGTCTTTTGAAGGTGAAATGTAAGGTAAAGCATGAAGATTTGCCTCATCGTCTTCAATACGGTTCCTTGGATCACCACCTGATGATGGATCCAAAGAATCAAGAAATTGATTTAAATGTTTACGTTTACCGACATTCTCAGTGGTATACGGATTATCAGGCCAAGCAACTGTCGATTCTTCCCATTTTTTATGCTCCCGTTCAGCGATCGATGCAATTCTAGGTGAAAGTGAAGCTTCATCCGGATGACACGATGAGAGAACCTGAGAAAAGCAGAAAAATTAATAAAAAAATATTTAATGTAAATCTATTTTCCAATGTTAACAGCCTATCAATTACTGACTGTTGATGTTAATTATTTTACCTCATTTTCTTGACGATGAGAATGAAATGTTTCCGACAGGACTTTCGGTCCATTAGAGGTTGAATTTGCTTTTGTTGAACGTTGTTTAGTAGGAGGTGGACTCGAGACAACCTGTAAGTTAAAAGTAAAAAATGATTAGTAATTTTTTCATTGGAAAGGATGAGCAACAAATTGAATGACAAATTTTGAATTTCAAGCATTATATTCATCATTGTATATTGATTTGTTTTCATTGTTATTTTCTTATTGTTTTTGAGTCAAATGGCTGTATTCAAGATTGTTTCCGATCACCATAACATTCATCGATGCATCACTGATCACTCTAATAGAATGTAAAATTGATGTTCTTTCAAGATTAGGGTTGACATTAATTATCATTACCTTCAATTATATGTCACCAATAATTACGCATCAATTGCTAAGCCAAACCACACAATTAGTGTACAAATTTGTGTTCAATTAGATTAATTGTCAGGATTGGTGTAAAAACACAACGCTAACATGAATAATAATAATTGAAAAATGAAAATAAGATTGAAAGGTTGAACTAACATCTACAACTACAAAGAATGCAGTTATTCCAGGTTCCATTTGATTCAAAAAGTTAATGCTTACTAAGGTAAAATGGCAATCATCTAGTCATGAAAATTTACTGATCAATATTCAATGGTTAACCAGATTTATAGCTGACACAGGAACTGAAAAACAATTACATGGATTGTTTGATATTTAAGTAAATTATAATTATTCATGATTTTGTAATTCTGCTTATGCTAACGAACTTGAAAAATACAAACAAAAAGCTTGAAAGCATCAATAACTGGATTCTATCGTCAAGATAATGGTGATGATGGAAGAGCAAAAATCATCAAAATTTTGGTTCCATACACTGACTAGCAAATAATATATTAATAACGTTGTTAGTAATGAAAAAAGGGTAAAATTAACATCATGATTCAGTATAAAACTGGTAACTATCAAAAGGTCAGTTAAAGGTTAATGAAATACAATGTTACGAGCAATTTAATTTAAAATTTTGCTTAATAACAGTTGTAAAAAACAGGGATTGAGTTGAGTTACTGTTAACTAACATTTTCAAACTAATTATAAGATGAGTCCATTAAACACACAAAACCAAATTGCGGGTTCTTTAAACTAAATTAATTGTACAATTTGCTATAAATATTTAATTAGTAATAGACGAGTAAGCAACAAGACGAGTTTACAATGAATCAAGAAAAAAGTGAAACTGTAATTAAATGGACTGTTGAATGTAAAATGGTTAAGATTGACAAAATTGTTGACCAAATTAACATCACTATTTGTTTCATTTTTATAATTATCTGAATGAATGCTTGTGATTTTTAAATGATACTTGATAGTTGACAATTTATTCAACAATTATCAAGTGAAAAATGATTATTTAGATGTTTATTTATACATTAATAGTATCTAATGATATGATGATGGACAATTTTATCAACTGAAAATGGTTTAGATTTGAAGTTTATTAATTTTGGTCGATTAACATGACAATTTAATGGGCATAAGATTGAAAATGTAGCCAATTGTGATGTTAATCATGATTAAGTTGATTCATGATTTTGATTTTTGTAAGCGCATTCAGTACATTCGTTACTTGCCATCATTTTGACTTGAAGCTACATTTTAGTTGATGAAAATTAGGACTTGAAACTTGAGGAAGTATTTTTTGAGTTGATGAAAACAATTGAATGATGAATCAATGAATAGTAATTATTGTAAAGTTGATTGCTAAATATCCTGACCATTCAACATTTGATTACTGTGATGACTGGAAGTAATCAAAGGTTCAAGCATTTCTGCTTTATATTTCTTGCCTTCTTGAACGTGTAGAGTTGGATGACTTAATTGGAATAATTAAATCTCTCTGAATCAAAGTTAATTGTAACCCTGAATCATGTGAACAGATTCAACCATTTTACTTTCATTTTGATAAAGATATAATGCGCATTGAATGTAAACAATGGTCCACAAAATGGCCTTCTTCATTGCAATACCATCTTAATTTTGTTTAAACAATGATAATAATAAGGGAAGAATTAAATACTCAAACTGAATTAATATGTTCACGACTAAAGAATGATAATGGCCATGATAATGACATGTAATAAAGGTAAATACAGTTAACTGAAAGAGTAATGAGCCGCTTTGAAGGTTTTGTTTGTTAATTGAAGCTTTCGAGTTTATAAAAACTTGATTATAACTAACCTTTTGAAAGGATTTTGTTGATGATCTGGGAAACCGATAAGGATGATAATCCTTCTTGGGATATATTTTCACATTAAAATCAATCCAATGTTGATTAACATGGTTGAACACACAGGCTGAATAGGTTCCAGAAAGGTCAACTCGGGTTGATTTGATTTCCAAAATGTGGTCAGTGAAGTGTTTGAATGTTTTGAAATCTTTAGTTTCAACTCCATCTTTGTTGAACATTTGGTCAAACTCATCTTTTGGTTCAACATTGAATTGGTCAAAACGTCCTCTTTCAATGGTTCCTCCAATTAATTGGCCTTTACGATACCAAGCAACTCCTAAAGGTTGACTACCTTTAACACGGCAACAAAATTGAATCAATATATCACTTTGAACGTTGGCTGATTGGGGTAAAAGGGTAAAGGTTGGATCATCATTGTTGGCATTTGTGATAGCTCCATTAGTTGACTTGGTTTGGTTATTATTGCCAGTATTGGCAATAAAAGGTTGATTACAAGTTAATGAAGATGATCTTTTATTAGAAGGTATAAAATCGGGTATTTTTAAAGGTGCTAATGGAGATGATGATTTATGATTGGCAGCTGAATTGAGACACTTTGTTGATTTTTGTTTGTTGTTGACTATTGTTGATTTGTTATAAGGAGTTGATGAAGATGATGATAGCGATGAGGCGGGAAAGGGTGATGATGAAGCTGACGAGGCTGAGTGAAGAGGAACTTTTAACTTGGCTGATGATGAACATTTAATATTTTCAAGAGGATATGAAGACGATGATTGAACTTCAGTTTCATCACTTTCCGATTCTTCATCGGATGAAAATTCAAGTGAACCAACTGAATTACGTTCGGTTAGATCAGATAATTGGTCAACTGCGGTTAAACCAATAAAGCGAGGCACATTTTGACTAGGATTGGGAATAAACATGCAAACAGGATTTGTTGATTCAGATAGGTTAAGAAGACAATAAAGAGGTGCAACATCATTTTCAGCTTTACGTTTCTTTTGGAAAAGCCAATTCTCTTCCCAACTAAAGTCATCAACCACTTTCACTTTATTAGTTAATTTAGATTCATCCATATTATCACCATTTATAAGCTTCTCATTGGTCTCATCATCGTCATCTCTATCAAGATAAGCTAAATCCATAATATCCAAGCCAAGCTCAGGGAAAGCAACTCGAGCACAGCCTTTACTGTTTAAATCTAGACCATAAGGATCAAGTAAAGAATCAACATGACGACGTCTCTCTGGATCAGAATCAACAGAATCCTTGTAACCTTCAGAACCAACGGCTGAATCAACTCCGTCCTCCTCTTCGTCTGGAGCCGTTGTTGTTGTTGTTATCTCTTCAATTTGCTCCTCAATCTTGTAAGCTGTATCTCGATCTTTAATAATATCAGCAATGTTAACATTAGATTCATTTTCACCTCCTTTGTAACTATTCAACCTCCTTGATTCTGGATATATTTCCTCTTGATGATAAATTACACAACCATCATAGGGTTCAGTTTGTTCAACACTAACGTCGGAGTTATTATCTTCCATTCTTAAATTGTTACCGTTGACTTCATTTCCTTTCACTTTTTTGGTACATTTCATTGAAGATGGTTTTCCCGATCAAGTTGAAGGTGTTAAGGTAAAATAATTATCTTTCACTATATTCCCGTTTGACTGAGTTCACTATCTTCACTGATGAAGTTTGTTTCCATGCAATTTTGGCTGATACTTTAGAGCCACACTGGCGCCTCTATTGCCACAAAATTGTGCCTCAAACGTAGCGCGCTCATTTTAAAGCACGAGGCCACTATGCGCCTCAATACGTTGGAATTTGCGACTTTACTAAAAGTTGAAATATTCTGATATTCACTGTCAGCTTCATGAATAGACCTTAATTTTGTTGGTAAACCCAAAAGTGAAATAGATATCAAAAATAATCAAAATAACCCAAATTACCTGAAAAAGTTGCTTGTTAAGCATCTGGTGTCATCTATTGGTGAACTTTTGAATCTGGTTGTAGGTTGAATTTTTGTTTATTTTTATTATAATTGATATTAGAGTTGGACGTTAACTGAAAATGATATTGTTATTGCATAAATTATTGATAATTGCCATAGTTATCGAAAAAATAGAACGAAAATTAAAGCATTTTAATGAAAAACATTTGGTAGAAAGCTCGAGCAAACACAAAATATCAGTATTTTATCGTTTAATCTTATTATAAGACCAGTATAAGATCGGAATGAAATGTGCTCATAAGAGGTTTACGAATGTATGTTAATATTTATCGAAAACTATCGATATTTTTATTGTTATCGTCCAACTCTAATTGAAATGAAGAACGGTCAAGAAAGAAAAGTGACTTTCATATTTTAAATATCAAGATTTTATTTTGCAAATTTTGTTTGACAAAAATTATTATTGACTTGAAGATAACGAGCTGATTTAGTTAGCATGTAACATTAGGAAGCTGTCTAGTCAGAGAAAGTAAAATATTTTGGCATTGGTAAATTAGCAAAATTACCAACAAAAAACTTTGAATAATAAGCTAAGCTTATTTTACATTTTAATTTTTTCAAATAAATCCATATTAGCCATGTAACAAAAAAATGGAACAGAAGGTTAAAGAAATAATCCATTGAAAAACTGAGCGATAAACCAAAGGTAAAATTGAAGACTGGAAAGTGAATCGATAAATTTTTCAAAATTAATGATCAACGAAAAAAATGCTAAGTTTTCTATTTTCGAACCATCTTGTATCTAAATGTTGCTGATATCGTAGGTACCCATTGGATGATGATGATGGCAATCAGCGAATATCAAATGATTTTCAGAATAGAAAGTTGACGAGGTCGATCTGTTATTTGAATTGATTGATGAATTTTATGCTTTAATGGCCACATTGCTGTTGTTAGGATGTGTTGTGATGATGTTATTATCAAAAAGATCACGAAAAAACACAATATTGATATTAAATATTGTAAATAAATACCATCATCTAGGCACTACTAGGCCCAGGTACTCTTGGTTTTTTGTAGCACATACGAAGGCCCACGGCCAGTAAGAAGGCAAAAATCATCATTATAACCATAAAGGCAGACATGACAAGAACCAAAGCCCATTCCGAGTGCTTGTAATCCATTGTTGTGACTTTAATGTGTGAATCAACCTAAAAATTGAAACGGTGAAGAAGTGAAAGTGTCACAGAAAGAAAAGGTGTAGTCGAGAAACAGGGAAAAAATGAACGAGATGAAGAAGGCAGTTGAAAGGAATTGAAGTCAAGGCAATTTTAAAGCAAAAAGTTAAAAATACGAGAAAAGATGAATTTAACTCGAAATAACTTGAAATGAAATGAGTCAGATGAAAGAAAGACAAGGAGAGCAAGAAAAAGCAGTTGAACAGAGAACAGATTAAACAAAGAAGCAGGAGAATGAGCGAGATGAAACTCTTCTTGAACAGCTTCAACAAAAATGCGAGATTGTATGATGAAAAGAAAGAGAGACAAATTCACTCTCGACAATGAAGAAAGAGTCGATTGCGCCATTATAAAGAAGAAGTTTCTCTTCAATCTTTTCCTTTCCCTTTCCCTTTCTTTTCTCTTTTCTTCTCTTCACTTACTTTACTTCTCTTGTTAGTTTTGCCATGTGATTCACTGTCTATTGCTGGTTATCTTTCTTTGGTTGCCTTTCCTGTTGTTTTGCAAGGAATCAATGTAGCCAGTTGAACCAAACACGAAGACCAACAATTAAACTTTCACCATTCTCTTGTTGAACGTATCGTTATTAGGTTAACTTTGTCCGTTCAATCCTTTGAACATATTCATTCTAAATAGCTTCGAGTAACTACGTTGACCTAATTGTAAATTCAAAAAACTTGGACGACAAAAACATTCAAATTGTTTTGTTAACTCACTTGTTTAACACCCAAAAAGCCAACTTTACCGTCAAGTTTGGTAACTATGGTAATGAGGGAAACTAAGGGGGAAAGTAGTAATCAAGTTATGATTAAAATTTGAAATTGATAGTTGATTTCCCCCTTGACAACCTTTTTTACCCACCTTAACCTAACCCTTCCCCCTAAAAAACCAAAATGTCTTCTCAAATTACCCAAATTGTGATAAACATTAGCTTTAAAAATCTAAACACTACTTGTTCAAATGAACCCAATTATTTTGTTTCAATTTAACTTTTGTTTTAAAATGTTTCTTAACTGTTAATCCAAGTTTCCTCACATTTTATACTCTTACACATGTTTCAATAGTAACTTAAGTTGTTTTTTTTCTTGTGTACTTTGGTTTAGTTTCTGACGATTTGTTTTCTTTTCTCTATTTAACAAATTTCTATATTTAGGTATAAAACCTCAATGTTCAGTCCTGGATTTCATTTTCACCTGACGCTTCTTTGCTCTTCACCTGTTTTCTATGGGTGAAAAAGTTGGAATAGTGTTAACCAGTTTTATTATTTTCCTGGTAATGTGTTAAAACTAAACTTGTTATTCTTATACTTCTGTGGAACTCACTAGAAGACCAAAAAGACCAGAAATTGATCTTTTCTGTGAATTACTGTATTTTTGTTAATTTTTTGGTTAGTATTTTTTACCAAATGTATTGAAACTGCGCAACACATACTCACAACCTGACAGTATTTCCCTCTTAAATGGTACCTTTATTCAATATTTTCTTTTGAGTAGAAACATTTCATTATAATAAGTAGCACAAGTGTAAATATCCTGTAATGTTTCTTTTTTCTCTGTCTATTCTCGAAGCTTACTCTTATTTAATGCCTTAATTGTCCTAATATTTCTCAATTTCTATTATCAACATCGTTACAATAGAATCTTGTATCGTTTGTTTTTCCTTGAGCTAATATTTTTATCCTTTCAATCTTTGCCAAGTTTCTTGATTTCATTTTCCTCTCATTCATTAATCTCATCTCGAATCACAAGTTAATTTTACTTGTTTTTTAATTTCAATTTAACGAATCTTCTCGATAGTCAATTACAGTCAATGTCAATCCCATTATTACCTTAATCTAACCTAATTACATAAAAAAAGTTTCCAATCTCGCCTGATCAATGCCATAAAAACTAAATGATTTTTTTTCCTCTTTTTTTGTTAGGTTTACTCGATCGATTTTGCAAAATACAATGTTACACATATTTCAGTTCAACTCAAGGAATGAGGTGAAAAAGGAAACCCAAAAGAACTATTAAACTCCCAGTGAAAACAGGGAATGATCATAATGAACAAAAATACTTCAACATCATTAATATCTTCGTTGCTGACAATGAACTTTATTTAACAATATAATATGATATTTCATGCTTGGTTAGAATCCAATTCTTTCACCTCTTTCTTTCTTTCTCTCTCCATTTCCAGCCTATTTCATTAAGTTTTATAATAATGATGAAAATCGCCATGAAGACAGGATCCATAGAAGCTGAGCAAGACCAAGAAGAAAAATGGAAGACTAACAAAAATGATCTTTATTGTATTCTGCCTGCTGTATCAACATCCACAAACATTTGCAAACAAATGCTTTCATCTTCATCGTAATCATCTTGATCATCAGGAGAGAAAAAAAACATTGTCATCGCTATTACCATTAGCTTTAACATAACCATCAACTTAATGTTAATCATAACTTCAATAGAGAAAGAAAAGAGCTTGCAAGTAAGTTTGAAAAAGGGTTTAGTTTATCCTGGTAAGAATGTTGAATACGAGCTGGAGTTAAGAAAAGATGCTGAGAAAGAATAGAAATGTAATAAAATTACAAGAGAAAGAGAGGAAGAAAGGAGAAGAAAAAATCGACAGCAAAGTGAATTTCATCGATCAGGGTCATCCGAAGGCTTTGTAAGATCATGTCAACTCGAGTTCTGATTTTACTTCTCTCCCTGTTTGTCTCTTCATTCTCATTTTTACCTTACTCTGAATGGGTTTCACCTTCCGCGAAGAAGTTAAATAATCATGGATGGTAAATGTATAAAAAAACATTGATCTCACCAGAGGAAGGAACAAAAAAGCAATCAAGAAACATCATTGTAAGGTAAACTCACTGGAGATGGAAAATAATTAACTTAATCAATAATTTACAAGAGTTAAAACATGAGTTGGTTAAAGTGGCAAAAGCAAAGGCTACAAGAAAAAATACAACAACTAAGATAACATGAAATGGTAAAATGATACTTTTCTTGCTGAACAGGAAAAGATTCATTAACATTTATCTTCATGGGAAAACTTTGAATGGCATCCAGTTTAATAATGGTTAATCTAATTGATTTCAATTTGATCAAATTGAGCTGATCAATTGACTCAGGTTTAAATTTTTTCACTCAATTGCTTCCTTGTGTTCACACTTTAACATACTTTTTCATTCTCTAATTGCAGATGTGATTTTGGTTCAATCTATCATTGACAAACGGCTCCAAATGAAAATCAAATTAATTGGAAACATTTGATGCCAACAAGGAAAAAAGTCTAGTTTCTTGGATGGATTCATAATCAAATTGGAGGTTATCATGGAAACAGTTAATATAATTGGAATGGAAATCATCTCGAATGTAACTCTTTTAAGGATCATCAAACCACCAACTTTCATCTATTCATAGAAGACTATCATTCAAGTTGACTCTTTTTTACAACCAGACATCATTGGTTAAACACAAAGAATCTTGTTTCACCAAACAGGTTGTCGGTAACTTGCAATAATGTAATCAATTGAGGTAAAACAATTGATGATTGATTGACACAATTTACACATATTACCTTAAATTACCTATCAAGCTGTTGTCAACGCAAAAGAAGAGTTTTTTGGCCATATAACAGTGAATTGTGCCACGGAAACGTTTTTAATGGTGGAAATCAATTAATAGCCAACTATTAATTCCATAAATCTTCAACTTTGAATGTTATCAAATGATAATAATTTAGATTTGCCGTTGAATGGGTGTTGCAATGTCATTTCCGTTGATTATGATGATTGTAATAGTTATTATTGTTAATTAACGAATGACTGGTTATTATGAACGGTTCTTGTTCAATTTATCATGATTAATGCTGGAGGACCTCCTTGAAGCGACATGAAGAGACTCAAAGACAGAGAAATTAGACAGAAAAAATTGTGGCAATAAAAAGCAATTGAACGTTGATAGTGAAAAGTGAAACAAATTGGTAAATCGATGAATGAAACTGAACGTTTCATTGATGATTTTCATTTTACTATATCAGAGGTTGATGAAATTGCTTTTTTGTTATCACAAACATCACCGTAAGATAAATTTATCATTGAAATATGGTTAAGTGAATGAAAATTGTATGTTATCTGTTCATTTTGAAGTAACTTTATTGATTAGAGTTGAGAGTTGGATAATTTTTGATCAATGTAAATAACTTATTAGTCAGGCAAGTATATCATTTGACACACAATTAATCATAAGCTGATCATTCTTGATTCCAATTTTATTTGGTTTAAGATTGTATTTACACTAAAGGCTGTTGTTGACATTAATATCTTCACAGTATTTTTCTTGTTCAATCAACTTAAATTGTGGCAAGAAACGCACACAAATATCATTACAGAGTTAATACTTTTGGCATTTCAGATGAAAATACAAACAAAACAAGCACAAATTATCCTTCATTAAAGAGCTATTTATAAATGGCAAATTATTTAGTTTATTTAGATGGTTTTGCTGGATTAATTTACCATTAATTTATCTCTAATACAATACAAGCTCATTCAACAATAAACCATTGAATTAATTGATCAACCTTATCAGAATTGGCGATATCAATATCCAAGTGAACAATACTTTATAAAAAGAGTATCCGCTCAACTATAAATTGTTTGGTTAAAATTAAATATTAAATTACAGTCTAAAGCTGTTTAGTTTGAGGTCTAACAATGAGCCGTAATAATTTATATTACTTGTTATCTTCATTTGAGGGTGAAAGGAATCTGAAGAAAGATCTGATAAAAGGGAAAAGCGTTTGAACAATAAGAAAATTAAATTTAAGATTATTAGATAAATTCAATTGATTCTGATGGCTTTTAAGCTTTTGGCTTGTATTTTGATTCTTAATTTTTGTACTTTGTTCCAACTTAAATTAGTTATACACAAAAAAGAAATGAGAAACTAATCTTTACTGTGGAGTCACTGGGTGTTCATTAAATTTGATGAAATTACGATGAACGAAAGATTCAACTGATATAAAATTAATTAAACAAAACTAAATATAAAGTCCAATTGAATTGATAACCAACAAGAAAAAGGAATTGATTAAAGAGCTTGCGCCATCTATTATCCCAATTTTAAACATTAGCGAATATTTGCTTAATATTATAAATTAATATTTTGCTTCAATTTTTTTTTGAGTTTAATATCACTGTTGATGGATAAAATCATTTGTTTAATTGTGCAATTTACCAGTTTTCAATTGTTTTTAGGAAATTATAAATTCGGTTTCTCTATTTAATAGGCTGCAGTTAATGTTCAATTTTGTATTTGTGTTAAAATATAAATTCATCAAATATATCATATAAAAGAAGCTTAAATTTTAGAAACCAAATAAAAGAAGCTTAAATTTTAGAAACCAAATAAGCCTCAACTCGCCTCAGTAAGAATAGACTGTGTAACACTGCGACTAACAATTTACATAAAGATTCAACAATAATCATGAAAAAAGGTAAGATAAACAGTGACTTCCATAAAAAACATGAAAGGCATAATGTTACTGTAGATAGCTGCTTTTGTTTAGAAAGTTAAAGATGTTTCGAGAAAGTAAGTTCTATTTTATTTTTATTTTTACTTAAGCCTCTTCATTTGTAGTAATAATAATATCATTATTTTTTTGCAGGTAAGAACAAGGAAAGTAGGTAACACAAACAAACAGCCAAAATTACCAAAGTTTACCAGATAATTCAAGCACTAGATACAAAGTAATAACACATCCAAGTGGAGCAACATTGACACAGCGTTTTATTTTAAAGATTTTTTTATTTGTTTTTCTATCTTATCTTATTTTTGGCTATTCACTGTTGAAAAGAGACAGAAAAAGCATTGAACTTCTTAAGGAAGTCGAAGGAAAAGTTTACCTTTTCAAATTAGGTAATTGTTTCTTCTCGCCCAACACAACTCAATTATCGCACTTAGCTTTCCTTTACCCTGTTAAATGTTACCCGATGTGTGTGAGCGATTGCCCTTTAGAAAGTACAAACTTAAGCCAAAATAAAGCATCCTTACCTTTCTTGTGAAAGACTATTCTGAAGATGATGAAAGTAATAATGATTACTTTACATCTCTTACAATGTCACTTTTGAAAGGTCAAGAAGGTCAAAACTCATCATCATCACCATCCACAACAACAACAACCCCAATATAATACAGATGTAAACTGTCCATTTACCTACCTTGAACTTACCTTCCTACCTTAGTAACCAATTGTAGGCTTAAAGTTATTATTTTGTTTCGCTTTTCACAAGCTTAAAAGCTTTCAAATTTTTTGAACCGCTAATCTTGATTATTATTAATTGTCAACCTTTACTTTAACTTACAATTCTTGTGATCATTATTAACCAACAATTTATTCCTCTATAACCTATTATTAGCGATGAAAAGAGTCCGTGTTTATATATGTGTTTGGTTAATCTTTGAACACTGAATTTTTCGTACAATGCATAATTGTTATAATGAAATATATCTATAATAATAATTGCACCAAAAATACTGGACAATTCTGGACATTTTTCAATACAAATAAACTCACACAGACACAGGATTGAATACCTTACCAGGTTTACATATATTTTTGCAAATCAATTTAACTGGAACTAATGTTAACCTTGTGAGGTCTAGCAAAGAAAGGGTTCAACAGATCCAAGCAAAAAAAAGCAAAAGGTTAAATTGGCCAAATTTAAAGTCTTACAGCCATTATAACTCTTGACCACTTTTAACTCCTTCACTGTTTACCCCTTTACAATGCTAATAACAATAAAGATGCAAAATGAGAAAAGTAACAAATGAATAATGATCTTGTTGGTAACAAACGTTTCAATCCTTTTTTTCATGTCAACCTTTTTTTCAACCTTCTCATCTCAATCTTCCTCTTCTTTGTCTTCTTTAGTATCTAAAGGATGGTTGACTTTTCAAACTCAACCCAATCTCAACTAATTTACTCGAGATGTTTTAGATTCATCAATTCGGATCACTTCAATTTAAATTTGATTCCCTTTCTTCTCAATGTTTAACATTTTATTGACCATTTATAATAGCAAAGTGTAAATAATTGTTCACAATGGTTTAGTTAAAGGGTATAATAAAAACAAAATGCAATTTAAGTTTATTATAATACAAAAAAGCAATCATTGGTAATGTATTAACAAATTAGTTATTGGAATAAGATATAAATTGTATTTTGAAGAGCAGTTTTCACTAAATAGCAAAATTGGATTATTCAACCATCCTGGCTGGCTTAAGAAAATTAATTGACTTGAAATTGTTGAAAACACTTGAAATGGATTGAATAGTTGAATGGATTCAAGAGAAGAGATTCTTAATGTTCCAATAATTGGCTGTGTGTTTCTTCAATAACTGCTTTAGTATTTAAAAATAATAATCAATTTAATAATTGCAATAAAAATGCTTCTTTTTTATCAAAGGATAAGTTAATTCTTGTGTTTTTCAACTCCGTTTGATATTAATCGTCCCAATTAAGTAAACGGATTGTCTCAAATTAATCAGATATATTCTCTCTTGTAATTTCAAGCATAATGTTTCCAATGATTAAAATCACTTAGTGACCAAACCATTGCGTGCAGCTAAATACAGATTCCAAGTCGTATTATCATTATAACGCTTTCCATGATCTTCATTGATCTTCATTTACACATGAACTTATTGAATCTTTTTAATTTTTCTTCTGAACATGATAATAACGGTCATCATCTTAATCCCATCTCAGGTTCCAGTATTGAATTATTTTAGAGGTTTGGCTTTTTGATCCTTCTTTTGGTGAATCTTTTGAAAGCGATGAAGGTAATTGATAATCAGTTGTATTACTTGTTTTCAGTGAGAAAAAGTTCTTGAACTTGAGATAGACCATGAAAAGCTCACATTAAGACGGATTAGTTTATTTCTTTGAGAAGATCGCTTTGCTTTTTTGGCCTTCCTTCCGCCTTCTTTGTTTATCCCTCTTGTAAGTCGGGTCTAATCAATAATAATGCATGCCTAAACACACAGCAATGATAATATCGGTGCTCAAAGTTGATGCTCAAAAAAGCTCAAAAATTGCATTGTTATGGTCAATTTAAGGTTTTGTCAGGTAACTTGTAGGTTATAAAGAGATGACCAACCAGGAGAAATGCAAAAAGGTAGCGAAGAGGATTTGTAATTTACCCTTCTCTTTGACGGAATAAATTTGGCAGGTTTTCGATCACCTTGTCTTTGTTTCATAGACCACAATCAAAATGATTTAACTTTATAACACAATAAAAGACATTTTGAAAGATGATAACTGGTAAAACAATCTTTCCTTCAATTTGTATAAACTTTACTTTGACTTGCTTTTTAGCTACGATCATGATCTTCAGATTTGAGATGTTACTTCAATCATTTGTATGTTGATGAGTTGCTTTTGTAAAACTTGCTATTTACACGTATAAATTAATTCCTCCTTTGATTGACAAGGATCACAAATAACTTGACAGCACCAGCGAAAACGACAGTTACAAAGGCCAGGTTTAACAATAGTTTGGGTATTATAGCCCCGACCACAGCACAAATGGTCACAAGAATCTGGTCCCTCTGAGTTTTTATTACAACGGCGACCTGAAGTACCCAAAATGCCCAAATGAGGTGCATGCTCACAATAGTTGGGAGATTTACGAATATAAACCAAGTCATCTTCGTTAACCTGATCAGCTTTACGACCTCTCCTCCTTTTAGAGATACCTTTTTTGTCTTTGCTTTTGACATTTCTCTTTATTTTGATTGATTTTTCATACTTTTCTTTCAAATAACTGCCAACTTGTGAGAAATTAGGTAAAACTCTCCAACATGTTTTCAATTCACAAGAACCAGAAATACCGTGGCACCGACATCTACTCTCCATTTTACGATATACAGCCTAAAAAATAGAGACAATGAAACAAGTTAGTTTAGAAAACCCTTTTTTAAGTATAGCAAGTACAATAAATTGAATAAAGACATCTTGAAGAAGATTGTTTCGAAGTAAGAAAGGTTTGTTTGTTTCAATTGTAAAGGCAAGTTAATAGTTACTTGAGTAAGTGAGAAGTATAAAATGTAATTGACTCGAAAAGTCTGACAAAGTAATCAAGGTTAACTGTTGGACTGAGGTAAAAAGGTATATTTTTAGATCGGTAAAGATGGTTTCTTCTTCCAACAAAAGTTGTCTCTTTTGATTTGTAAGAAAGGTTTCAAGTTGCAATTGAGGAATAACAATTTTAAAAATAACAAAAACTATTTACTTCATATTCAATATCTGATACATTAAATAAGAGACAAGTAGCTAACATAATATAATATCAATAATGGTACTAACCAATCGACCAGCTCTATTATTGTGTAGATTCATCAGTGCTTCAGGATCATCAGGTTTACGTTTAAGAACTTCCTCGTCTGGAGAATCGACAAATTTCTTTGCAAAATTCATGGCATAATCAATATTATCTGAACAGCCACCCCATTTCCAGCCACCGTCAGATGAAGATGTCATACGTCTATCACAGCTACAATCAGTTATGTTACCACTTCGACAAGTTTGACTTAATGAGTGGACCACACCTGAACTGGTAATTGCATAGAAGAAGGCTGTCTCTTGACTACCTGTTGACAGAAACAAAAAAGGGTGAAAAATAACATTTGTAATTAATAAACTAAACAAAATAAACACAATAAGTTAAAAATAATAATAAGATAAAAGAAGCGGTAAAAAGGCGTTACCAAATGCATTGAAATTTTGAGCGGTAAGATTAAAAATGAAATTAATTAAAGCAAATGAGGAAACTTTCGAGATTAAACTTGGATTCATGGTGATTAAACATTACCTAATCTATCAGAAATGTTACAATTAAACAAGCACACTGAAAAAGTATCATTAAACTGCCAATCAATCATCCAATGTGTAAAAATGGAGTGTAAAAAAGGTTGTTAGTTTGATTTATTTCCTACCAAAGTTGACACATTAAGCGCATTAAAGGCAATCTATTAACCTGACAATCTAAATATCTCTAAGTATCACAATTAATAAATCAACAACAACTAAAGGATACTATTTACAAGTTAAAGTCAGATCAGTAAGCTTGAAACGTCAATACAAAAGTGAAAATGTCTTAATCAAAATGCTGCAAAATCCAAAAACAGTAGCCATTCAAGAGATGATTGTCTTAATTGTAGATAATGTACCAAATTGGTTGAAACGAGAAACAAATTGTTGGATAATTTAAACTTAAATTGACTCTGTGACTATTAAATGAATTGAAATGAATCAACAGTAATCAAAAAATGGTGCAAAAAATGAAGCAAAAAAACAACAACAGGTAAAAACCAAGCCTCTTTTACATTTGTAATGTAATTTTCAATTTCGGGTAAAATTAAGTTACTAACCCAGGGTTCGACCTCCCAAAGAGTTTTACCTTTACTGTAATAATAATTGTCTAATAATAATGATAATGTGAGCAACAATATAATAACAATAAAATTGCGTTAACACATATAACAATTTAGTTGATTCAACTCGTAGGTAAGGAGTGTCTTTAGGATGTAAACATTTTCAATTGAAATTAATCGAGTTCACAGAGATAATCAACAGACAGAAACAACAAAGCAAAAGCTGTAAACAAAAGGTAAACCAATATTTGTTGATTAGCATAAAATTAATTTCAATCTTAATCATTTAATGATAAAAATATAAAATGAATACTAATCAAGCAAAGAAATGCATTTCAAATGAAACACACAAAAAAGGTTACTTCAGGGTAAACAATGTAACATTATTAATGTTGAAGTTAAATGATCATTTCAAGATTATTTAAAGTGATTAATAGCAAATCATCATTACAATTAAGATCTAATTGATTAATGAAATTACTGATGTTCAATATGAAAGTGTTTCCAATTGCCTTGGATCAAACAATTGGTCAATTTGGTAAATAAGGAACATTTCAATCATCTCTCATCTTAATTGTTGTCAAGAAGGCTAACAATAAGTGTAATAAGTGTTGTAATTAGTGTAACAATAAGTAACAATAAATTTAACAATGAGTTTCATAACAAATCTTAAACGTTTATCTTGTATTGTTATTGAGCTTTCAAGATGAAGTGTTTTATGATTTTCAGCTCATTTAACTCTCAATTAGTCACTGATTAGTTTGTCTTAATAATTGTTTCTTTTGTGTAACTACAATTAAGAAAAATCTTGAAAATGTTGAAACAATGAAAATGATGAAAATGGTGAAAATCAATTGACAAAGACTAAAAATAAGGACCAAAAATAGGAAAAAAGCATAATATGATTGAGAAAAGATTATCTAAACTGATTGTTAAGATGATGGATTGATTGATTATAATATACTTGAATGTGGATTACAGGGAAAGAGAGATAATTGTGAGTTAGATGACAATTAAGAGATTGAAATGAATCATTTGAAATGATAATCAAGATAATCCCTGAACAAAATGATGTGAAGTAAGCAAAGAGATGAAATTAGATAAGTTTTTTTTTGTGTTCATTTCAATGCTTTTACAAGATTCGGGTCGAGTGAATGAAAGAAATGATGAAAAATAATTCATATCCTTTTTCATGTTATCATGAAAAAGGTGGTTGATGAAGATGAACTAAGACGGTGAAAATGATGATGGGCTAAAAATGGGCTTCAAAAAAAAGATATTTCAATTGTTGCTTCAGTATACAAATAAAGTGGACCAAATCAAACAATATCAACATTTCAACCTAAAATCATTTTACCTAAAAGCCGGTTCTGGTAAATGTTGACCGTTAAATGAAAAATTGAAATATCCTAAACATATTCATTTTGTCATCCTCTTCATCCTTCAACTTGACAAGTTTAAATTGACAGTTGAAGTTGAAGTCAAAATTTGCATTGTTTTCACACTTAACTCATTGAAATCAATGATTCTGTTGTCATTTTTCACGATCACAGTGATAATGGTTTTTGAAGGTGATGACAATTTAACAAGATGTTTAACTTACCTCTTTGAGGTGTTTTGTTGAAGATGTTTCCTTTAGCGTCTGGAGTGCAATTCCAGCGTTCATTTTTAAACTGTTCTTGACACTCGAATATACCTTTGATGGTTCCTTCAGACACAGCCAGTACAGCTTGTGATTGTTCACGACAAGCAATCAATTGGTCATGAGTTAAATCGGTAACATTGGCACAAATTTCAGGTATACTTGTTAACCTACGAATCCTTAAACCTTCAGCCAGATGACTTGTCAATGTAAAAAGTGTTAACATTAAAGTTGCAATCCAAAGGTTTTGCGGTGAGAAAGAGTTGCTTTTTGTTGTTGATTTGGATGACGTTGATGATGATTTATTAACATGTGAACATTGGAAAATGCATGATAAATGTGAATTTGATGGTGATGATGGACGAAAAGTTGAGAAGGTAAAAGGATAAAATGATACATTTGATAGACACATTGGTAAGCTTGAAATGTTGCTTGTTGAGGTAGATGATGAAAAGGGTGATTTGGTTGAACTGTAGGATTTTATTTGAATACACTTTGAATCTGACGTTTCCATGGCTTTAACCATAAATTATATTGTCAATATTTTATAATTAAATAGTTGACAGTTGAACAATATTAAACATAATGAACAATGATGATCAATTTAAATCAAGTTAGACTCACTTGAAAAAGGATACTCACTGTTGCTTGATAAAGTGAGTTGATTAAATGTGAAGATCATTGAATTATCTTGTTTTATCCAAAGAAGAAGAATAAGATGATTGTTGTTGTTGATGATGATCAAGATGATGATGAACAAGATGATGTTCAATTGATTAATTGTAACTGAGCAAAGATTAAAAAGGTAAAGACAAGTTGTTGTTATTGTGGAAACAAAACAAAAGCTCTTCAAGTTGATCTTTTTTGTTTCTCTTCTCCTTCTTGTATCAAGAATACAATTTCAATGTAAAAGATGATGATTAGGGCAAAAATAACAATAGGTATATTGTTAGTTAATCAACTATTATAATCAGCAATTAATCAGCAGGCATTAAAATTGAAAGTAAGAAGGTAAATAAGTGAAGATCACAAATATTAAAAGGTTGCTGTTTTTTTGTACACAGCAAATGTTGGGTAAAATTTATTCAACAGGTTAAACTTGGCTTATGGTTACGTTGGTTACAGTGAAAATGCTGGTTTAGGAGAAACAGTTAAAGTTGATTAAAAGCACAAATTGATCATTTTTAATGTATAATATGGTTTGTAAATTGTTTCATGTTGTAAAAATAAAACAAGTTAACCTGAACAAATCAACAACTCAAGTGAGTTTAGTTTGCAGCGAAAAAAGCAAATGTTGAAAAAAACTAAGCAAAAGGTGGAGTTTAAGGTTTAACTGGCCAATCAAGCTTGGGATAAGAGTGTTTCTTAGTCCATCTTTTGGTCAGTAAATTGAGTTAAAGATGGTGAAAGATGAAACTAAACGATGAAACAAATGATAATTGTAATGTTAATCACAATCACAGAGTTTCATCTTGTTGAAACTAGCGAGATTTAAACACAAACACAAAATGTTGATGTTTTGGTTAGGCCAAGTTGTTGCCTTACTGGCTGTAATATTGAATTACTGAATCAATGTAAGTTATTAATTAAGTCTTGTAATAATGATTAACAGACGATTTGCTTATCAATTTACAAAAACACTTCAACAAGTTAAAGGTTAAATATGATCAAATTGATTTTGTGATTTTCCTATGAGACTTTTGGCGTTTATTGTTATTGCTTTTGGTGATTTGGTTGTTAATTAATCAATTAAAATTGTTTAAACATGAGCAATCCCATTGCAATTCACATTTCGTTAATGTTTACTTCATAGCCAAGGTTAGCTAATGTTGAGGTTTCACTAATCATTACATGAAACCAAAAGTGGAAACCAAATAAATCATTGGAAACAAAAAACGTTGTTGCCATCATTTTACCTTAACATCATTGTTAATCTAAATTGTTCAATCAAATGGTAAATTTAGTTTCATTTATTATTACAACTTCCTCTGTTCAATTGTATGATTACACTAATCGGAATAATTTTCGGGTTCCTCTAAACACCAATGTAATGCACTGTTTTAAGGTTCACCGGTTCATCTTCAATTGTAAAGTGAAATCATTTTAAACAATTTTCAAATGTTAAATTAACCATACATTGCAAGGTCAAGGTAGGCCATTTAGTTGACCATTGATAGTCATGTTACAGGTTGATTGAATTGTTAAACTCAAATTAAATTTCAAAGGTTAAAGTGTTCGGTAAATCATTGATTTTAGAGCCGTTTTCAAGTTGAAACATTGAGGAGTTTTTGGTCAAGTCTAAACATAATTAATAGGTTAATACAATTTAAATGTGATACAATTGTTTGCTGTTGTAACAACATGTTTAGCTTAATTTAAACTTGTAAACACAATAAGTATGATCACAATTATAGCAATTACATTTGTTGTAACTGTAATAAGAGTTGAATATTTTGCTAATTTTGTTTTGCCTTTTCATATTTCTAATCATTTGCAACCTTTCAACTTTAATTTAATCTGTTGGGCTAAATTGGAAGATGAGAAATGGCTTTTAACGATGAAACAGCTTCAACTAACCTTTATGCTAAACAGCAACAAATAGGTAAAACAACATTTTGGCACGCGTTTAGCACGTAATATAATTTAAATTTATGCCGACTTGTGATTATATTACATTATTGTACTGTTAGGAGGGAATAGCATTTAAGAAAGAAATGTGTTGAAACATTAATAGAATGTTATTTGCATTGAATGAATAAAGAAGTGGATGAGATGATAAAAGTCAGCATCATAATTAACTTGCAGATTAATGAGCAGCAATTTACAAAAGATGGTAATGATAAATGTAATGAAAGGATCAAGAGTAAAATCAGAGTTTTTTAGGCTTTTGAAGGAGAAAAGGGAAAACAAATGAATAAATTAGCGTCCTGATGAAAGTTGTGATCATGATGATTTGAATGAAACATTTTTCTGTTTCTACCTCTTGTGTTGAACAATTATTTTGTATCTCGATTGCTTTCGGATGATGTTTTATTATTATTTTGCTTGATACATTTGTTTTGATGGTAGAAGCAAAAGGTTAAATCAACATCAATTTATCATCTTCATCGGGTTTCTTGGTTAATATTAACGCAGACGGAAGATTGAACAAAATTTCCTCTTCATCTGGTTTCTTCATTGTTTCCCAGTATTACAGTAAATATGGAGTTTACTGCCAATGCGGACGTCTATTGAAAAAATCCGGATATCTGGTTTGACGGGTTGGTGTTTGGGAATTGCTTGATTGCTGATCAATTATGCATTGCTTTAATTTTTCCACTTGATTTAAATCTTTGGGCTTGTTATTTGAATCACACAGAGCCTGGTAGGTGACTTTAAGATGGTTCAAACGATGAGATGTGGACGGGTCATTTGATGAAGCATGTTTGTCCAGGCAAGAATGTACTGAACCAATGTTGCTATAAAGGGGAAATAAGGAAAATTGGTTAATATTTTTTCAACGTTTTAAAGGCCTTTTTCAACTTATGGTTGTCAAGTGTGAGTTAATATTATCATTATTGTATGATAAATAGCATCATGTAGGAGAGATGAAGATGGTTATGATGATAGAAACAGATAAAGTGAACAATCTTGTTCCTATCTTGGATTGAGTTTCGCTGTCAACACTTTAATAGAATGTAAAATATGATCGATGAAGATTGTCGTGAGTCAAAGTAAACTCACGATTGCAGAATCAAGTGACCTGGGAAAAAAATGAATCTTCATTTTTAATATCACTATCATAATCATCATAAACCTAATCATCTTGATTCTTATTTTACTTGATAATAATAATATATTCACACAACACGTTTCAAAAAAAAAGGTAAAATAAAGTTGGCATCAAAAGGGATTAAGGTCAACCAAATTTTAAACTTACCGACACATTATTTCCATGATATCATCATGCTTGTGATTCTGAGAAACATATGACCACGAATTGGAGGCACTTTGAATGCAGTCTTTGAGGGTAGAACCAGTGAGCTCAGAATCATCTCTATTATTATTAGTTTCATCATTATTACGCTGATTGTTGTTGAATGGATTGTTCATAAAACTGCCCTTTCCATATCTTTGTTGTCGTACAGTCAAGTTGTGGTCATCATTATCTTTTCTTGCTTCAGATTGTCGTCTTTCAGCCTCTTCCCTTCGTCTCTCGGCTTCTTCTTGTCTTCTTTCAGCTTCTTCTCGAATCTGTTCTATTCTTTCTTCATCTTCTTCATGACGATGACTTTTGAATGTGTTTCGTTTTCGCAAACCTTCTTCACGTAGTCTCTGTGCTTCTTCTTGTCGTCTATTGGATTCTTCTCGAAGTTGTTCCATTCTTTTTTCACCAAATCTTTCGGCATTTTCTCTTCGTTTCTCAGCTTCTTCTCGTCTTCTTTCAGCTTCTTCTCGAATTCGTTTCAATCTTTCTGTATCTTCTTGTCTTTGTCTTTCAATTGCTTCAAGTCGTCTTTTAGCTTCTTCTCGAACTCTTCCAGCTCTTTCCAAAAACCTTTCTCGTTGTCTCTCCTCTTCTTCACGATCTCTTTCCTCATAATCTCCCCATTGTCTTCTGCCTCGAACATCTCGTTTGATTCGTTTGCTTTTTTTACTTGACTTTTCTTCGGCTTCTTTCTCCTTTCGTTCTTCTTCTATCTCTCTGAGTCTTTCTTGCTCTTCTTTTTTCTCTTCTTCTTCTTCTTCTTCCTTCTCTCGTTTTTCCTCTTCCTCTTCTTCTTTCTCTTTTCGTTCTTCTTCTTCTTCCTCTTCTTTTTCTCGTTTCGCCTCTTCTAATTCTTGTCTTCGTTCCTCTTCTTCTTCGGCTTCTTCCCTTTCTTTTTCCTTTCGCTCTTCTTCTTCCTCCTCTTTCTTTTCTCGTTGTTCTTCCTCTTCTTCTCGTTCCTTTTCTTTTCGCTCTTCTTCTTCTTCTGCAGCTTCTTCAGCTTCTTCTTGTTCTTTTTCTTTTCTCTCTTGTTCCTTTTCTCGAGCTTCTTCAGCCTTTTTCGACGACTTTATGCTTCGAGATAACCGTTTACCTTTCTTTTTCTCTTTCTTTGCCTCTTCAGCCTCTCGATTTTCCTCTTCCAGTTCTTGCCTTCGTTCCTCTGCTTCTTGCTCTTTTTCACGAGCTTCTTCAGCCTCTTCTTGTTCCTTTTCACGAGCAGCTTCGGCTTCTTCTTGTTCTTTTTCTTTTTTCTCTTGCTCTTTTTCTCGGGCTTCTTCGGCTTCTTCTTGCTCTTTCTCTTTTCTTTCTTGTTCCTTCTCACGAGCTTCTTCAGCATCTTCTTGTTCTTTTTCTCGAGCGGCCTCAGCTTCTTCTTGTTCCTTTTCTTTCTTCTCTTGCTCTTTTTCACGAGCTTCTTCAGCCTCTTCTTGTTCTTTTTCACGAGCAGCTTCGGCTTCTTCTTGTTCCTTTTCTTTTCTTTCTTGTTCCTTCTCTCGAGCTTCTTCAGCCTCTTCTTGTTCCTTTTCACGAGCGGCCTCAGCTTCTTCTTGTTCTTTTTCTTTCTTCTCTTGCTCTTTTTCTCGAGCTTCTTCGGCTTCTTCTTGCTCTTTCTCTTTTCTTTCTTGTTCCTTTTCTCGAGCTTCTTCAGCCTTTTCCAGTTCTTGTTCCTTTGCTTTTTTCGATTGCTTTGTACTTCGAGTTAACCGTACACCTTTCTTTTTCTCTTTTTTCTCCTCTTCTGCTTCTTGTTTTTCCTCTTCGATTTGTTTAAGTCTTTCTTCTTCATCTTGTCTCGCTTCTTCTTCTTCCTCCTGCTTTTGCTGTTTTTCTTCCTCTTCCTCTTCTCTCCTTTGCTCGTCAATTTCTCGTTGTTTTTCTGCTTCTTCTTGAATTCGTTCAGCTTCGTCTGCTTGCTTTTCTTTTTCATCTTCTTCTCGATCTTTTGCATCATCCGCTGCGTTTCTTCGTAATCTTAGAAGTCCATTTCTATAATACCTTCCAAAATTATCTTCTCGGTCAAAATTATTTCTCTGTTGATGTGTCCATAAATGAGGATTTAAAAATATGTGTTTTGACTGGTCACCAATAATGTCATATTTTTTATCTTCATCACTTTCTTCACTTTCATTTTCGTATTCATCTTCATCTGATTCACGACTTTCTTCAGATTCTCTCAACCGTCTCCGATATTCTTCTTTAATCCGACTCCATTGCTCTTCAGTAACACCCTTATGTCTATTACCTCGATCATGACGACTCTCTCCTTCGCCATCTACCTCATGGAGCCTTACCAGCTTGGATTGCTCTAGATTACCTCGGAAATCATCATTTGCATCAATATTTCTGAATAAACTTCTTCTCCAATCGAATTTATCCCCTTGATTTGATCTTTTGCGAGGTACATCAGAATCAGCATTGAACTGGTCTTGGTTCTTGGTTGGCTCTTCAATAGGTTGATCTTTAGTATCTAGAGTTTGGCCATTATCAGAGTTTCCATTAGCGAAATCAATGCGGTTAACGGCCGTTCTACTCGCACTAAGTTTAACAGTGCTTGAAGTTTGTGAAGAAGCCGATAAAGGTACATTTTGGTTGCTATTATTAGATGAAGGCGATGACGGGGAAGCTTTTGTGGTTTCTGTTTTTACAGCAGTTTGATTTAAACATGGAGTTACTTTTAAACCAGCTTTCCAAAGTCCATCAGCAAATTGTTTCACTTCAGGTGGACACTTATCAAATGATTTTACCTCACATGTAGATATATCATTAATGAAACGGCACATCTGACCATCAATCCAATTAATCTTCCATCCAAACCAATTTTGCTTATGAAGATTAGTTGAAAAGCAAACAGTACTTGTATCAATTGAATTGCTTTTAACACAACCAGATGAAGCGATTTCTGAAACAAAAAATAATTCAAGATCAAAATTAATAATCATTTCTTAAAACAATTTCATATTTTTTGTTTCTTCTGCTTCTTGAATTCGTTCAGCTTCGTCTTATTAAAAAACATGTACTTTGGATCAATCTAATCATCTAAATTTCCGCAGAATTGCCAATTTAACGAAATGAGCATTTCATGAAATTGGATATAACCAAATGAAAATTGAAAAATTAGCAAGAAGAAAAATCAAGGATAAGTAAAATGAATTGCTAAGACATGATGCCAATATTCATGTTGCTATTGCTGTTGACGTTGTTGATGGTTGTGATCATTATCATTTGAAAAAAAACGGGGAAAACTTGGTCAACATCATTTATCATCTTTGTAATGGGTAATAGATTATACAATTGATATAAATGGAGTAGTTTGGATCATCTTAATTACCTTAAACTAAAGAAAGCAAGAAGAAGAAAAAGGTAAATGATAAATATATTTAGAAAGAGCAAAAAAAGTTGAAATAAACGAAATGAAATGTATAATAGGACTGAAAAAGCTGTTGGAATCGTGCTGAAAATGGTTTCAATGAACACACCAGAGGAAACATTTCCCATTTAATGGCTTTAAATGTGATTGTAGTTTGCTGGTGTTTCCTATCATTGTAATACCTTTCCTCTCACCTTTAAGCTCAATCTCTTCGGAGTCTGATGCTGTTAAAAGGTTTACCTAATTCCCGTTTACCTTCTAATTGAACCTTCGTGACTTGCTTCTTAACGCTCATTCAGACAAATATTAAGAAGCTGAAAAAACGGCCAATATTACACCCTTCTCAGCATCGTCTTCATCTTTAGTCATCGTGTTCACCAAGTTTCAAGATGGAAGCTAAAGCTCAACCTATCAACCAGACATGAATCTCACCTTATCAAGTCTTATTTGATTTCCGTGAGATTTAGCAAGAAAGAGAGTAAAGATGATATGAAAACTGAAAAATATAGCCAAAAATCATTGCTCCTTCACCATCTAAATCATAATCACTAACATCACATTTGGTAATGTCTTGTTCATCTTGAACATCATCATTATCATCATCTTTTAGCTTTAAATGTATTCCAATCAAGTCACAAATTGATGAAAATCACGCAAGAAAAGCTTCAATTTGCTTTTAAAATGGCACACATATCTTTAAGAGTTTCCAATCAATCCTCTCTCCATTATATAATTTAATCATATTTCAATTGATTATTAACAAAAAAGGTTTTTTTTATTACATCCAAGCTCCTATCAAATCATAAAACATATGAAATTAAGTTGAGAGGTAAAAAGATGAATAAAAAATAATATTCCTATATAATGAGTATCTTATGCAGCAATAGTTCATGTTTATGGCATCATGATAGACTAACAATCAATAGACTGATTACTGTATTTGGTAGCAACAGTAATCATTAGCTTATTGTCATTAGTAATCATAGCAATTTCAATTGGAATTTATTAATACTTACTTTCAGCGATAGATGAAGCATTGGATGAAGCGTAATCTATTTGAGCCTGGAAGAAGTCTCTTATGGTCAGGTAAAAATCTTGTTCCGATTTGGTCATACATGGCTTTAATAATTTGGGAAAACAATTAACAACCTGTTGCAATTCACTATATTCACAAGGGAAGACAAGATAATTAGAAAATAATTAAATTGGAAAGGATAAATGAAATGATAAAGTAAATGATAAATGAAGTTGAATAATAATAAATTCAAAGGTACAAAGCTTCGTATCCAGCATAAACAAACTATAAGATGGTTCGGCTATTATCTTACAGAAATGATCACTATCAGATGATTATCTCATGTAATTCTAGTAAGATCATATCATACTAAATTATTAATAGAAATTAATTGTTTACGAAATGATTAAACTGGAAAGTTTGAATAAGCTCAAATATGAAAAAAAGTAAAAAGAAACTTCATGGTTTAAATCTTCAGGTTTGACCAGAATTTCATGAGATAAAAATCTTACTTTCAAAGATAAATAGAGAGACGGTCATCAAAAATAAAATGAAAGCTAAATCAGATATCAATTGATTTGCTTCAAGTTTAATTAAACGAAAATGTCAATTTTTTATTGTAAACATTGATTCCAAACTTGACAATTCAAAGTCAAAAATTAATATTCAACTCAGTCGCCATCTCACGAAAAAAAGGGTTAATTAAAACATAACAAGCTAAAAATGACCACATGTCTAACGGTTAGACTCTAAGCTACTATACTTGTTATACTTTTTATCTTTCAAATTAAATAATTCCCGTTTTAATTGTGAATCGAACTCCTGATTAACCTTAAACTTGGTTATTTGATGAAAGTAAATTATTTCAACCTGTTAAAGAAGTGGTATTAGAGATACCGCTATGAAAGTTTATTACTCCTGGACACATCAAATTTTGTGGAGTTCATTTTTTGGTTGTTTGTTACTTTATCTGTCCATTGTAAGGATAGAATTAAACTTACGTGATTAATGAAGTTGGCCAGGAATCACCTGAAGATTGTTTGGTTGATGGTGAAGAGCCAGGAAAAGAACCACCTTGGAAATTAAATCCTTTGTTTTGTTTGGCTGGCTGTGCACTACCACTTGAACCCCATCCACCGGTTTTACCCGAAGAAGGAGCAGTTGCTGGAGTCGACGATGGATCAACTGGACTATTAAGACAGGCATTGAAATCGCCAACCATGTTTGATTTATCCAGATAGCTGCACTTTTCTAAACCATAATAATCAAGCGATTTGGTAAACCAATTACCTGCTTCGGAGCATTTTCCAGTGGACACAAAAACGATTGCAACCAGTATTACGATAATACTGGTTGATTTGTGAGTTAACATTTTGATTGAGGTTGGTCGAGTTTTATTGATAAATTGAATGGAATTAAATTACAAATTAAATTTCGATTATTTATTGATAGGTAAATAGATAAATATGGAGGAAAAACGCTTAAAATCTTAAGTTATCACGAGAAAGTTGAAATTTTGACGATTGTTCTTGTTTTTTACACTTTACAAGTTAGTAAATTGGATGATCATCGGGTAAACATTCTTATATACTAGTTGATCTGAATGAATCATCAGGTACGAAGGATAAGATAATTGTCTTTGATGGTTATCATGATGTGTAAATAGATTCCATGGTTATAATGAATTTTATGACTTAATTAACTAAGGCAGATCAAAAGTCTTATGTTTTGTTACCATCCAGTGTTTACCAAGTCTTCGATGTTTTTCTCAACCAAACCATTCGAGTGTAATTTGATGATACTTTGCAAATTGTACCCTATGACCTCATGGTCACATCGATAACCATTATCTTCATATTGCACTTGGATGCTTGATTATTTGTTTGGATTCACTACCTTGAATGTAATACTGACTAACCGGATTCAAGTGAAATTATTGCCGTGCAATTTACTGTCGTTGGGTAAATAAATAATTTTTTTACTTTGCTTTCGCTTCCAAATAAATAATTTATTGCCGTAAATTACTAAGAATTGTTTTATTTTGATATTTAGATAGATCTGATTTGATTGAAGAAATGATTGTTCTGGCAGGGACATCCCTCATAATAATAATATCATGTTTCTTTAATCATAAATATTCACAGAAATCCTTTTTTCCATGGAAAAAAACATTCACTGCCAATAAAAATCTGATTAAGATAAAAAACAATTTCAAAATCAATGGAAAGCAAGAATGGTTCATGAAAATAAACATCAATAAAGGTCATTAACAACATTGTCATTAAAAGTTATTTTATTAAAAATTTATTGTTACATTAATATAACGATTCAATTCTCATGTTGTGCCAATGTATCTTCATTGCAAGTCCGAAAATTATATTCATACATATTGTAATATAATTTGATTACTCGATGTACGTCGTTGTTTCATTTCAATTCATTATTGAAAATATTCTGTATGACAAAATTATTTCAATTTAACCACACAATGCAGGGTAAACACTAGGTTATAGACATAAATCGTACTCTTTACCTGCATCGGTACGTTTATTTTTAGTACTCTTGTACTGGCTGGTATATCTTTTTGATTAGATTTTTATAATAGACCGATGCTGTCTTATAATAAGGGTTATTAATTGAGTTTAGTTGGAAATTATAATCATTAAATTGTCTCAAAAATGTCAAAATTAAACAAATCAAGAATACATGAATTCATAAATATCGGTTTGCTTTTTTATAAACTAGATTTGTATATTTCTCTTTTTAAATTATTGGAATGAATCTTTTTCTTTGTAATCAGTTTAATTGTCATTAACAGATTCTATTAAATTGCAGATCATTGATAATTATCATTATAAAGTTGTTGTCTTGTGAAATCATTATTATAAATAGTTGTTCTTTATGCTGAGGAATAAAGTTAATGTGCGGAAACAATTGAATGATAGAAAACATGGTAATTGACAGAAATGATGCAGAAATGAAATGAGATGAATGGAAGACAAAAAGAGAAAGTTACAGAAAGGAAATATTGAAAATTGTTAAACAGGTTGAATTGTTTTTTGTTGCTTCGATGATTGGTAATTGCTTGGGATTGACAATTTGAATTTATCAAATACTGTAAATAGTTTAACTGGAGATACAAACAAAATATTTCCACTTGTACAACAAGTTATTAACAAGAAAGTCAAAGAAATATGTCAAAGAAATTGATTAACTAAATTATTTTGATAAGTTTGCAAGATGGGTCAAGATTGTTGTCCATAATCAATTGATTAGCATTTGAATACAGGTTAAAGATGAGTAGATTATTGGAATATGAAGAAACATGAAGATGAAAAAAGCCTTTTGTCTAGTTGTCCTGTTTTTGTAAGTTTGATTTGATTGGCATCAATGAAATAACTGAGCTTTCCAAGTAGAGACGATCTTTTAAAGATTTGATATTTTCTTAATAAACTGAGCGTAAGGTTTGAAACAATTCACTATCATTCTGTATTGTGTGTTCTCCTTTTGTACCTTTAATTGTTGATTTTGATTTTAATCGATTTGAAAAGCAAAATGCCACAATCAGCTTAATGTAGTTTGACAAGCTTCCGAGTAATGAAGTTTGTGTTTAGTAAGCATATCGGATACTGCGACCAGTTTTCTGAGCGTTGTCTACATCAAGAAGATAAAAATTGATATAATTAATAATCAGATCATAAGATATTGTAAATAAAGATCAGAAAATAAGCAATTAAAATGTAAGCTCACTCTATTATGGCTGAGATTAAAGATTTCATCTTTGTAAAGTTCACATAAAGAATGAACTGTAGCTAGTTCTCTGGATGCATCTCCTCTAGGAATATCCTCTGGGTCAGGGCATTCATAAACATTCTGTAAGCATAATAAATAAAATAGCAATTAGTAAACTGGTAAATTGGTAAAGTGTGTTTTAAAAATTAATTAGAGTACCGATAAATCATTGAGAAATTTGATCATTCTGGCTTTGTTTTTCAATATAAATGGATTGACAACTTCCATCCAAGGCTCCTGTAAAGGATGAATGAACATTCTAGATTAATAATTAATTACAACAGTATCAACAAGCATTAAGAAAAATAAAGTAATAAACAAATGGAAAACAGATATAAATAAAAGTTAAGTACATGCAGATAATAACATGTACAAACCCTTTTATTCGGAGGAATAACTTCTCCGAATCGATCAGAGTGGACAATATTCTGTTTTGTTAGCAAAGCGGTGTTCGAAGAAAAGATATGTTGTTAGAGTTAGTAAACGATTAGGGACAAGATATTGTAAAATCAAACTTGTCAAACAGTCCATTATTAGACATTAAAATTACCTTGACTCCAAATTCAACAAGATTGGCTAAATTTTGTAAAGATTTGGCGATTAATATGAGACTTCGAGCGGCTATTTCCGATGGTGTCTCTGTAACGAAGAAAAAGGAGAAAAGTCAAAAAATCAGTTCACAGCTTTGATGATCTCCAATCTGGATGGAAAATCTGAAAATTAGTAATCTTAGAGTACGCTATAAGGATTATGTTTTCATCCATAGTAATGTGTGTGATGAATGAGCATTGGAATTCAAATAATGAAAATATTGGCGTACAATTTTCGTGAAACTAATAATTTCTTCTTAATTTTTGATGAATTTTACTATATTTTACAATTTCGGAAACTACGATTGTCTTTGAATCTTGAACAGGAATATGATCTTTTCTTTCTTCAACAATTCAGTAAAAACATGTAACATTCATTAACCATAAACTCAGAGCTAAAATAAGATGAAAACAGGAAATCTGGTTCTTATTTGTTAAAAAGGAAGTTACTAGGTTTTTTTTGTTAGCTTTCAATGAAGAGTCTGGACTTTATCTCTATCTGTCTGTATCCATTAAAAATAAATAACTGACGAACATTGCTAAAAAAGAAAACGAAATAATGATTAAATTAAATGTAGAAAAGATATACCATTTATGATGTTGAATACTCGTGGGTTAAGAATAGCAGGGCAGATGAGACGAAGAAAGATGAAGCTCCTAATCGGAAATAAGAAGAAACAAATGTAATAATCAGTAAATTATTGATTATCGATGGCTTGAAAAAAAGTAATGGTAAAAGGAAAAGGTTAAACACAGAAATAAGATTAACAGCTCACCCAACAACTCTTGTTTTAACATAATGATCATTTGGCCATTTGGCAGAAACAGCTCTTTGTAAACAGCCACAAATATATCTAAGTGTCGCTGGGCAGTGTTCAACAGAGCGAAATATTTTTTCAACAACATCATCTAGAAGAGATAATAAATGTTCAGCATTGGCACAAGCTTCCTGTAAGCTATCCAAACGACTAGGATTAAGTTCACAAGATTGACGAGTTTCAAGAACTCGTTGTAGAGAATCTTTCAAGGCTTTCATTAAAAATGTATGACAAGTTGTTCGCATATACTGATCCATTAAAGTGGTTGTTAATGAATTCATTCGGAATAATGTGGAAGTCTCATTTTCCCTTTTGATTTCTCTTTCAATCATTGATTTGAGCAAAATAGCTTCTTTGGATTCATGTTTGAAAACACGCAACAGTGCATTAGCTAATGGAGCACGATCACGATGACAAAATTCCTCCAGAACAGAGATAACTTCCAAATCTTCTGCCATTAAAAGTTCTTTCAAGGCATCATATTCATGTGAAGGCATAATCAATTCATGAACATATCTTATTCGTACACGAAGAGAACCCCATTCGTTATTCATTGGTGGACAGATACCAGTTAATGGAAACCAGTCTTCTATTTCAATACCGTTATTGAGCTTATTTAATTCAATCACCATTTCAGCAACTTCAGTATCTTTTGAACGTTTCCCTTTTGTATAAAGTGTTATGGAAAAAGAGTTGACATCACATGGCATATCTTCAAGAACAAAATCCTCTTCCCAAATAGGATCAGGTGGACATTTAACTTGAGTGCGGCAGACTTTAACTTGATTAAGAGATATGATACAAAACGGGTGAGGGACTAGTTTTATGGGTAAACGATGAGCTTCCAATAATGTTACAAATAATGTGCGAACTTCGGTTGCGTTTGATGACAAAGATTGACCTTTCATCAATTGTTGAACACAAAATGGTCTGATAGCTTGAATCCATTCCTAAGAAATAGATGAAAAATATGTCTTTATTAATTTTGTATTATACGGAAAAAGAGAGACAAATAATAAAGCTTTAATCCGAATCGCCATAATTATGCATTATGAGTGGTTAAAATTAAATGAAAATTGATTTGAAATTTTATCTAAAAAGATTGATTAATATTTTACCTGAAGGATTTCATAAGATGGTGCACACAAATAATATACAGTGCTCATACAGGGTAAGGGTCTTTCAACTAGTTGAAAACAATTTGGTCTTTCAAACAAGGAATCATGAACAAGGTATAAGAAACTATAATTTAAATCAACGAGACCCTTGGGCCTCGTTCTTCGATCATTTTCGTAATAATATAAATGCTGTTCTTTTGAATCCAAAACGAAAAAATAGTTCTTCCATTTTTTACTTTTTGCACCTAAAGATGTAATAATAATAAAAATTAATGTGCAGTCAAATTGCTTTACTGTTTTTGGTTTTGTTATTAACTCATCAACTCACTTTTCTTGCAGAGAAAACCTCTCATTCGAACGCTTTTGTTTTTCTTAGACATCTCTCTACTCTCCCTTAGAGTTACATAAACATCTTCCGATTTGTTTCCAATCTCTTGTGACCTTCTTGCTGCAACAGAAGCTTCGAGGGGAGATTTTAAAACTGGAGTTCCAAGTCTGTAGCCAGCAATTATCTGCTCATTTCGATACATCATTACAATGTCTTCAAGAGTTTCAAACATTCGATTCCCCATAATATACCGGGAACCTCGTTTTTCAATTCGGAAACGATGGATAGTGTTGCTCATGTAGAAAAAAAGGGAATAGTGTCCTGGACTATTGTCACTGTTTTTGATCAAAAAACTTCCAGATCCCACTTCATGGTGAATTCATAGTGAGAAAAAGAGAAAATATTAATCATTAAATTGTGAAAATTATTAGCAAATCTAGTATTCTTACTTTTTCTCAGCTTGTCAACGGCCTCATCTTTACTAATTGCACCATGAAACCACGGATAAATATCGTTGGGGTCACTATTATCCTCCTATGATTTAAAAAATCGTAAATTTTGATAAGATTCCAAGGAATATCAAGAAAAGGATTATCGAGATGGTGAACGAAACTAACAAGCTCTTCAACAAGTTCCTTGAAAACCAATCCACTTTCTTGTGTTCTTTCCAAAGTACACCAAAGCCATCCATCTCCAAGATCATTGTGAACGGTAAAAATATCCCCTCTAGAGAAACTGCAAGATAAAAAGATTTCATGTAATATTTTTCCAATTAGGTAATTGAAATGAAAACAGAAACTTCTTGTAAGATTATTTACCTCAATTCATCTGTTTCTGGTAATTGTGAATAAGGTAAAACAGCAACAACACGTTTCCTTTCACGAAAAGGCTATAATTGTTTGAGAATATAATAAACCATCAAAAATTTATGAAATCGAAATAAAACTCAGGAATAAATGGAATGTATGATAAAATAAAAATAACAAAAAAATGCAGCTACCAAACGAGTAAGATTGCTTTCAGTCCAAAATAGATTTACCTCTTTCGGAGGAACGGGGTGTAGAAGTCTCTCTTTTTTAAGTAAATCACAAAAACTGGTGTAAAATCCAATCAAATGTCGTAGAGATGAAAATTGACGACCACCAATATAATAGGCACCAAAAAGTGATTTTATTTGAAAATGATTGATTCCGGACTCTCCCAAGTATGACAAGACAAAAAGTCCCTTTTTACGGTCACTTTCACGAACCAAATAACTTCCAACTTTACCATTTCCTTGTAGCAACTGTTCAGCTGTTGTCCGATTCATCTGACGATGTAGCCATCTAATCATGAACGCAACAAGATAACAGAAAATTAGATACCGAGTAAAAATCTTATTGAATATGGTCAAGAGGTTGTCAGAAACAGGTGAATATTTCATGATTATAAGTGGAAACTATTCATAACCAATGATGGAGATTATTATAGAGATGTTTGTTAGCTCAATTTGAGATAATCATTGCTAAATTTAAACACTAGAAATCATTAGTCTTAAAATAAAAGTGAAGCATTTCTTTAGGTGGAAAAAATCTTACTTTGATTCTGGTGGAGCAAAGGAAGCCATATCAGCCCTCTCGTCCACTTCATCTCCTTCAAATGGATCAAATTCTTCTTCACCAGTAACATCATCACTGAAATAACTTTTGGGTCGATGATTACCACAGTATCGGTGGTTATTTTGCGAAGAATGGCGATCAATTAAACGTCCATGGAAATTATCACTCATCATCCAAATCGCAGAGAAGATGTAAACACAGTGAGACCGATAGAGAGAGAAAGAGGGAGTATAGAAGAGGGAGAAAAAATGCAAAAGATCACAGAGATTAAAGATTGAAAGAGAGATATATAAAGATAGAGAGAGGGAGAAAAGAAAAGAGAGCGAAGGAGAATTGAAATATTAAAACTCTAGAACAGGTTTGATCGTATTTATTGTAATGAAACGATGAACAATCACTAACAAAATCACAGAAATACAGCATCAGATGGACCAGATCAGAGGATCAGCCATCTTGTGGAGATAATAGTTAGCTAATAGTAAATAATGCGAATAAAAAAAAATTTCCAGCTCTTTTAAGCGACTAATTGTCGTAATTAATTTCCAATAAAGTCTTCAATGAGATGTAAATTACATTAAAACATTACACTGAAGGAATGGATTAGAATATTGAACTGATAATAATATTTTTAAACGCAGAAGATTTTATTTTCAAAAATGGTTACATCATAAAGTGTGTGATTTAGAAGATAATATCCAACTTTGTTGTAACATGTGTTTTGCTTCTCAATGTTTACATGATTTCTATTTACTCTTTAGTTTGAAATTTTTGTTGAACCTTTAACTATTGAAGGTATGGAAAAAGCTATTAAATTTGCCAAATCAGTTTTTCATACAATAATTAGAAGACCGATTCAAAATTATAATGTTGAAGAAAGAGCTTTCAAAGCAATATCCGTGACTAAGAAGAATCCTGCTCCAAAACATCTAACGACGCAACAAAAAATTTTAAAATATATTGAAGGTAAATCTATTTTCTGTATTCATTTATCGCTTCCTATTTTACTTAATGTTCATCACAATATTGCAAAATGTTGCGAGTCCACTATCAGTGCTACGTTTCTGACTCTCGCTATATCACTTATTTAAACTTTAAACTGCTTTTGAAGATTGAGCTTTAATGATTATTTATTTATTCAATGTCATTTACAGAGCATCCAGAATTGAAGGAAATTGTCGTCGAAAAACCCAAAACATTACTAGAATGGTTAAAGAAGATTCGTGTTGTATCTCATGGTGTGCCTGATACTGAGTTATTCAAAACTGATAAGAGAAAGTTACCTGTTAAAAGAGAAACTTATGAATTACCAAGAATGTTTGGCGAGATAGAACCTAAAGTTATACCCGAAGGAAAGATATCTTTACAACGTACAACTAATTTAGTCATGGAATATGCTTCGATGAAGATTAAACCAAGTTCAAAGGAGATAGCTGAGAAATACAATTTAGAAGAACAAGATGCCGCCAATTTAGTTCGACATTTTAAAGCATTTGAACTTTATAAACCCGCTAAAGAGACTGGCGATTATGAAGGTTTACCTCCTTGGAGCAAGACAGTCAAAAATGATACTTTTCTTGGAATGCTTTTTTCTAAACAAGATAGCATAGAAGAACCGAAAAAACTTATCGATGATAAATCTGATAAAGAAACCGATAGGAAACAGATTAAAGCTGAATAGCTCTAATAGTCTAGGTAATATCTTCAAAATTGTATTTCAAAAGGATTTCAATCTTATTTAAATATAAATACATTATTGTAAGTGTGTACAGTATAGTAAAGTATAGTAGCCATTGAATAAAATTACCACATAAACGAATTTTTTATACACAAATGTCATAAGACTTTATTTACTTCAAATAATTTTAGTGATCAATGACTGGCTCTGAAACTATGTCTTCGATACTTGAACTGGAATGACTTAGCCATGTAAATTTTAATTTGATAATTTGAAAATCATTAATAGGTACTTTGACAGCTGCATTCCTAGCAATAAAAGTGCTGTCAAATTTTGTTTGTCAAATATTATCCAGCAAAACACGTCTGAAAAATTGGAAAAATAACAATGTAAGTATGATAGGAAATATTTCAAGTATCTACCTACAGATTTAACAAATTTAGTTCCAAAAAATTCACTAGCCTTGAAATAACAGAATACGAGATGTTAACAGAAAACTAAAACAAATATTAAAAAAAGCTTTGTGGACTTATCATAGATATGCAATCATAACCTAATTACAGAGGAGTACAGATAATGAGAATACCTTGAAATAGCTTATTTACACTATTCACCGGGCAGCTTATTTTCTTGATTATCAACTCTCTTTAACTAATCAAATTCAAGCTAAATTGCTTTTTAAACTGATTTCTTGAGTTTCTTCATTGATATTTGGCGAAAGAGAATTAGATTTAGTTAATGCATAATCAGAGTTAAATCAAATTTAAATGAAATTCTTTGATTTAACTCTTCCATTGAGGGGTCGTTGAAAAATTGATTCTCATTATCTGGTCGCTTAGGAAAACGCTATTTGCACTTTTTCATTGTTTTCCCTTTTTCAATTAGGCTGCGAAACTATTTTTGTGCTTGACTTATTGCTATACCATCTCATGTTAAGCTTTAATTTAAGATTCAATTGAAGATATTTTAGCTTTATTTAATTATTATTCTGACATAATATTTAGCTTAGGTCATAACAATAATTGTTAATTCAATCTTGATTATCTAATTAATAACCTAATTTGCCCGTGTGTTTAAAATTCATTGTTTTTGTGAAAAGCTGAAAGTTTACTCAAACAGGAGGAAATTGATCAAAGAAAAATACAAATACATTGTCTGAAAACTCTCTTCAATTTCTCTTCAATTTCTCATCATTATATAAATATTGTTATTAAATCAGTAATTCTAGACATAATTGTGATTAACATCAACGAAAGTGCAAAACAAAACTACCGCCAGAAGCTGATCATCCAATCAAATCAAGTATCATCTATTCAAGTATTGAATCCAAGGAGATAATTCCTCAGGAATTATTCCTACGTAAAAATAGGCTTTACCGGTAGCTTACTGTACTTACTGTAGTTGTACAACTTGTGCAAGTTTAGTGATCAGTAATAAACAACTTAACGACTTGAATCAACTTGTTTGCTGCTATCATTAATACCATTGCGATTCCTGTCGATCAACTTTAATTTTACTCGTAAATAATTGACTTTAAATTGTGATTAATTAACCAACCCATCGACTATCCCAATTTATAGATTTGGAATCTATGTATACAATTGAATAATAACTGAACATGGAAAGACAACTGGAACAACAGGTGAACCGTTTTTTTTGATAATCGCTATGAAACTAACTGTTGTTATAGTGAGATAATTGATCAGAGTGAGCTTTATTTCTTTACATCAGTACCACAATCGTTAAAATCACTAATATTTTGTTGATACATATGTAAAAGGTGAATAATATGTACATAATCAGCAGTAAATTATTAGATCAGTTCATAAAATTATTAGTATAAGATTTGAATGAATATTTTAGGTTTTCAATTGTTGAATGTAATGGTTTTTGCGATTAACCTTGGTTGTTGGGTAAAACTGAGGATACATGGGTTTTAATGAAACTGTTATGTCAAAGAGATAATAAATGTATAATCCAATCAAGATTTCTCACATAACCTTACTTGAAAATGATAGTTCTTTTTTTTGTTTTCTGTTCAACATTCAGTCCTGTCTTTATCAACACATTTTGCACATTTTTTTCTATCTCCTGTTAAATCCGAGATTTGTTAATTTGTTTCACTGACTAATGGTAGCAATAGTGATAATCAATCCTTAAACAGTTTTACATTTTAATATTCATTGTTTAAGTTTTCACAACGCTGTTTCTTTGCTTCTGCCTTTTCAATTTCAACTTTGAGTAATCCTTTGTTTCCTTATCTTTTTGTCTAGATTTTTCCTCACCATTATCTTTGTATCATCAAAAACAACAACAGCCAGTAAAAAGTATCTACGGTGAGTAAATAGAAAACCCAGTGTCTGGATTACACGAGTACACTAGAGTCTCATTACCAAATAGTAAGGTAGGTTAGGCTCATTACCTACTCAACTCTTTGCTCAATACACAGGCATTGTAAAGTTTATTTTTGCCTGAGATTTTCATTTATTGAATAATTTTATAAGGATTTTTTTTCTTACTGTCACTCAGAAGCATTCGCTTGTGCATTTCATTCCATAGTCAGTTTATTTCTTGATTATTCCATCTCATATCTTTTTTCTTTTCTTTACAGTTAAACTATTCAATTACAACTTACCATGAAAACATGGTTTCAACGCATGTTAAAACCGAAACTGATAGTCATGATTCTGATAATCTAATATCACTACACGTAAATGGATTATCCATTTACGAACCAACCAGGGGTCAAATTATAAAAACCTGGAAAGTTCCATCATCAAATGGTTACTATTTTCACCGGGTTGAATTTGTTAGTCATTCTCATCATGTTGAATTTGTCCCAAGAGACAAACAACCAATCGATCAAGTGAAAGAAAATCCAACATTGCACTCTTTATTAATTGATCATACACTAGTCACAAAGCCACCTCCTGAAGATGATTTTCCAGACACGAAAACTCAACCTACAGCTAATTTTACCAGCGTGATAAAGCGAACACAATCTTGTTTTGGTGGTTCATCGAAAAGTGCTGCTCCTGTTTCATCAACTTCTGTTATTACTAACGTCAACAGTAACAGGATTTCAATAGATGACAATAACGATAAAAACAACAATTTAATTGACATTGCTGAAAGTAGCAATAGTAGCAACAGTATCGCTGGTGGTGTCAGTAACAATACTGAGAAAGCCAACTTTAATAACCACAGTTCAACTAGTGCAAACACCAATAACATCGATCACACCAAAAATGTTCCAGTTGTTCCCGAAAACAATGTCGACAATTTGGATCCCAATACCGTTAATAGTATCAGTAGTGTTAACGATTTTACTAACGTTATAGAGCCCAATAAGCGTTCTATAACTAGTGAAGAAAGTGAGGGTCCTCGTGGCATTGAAAGCGATTTTCGTTTACAAAGGATTTATGGTGTAGTTGATAAAAAAATAGTTCGTTTTGGATCATATACTGTGATGGAAAGAAGACGCAAACATGGTGCCAAAGTTTCGCCAGATCCAGAAATTTTCAACGATATTGAAAATGCTTCTGATTGGGGTGAAGAAGAAATTCTACCAAAGGCCAATGACCTAACCAAGAAACAGATCTCTAGTATAAAAAAAGCCATGGCTAAGGGAAGATTATTTAACATGGGTGCCTCTGTAATTGTTAAACTTTTTCCAAAATTTTCTACACAATCAATAGTTACTAGTACTGGCAAAGTCAAAGTTAATGGGTATAGATGTCCTCTTTGTTCAGAATCTGATGCAAACCGGCGTAAAATTATCCGACATATCGAAACAGAGCATACTATGAATCAGATAATTTGTATTGACTGTAAATCTATTTTCACTACAGATCATAGTGCAAGATTTCATATTTGTTCAGACAAGAAAGAAGTAAACAATCGATCGAAACCTGGTCCCCAATCAGAAGCAACTTCAGCATCTGACACTGCCCGAGAGTCTAATCAAAGTCCAGCTATTAATAATGAAATTGATAAAAATGATCATGAAATGCTTTCTCATACTGATGATCATCATCAGCAGAATAGTGCTGTCAAACAAAGGACTGGAACTGAAAACGTGTCCGAGGTCTGTGAATCCAATTCACACAATCAATCTCGTCTGGAAACATTGCCATCGGACGAAAATTCTTTAGAAAAGCAATCAAGTTCTTTAGAACTCCTTTTGGAGCATAATTATGGCGCTGGAGGTTACGAAGACTCTAATCTTGATGGTGCTTCACAATGCGCTGAAGATGATTTTCTTAGCATCCAAGATATTGGAGATGCATCAATCGAGGACGAAGTAGATTCTAACAAAAAATCAGAGGATCGTAATTATACTCCTAATATTAAAAACACTTTTTTAGAGAGGTATCATGGAACGATTGATAAAAGATTGGCTCGAACGGCTTCTAATGCTGTTATACAAAGAAGGAAGAACAATGTATCTCTTATTCAGCCTGATCCAAATGTTTTTACTGATTTGGATGGAGTTGAGGAATGGGATGAGAAAGATATTATACCTAATAGCAGAGAATTAACATCTTCTGACATTAATCGCATAAAGAAGGGTATAAAAAATGGCAAACTTTACAACATTGGAGCTTCACTTTTGGTCAAAATATTTCCCTCACTATCAAGCGTTAATTACACCACTAAAACTGGATTAATCAGGAATGCAGGATATAAGTGCCCTCTTTGCCCAAAGGAGAATAATATTAAAAGGAAACTTTTTCGCCACATTGAAGCTGATCATACAATGTCACTTATTATTTGCACCCTCTGCCGAGCTCTCTTTACTTCTGAGCATAACAGTAAATCTCATCAATGCACTATTCGACCATCTACTCGAGCTAGTTCTACCCAAAATGACCAAGATCATGAATCTGAAGTTTTACAACCAATCAACTCGTCAGATGTTAAAGACAACCCAACTACTTTTATCACTACTATTATCAATAGTAACAAAAGCAACATTACGGGCAATGTTTCAAGCATCAATAAACACAATGATACGCCTTATCCATCTGATGGTTTCTCGGGAAGTGTTATTCGTACCCCTAGTAAATCAAACAATGGTGAATTCTCATTTAATTTCCCAAAATTGACAGATACTGTTGCATACCAGCCTGATAGAGGAATAAAGCGTAAATTGTCTCCCTACGATTCAAGATCATCCACTTATTATAATAATCAAGGAGTTTCTTCAAAGGGCAATAACGATTTTGGGGAATCGGACAGTGAAGAAGATTCTTCATCTTCATCAATCATAGAAGAAGAAGATAGTGAACAAGAATCTAATCTTTCTCTTGTGAATAAAACAAATGTGTCAAGTATGTTACAGAACATCAACGATGACTCTTGGAGTTGGACTTATGACTATCAAACCTCTAAAACCAATGCATTAGCTGATCTTGATTCTTCGTTAAATGACGATGAAATGATCAATTTAGAAGAGGCTGATGAATCTTTGAAACGCATTTTCGGTCAAATCGATTCGACTCAGTTACCCACCAGAACTCGAAATTGTGTTACTAAACGTCAAGATTATGTTAAACATATCCAACCTGAACCATCTATCTTTTCTGATTTAGAAGGTGTTGAAGAATGGAAACCAAACGAAGTTATTCCAGCTCCAGGGGAACTGACGAATGAGGATATTCGTCGAATTAAAAAAGGTATATCGAACGGTAAATTATACAACATGGGACAAACTATTATTTATAAAATATTTCCAGAATTTACGACAATCACTGATCCAACAAGTCAACCTAATGATTCTATTAAACTAAAATGTCCTGTTTGTCCTGAATCATTTAGAGTCCGAAGGAACGTTGCGCGCCATTTCGAAACTTGTCATACCATGAGTTTAATCACCTGTGCTTTCTGTCATGAAGTGTTAACCTCAGAACGCAAGGCCAAATATCATCGGTGCTCGGAGCCAACAGAAAAGAAAACTGACCATCAATCTTGACCTATTTTTAACCTTAATATTCGATTTTTTACCGCTTTTGATTACATTATCATGAACCCTGCTCACTACCATTTTGATATCTTGTCATCATCCATTCAATCACAATGTTTATACTGGTTCATGGCAATCTTGTCTGGACACCATTTTCATCGTTATTACAGCCATTACTTTTCATAATTCAGCATTTTATTGTTTTATTTATGATAATGTTTATCCTTTATCATATCTCTATACATGTATCAAATTCCTTCTTACCTTTCATTTTCCTTATGTTAATTTGATTCTAGTTTATTTAATTATGTTTACTTGTAAGCTCACTTGTTCATTTGCCACTATTCGTTACATTATTTTATTACACATTACAATAATATGTAGTTTAAATTTTTATCAACGATGACTGTGACTTTGATGGAATGTTCATTTTCAATTGTGTTTGGAACTGATAAGACATTTGATTTAATTGCTGCCGATTCTATTGAAAGAGAATTTTGGTTAAATAAATTGCGATATATCATGTTTGAAGCAAAAACAGCCAAGAAAACTAAAGATCGACGAGCTTTTGTTGAAAAATGTTTTAAAGAAGCAGACAAAGATGGTGATCGTTTTATAAATTTCTTCGAAGCTATGAGTATCCTCAACCGACTAAACATTGCCATCAATAATGAGCTTGCTAAAGAGCTTTTCCAGAAATCAAGAAAAATGACGAAGAAGTTTTAGATTTGGACGATCTTTTTTGATAGTCTTGAGCACCGATGGGAAGTGGACAAGCTCTTTAATATGCCAAGTCAGGAGGAACAACAATAGGAGCCGAAGAGTTACAAAAAATTTTTAAAGAAGAGCATATTGATATGATAGTGAATACACGAGGGCTTCGCCCTCGTGCATCTAACCATCATTTTACCTCGCAATCGTTGTTTAATTATAATTATACTATACTAAGGATTTGGCTAATTTTTACACAAAAGAGTACATTGCTTGTACTGCTAAACGTTTAGTCAGAATTTATCCCAAAGGTTCTAGATTCATCAAATTATGACTCTACAATCCATTGGAACGTTGGTTGTCAAATGGGTAAATATTGTAAAAAATGTATTATTAATATGTAATTTTAATAATTTGATATTTTAATTTTTCAATTCACAGTGGCTCTTAACGTTCAAACTCTTGGAAAACATTTGTTTATCAATGAAACTTGATTTGCAACCAACGGACACTGTGGTTATGCATTGAAGCCAGATTTTCTTATGACAACAAAAGAGGGACAATCACCGAAACCTCTTCGCCTTGAATTGACCGTCTTGAGCGGTCAACACTTAAGGAATACAGATTCAAGTCCAGAGGATGATATAATTGATCCTTATGTGAAAATATCTGTGATTGATAGATCGGTGAAGATAGACAAAAAATGACGGCTAAAGCTATTTCAAATAATGGTTTGTTAATGGGTTAGCGGTTTGATTTAATTTTATAAATATGGCTTGAATTTATAAAATTAAATCAAACTGATTATGTGGATAGGAATCATTAATATTTAAAATTTTATTATTTTCAGGTTTAAATCCGATTTGGCTTGAAACGTTTGTATTAACCATAAACTAGATTTACTGCAAACAGTTTAGTCTGAGCTTTTGATATGCGATTTCAAATATTTTTAATTTTATGTGTGTTGATGCTGTCGAAAGACGTTCTTTATTTGGAAAAGAGTGCAGGCAAAAACTCGAGCATTCGAGTTAAGCGTTGAGCCTTGGTAGGTTTGTAGAAGCATAAAAATTTATTGCATTAGAGCTCACTAATGGACTCAGTTTTTCTGGACTCAGTTACAGTACGACAAAATCTCAACATTTTTCTCCTGCATATTTTGAATTTGGATAATTTTATTGATCTTTCAGGCTGCATTGAGAAAATGCTTTATTGCGAATTTTCATATATATTGTTCATGTAATTGAGAAGCACAGGTTTGTCTGAATCAGTAAAGTATGAGAGGATGAGAGGTTCAGGTTTTACAGTAAATTGCAGTTCTTCCTTGGCCTCCACAATCACCTGACTGCAATCCAATCGAGAATCTCTGGCAATATCTTGATGATCATATTCCAAAAGAAGCGAGAAAAAATATAAACTCTCTGAACAAGCAATAATAGAGACTTGGAATGCAATACCTTATCAAGCTAGTCAAAATTATGCAAAATCGCCTAAAAGAGGTTATATAAGCTCAAGGTGGACCAACTAAATATTGAATAATCAAAAAAGCTAAAAAAATTGACCAAAAAGATACAAACATGATCTCAGTTTGTCTATTATATTTCAACTTACTTAATGTTGCTCAAAAAATGGGGAAAATAATATCAACAGTTCATATTTTGTATATCACATAATTTCGGTTAACTAAATATAAGAGTAATTACTTAATTATCAAATAATGTACTTAAAATATTATGTATCTCAACTAAAACACCAAAATTTAGACGAGAAGACGAAAAAAAAGCCTTTTCAACTTATTTATTGACTCCACTGTATGAACGTTTTGTTCCAACCTGTGGCGAAAAAGTTATGGACAAATTACTATTACTTTTCTAGAGCTGAGTTAAGCTAATGGCTTAAAATTTTCTCAGAATTTTAGCTAGGGGTTAAAGAATTTTGTATATAAATTTCAGAAATTTTGCACTCGTAGATAATTTATCATCATGCAAAGTGCAACTTTCAAAGAGATGTACAAAAACTTTTTAGTGAACAATGAAAGGCTGAAAAGGCCAGAAATCGAGTTGCTACTTGAGTTGATGCAGCAAGTCGCGAGAAAATAATTCAAAGGTCAAAGTTACATGTTATTACGATTGGTTTTCTCAGGTACATAAAATTACCATTCTGAAGACATAAGTCATTGTCAAAAATAATTATTAACTAATAATGAATTGAAACTTACAATTGATTTCAAAATGAAAATTTCATAACATAAAACAAACAATGCTATTCATAGAGCGATTTAAGTAAGAATAACACAGAGAGTGAGAGAGATATTTTTCGCTCAAAACGAAACTTTCTCTATGCAATTCAGTTTATTAGAAACGTAACATTTAATCTTTAATTATTAAAGTAAAAAGGTAATAATTTCATCAATAGATTAACTTTCCAAACAATATTTACTGGGGTTATTTATGTGCTTTTACAGTTGTATAACTTGTGCAAGTTTAGTTAACAGTAATAAACAACTTAACAACTTGAATCAACCTGTTTGCTGTTATCATTAATACCATTGCGATTCCTGTCGATCAATTTTAATTTTACTCGTAAATTATTGACTTTAAATTGTGATTAATTTGCCAACCCATCGACTATCCCAATTTATAGATTTGGAATCTATGTATACAATTGAATAATAACTGAACATGGAAAGACAACTGGAACAACAGGTGAACCGTTTTTTTTGATAATCGCTATGAAACTAACTGTTGTTATAGTGAGATAATTGATCAGAGTGAGCTTATTTCTACACATCATTATCACAAATGTTACTTTCAAACGTTATCATTAAGATTTGGAAGACAAAGCTACTTAATTTACCAATTGTCTTTTTTGCCACAGTTTGTGATCATCGCTATTAGACTTCATTATTGTCATCAAGGTTGCAACTTCTAGTGACTTACCTGTTCTAGTCTAGGTAAATCTGTTCTTCTCATTTTGCTCAAAGCACCAATTGAAGGTAATCAAGTTAATAACTTCTTTTTTTGTTATCTCATTCCGATTGCCCCCCTTGTCTTAATACCGCTTCTTTTAGTGATCACTGATCAAAACTGTATCAGCAACATATTGCTAATATAAGGGAATACTTGAAAATAAATAAATGTGAAAAAAATTATGAAGATATTACCTGTGTACATGTAATTTAGCTGGTAATATATGCTAAAATTAATCGGTAAATCACCGCCAACTAATCGTTAAAATCACTAATATTTTGTTGATACATATGAAAAAGGTGAATAATATGTACATAAACAGCAGTTAATTATTAGATTAGTTTATAAAATTACTAGGAAAAGATTTAAATGAATAATTTAGGTTTGCAATTGTTGAATGTAATGGTTTTTGCGATTAACCTTGGTTGTTGGGTAAAACTGAGGATACATGGGTTTTAATGAAACGGTTATGTCAAAGAGATAATAAATGTATAATCCAATCAAGGTTTCTCACATTAACCTTACTTGAAAATGATAGCACTTTTTGTTTGCTGTTTAACATTCAATGCTGTCTTTATCAACACATTTTGCACATTTTTTTCTATCTCCTGTTAAATCCGAGATTTGTTAATTTGTTTCACTGACTAATGGTAGCAATAGTGATAATCAATCCTTAAACAGTTTTACATTTTAATATTCATTGTTTAAGTTTTCACAACGCTGTTTCTTTGCTTCTGCCTTTTCAATTTCAACTTTGAGTAATCCTTTGTTTCCTTATCTTTTTGTCTAGATTTTTTCCCACCATTATCTTTGTATCATCAAAAACAACAGCCAGTAAAAAATATCTACGGTAAGTAAAGGAAATTAACTGAGAAGAGAAAATAGAAAACCCAGTGACTGGATTACAATTAACTGCTATACAAACAATTTTAACCAGTGTTAAAGTCCGAGTTTCAGGACTATTTAGTCACTCGCGCTTCACAACATGTCATCCAATAATGAAACCAGGATGGAGTCTACCTTTTTAAAAGTTAACCGACGAGGAGGATTAATGAATCGTCGTATAATCATCGACGAACAAAATAAAACAATGGAATATCATAGATACCGGAAAAAGCTGACTTTTCATAAAAAATCAATCTGTAAGTTATTCTTTGTCTTGTTACTTAACTAGAAATTTTTCTTAATCTAAAACACTGTTTCTTATTACTTGCTTTAGATTCAATTCAAGACATAACAGACCTTCGACAAGGATGGATGACTACTAAATTCAAAAAGATAGAGGAAAAGATGCGTCGTCTTTGGATGAAAGGCAAACAAGACACGTCAAATAACTGGGTTAGAGAGGAATGTTCATTTTCAATTGTGTTTGGAACTGATAAGACATTTGATTTAATTGCTGCCGATTCTATTGAAAGAGAATTTTGGTTAAATAAATTGCGATATATCATGTTTGAAGCGAAAACAGCCAAGAAAACTAAAGATCGACGAGCTTTTGTTGAAAAATGTTTTAAAGAAGCAGACAAAGATGGTGATCGTTTTATAAATTTCTTCGAAGCTATGAGTATCCTCAACCGACTAAACATTGCCATCAATAATGAGCTTGCTAAAGAGCTTTTCCAGGTAATTTTAATTTAACACTATTGTTTCACAAGCAAAAATGTAATCTTGCTTTTTATCCCTCTCTTCCCCTTCTTTCCATGTTTGCAACACCAGAAATCAGCGAAAAAACATTCTACCAGGAAAAGTGACGAAGAAGTTTTAGATTTGGACGAATTTTTCATCTTTTTTGATAGTCTTGAGCACCGATGGGAAGTGGACAAGCTATTTCGCCAATATGCCAAGTCAGGAGGAACTACAATGGGACCCGAAGAGTTACAACAATTTTTTAAAGAAGAGCAAGGAATTGATCTCTCTCTGGATACTTGTCAAAAATATATTGATAAATTTCAAACTTCATGGTATGCTTCATTGTCCACTAACCTCTTAGAAGCATCTCAAAGGCAACCCGCTTCATCTCAAATCCTTGAATTGTACATGAATTCGAAAGGTTAGTGCCATTAGATTCATTGTAATTATCATTGATATTATTGGTCCCTTTCTCAACCTCTTTTCGGGTCAAAGCTTTTATTTACATTTACACTTTAATATCAATTGTTACAAGAGAAATGATTAATCACCTTTCTATTTCTCTGTCTTTTTCCGTTTTTGGAAATTTCTCATTTTAGTGTTTACTTTTTGATGTTTGCTTTTTGTCAACTTTTCTTCATCTCTGCTTTTATACAATCAACATACGATATCATATCATGCATAGTTGAAATTAATATAATTACATATTGAATTGTGTTTGATGAAAGGGAAATAGTGTTCAGTTATTCTTATTGCCCCAAACGCCTGAATAATCATTGTATTATAATTAAAAGTTTAGCGATTGTTGTACAGACAATTTATATTGTAATATTGTATACAATGTTTAAATAATAGAAAGATGAAAAATTAGCTTTTTGAAAAAAAACAAAACATCAATTCAATTTGTGTACTTTAAACTCACCATTACAAAATAAGATGACAAAGAAGAGTTTCGTATGACAAGATCAATTAGTAAAATTTGAAATTGAAATTGATGTGCAAGTTATTCCATCAACCATTAGATTCTGATAGTATGGTTTCATTAATCGTTATATGGGTGTAAATGATACAAGTGTAAACAATTTTAAACCGAATGGGAAACATGATCAACTATTCGATTCTCAAGATTTTGAATTGATTATTAATGATATTGCTTTTTGTTGCACGTTTTTTATGAAATGAAATGGACAAGATTCTGATATTGAGATTTCAGAATGAGATTATACTTATTGCAATTTATTTATTCATTTAATTCATGAAATTAATAAAATCTCTTTACACCAGTCAACAGTTCTAGTTGTCGGTAGAAAATGTCGATCAATTGTTGGAAATTGGTGATATTAGTCTTTAGAGCTATTAAAGTTTGTTGTTGAGGTGTCCAGACTCTCATTACGTTTACCATGTCTTTCAACTCATTTGATACTCCTCGACCTAAAACTTTGAGTTCATTGGAAGTCTTTTCATCAGCAACAATTTTATCAATATCTGCGGCAAAAGCTGTAATCGAATCCATAGTTTGTTTTTTAACTGTGTCAATATTGGCCTGAGTTAGACTCTGCAAGAGTATGTCAGGATTGAATTTAGTTAAAACTGGATGTTTGAGGACTTCAAATTCAAATTCAAACATATCATTCAAATAAGTAAATTGATTGATGAGATATTTGATTGTCTTTTGATAAGTATCATCACCACAAATGACTTCATGTTGATCCATTGATTTAACATCAGCTTCAAGAGTCGCCAAGGCTTGATAAGTAACTTGGCAAAGGTTAATTTGATCTCGAGTCAGGCCAACTGATGAACTCAGTTTAGTCAATTGTTCCATTCTGTGCTCGATACGTTTAGTAATCAGTTGCTTGACCAAAGCAGGACTGTATTTATCAACTACAGCATTGAGAAAGTCAGTTTCCTCAACTGCATTCGAGTAACAGATTACGGATCCTGTAAACAGCAGAGAAACAATCAGTCATGAAAAATATGAAAAATATAACAAAATGAATTCTTACCTAAAATAAGGGAACAAACGAGAAGAGTTTTTGATAACATTTTAAAAGGTTTAATGTGTTTGAATCTGGTTCAGTTATAACAATATAAAAATGATGGTTTATCCATTTTGTTATATTTTTATATTCAACTCAATCAATTGTTTCTCATCTCTGATAATTTTCCTTGGATTTTACAATTGAAATTTTTATCTCCCAGTTATCACGATTGTACCATTATGGTTGAACTGTTGGATTGAGAGGTTATGAGATTGAAACACGACAATAAAATCTGGTTATTTATCTAATAACTTTGATTTATTGTGATTTAAATATATTTATCTAATTGTTTATACGAATCGCTACATTTATGAAAATATAATCATTCTTTTATTGGCGTTTCAATCGATGCTGAAATATTATATTTTGTTTCTTCTGTTTGTTTTATGATTTTGTTATCGACATTTCTTGTTTTTCTTGCAATAATGCTACTCCAAATTTCAAATTTGACTTTTCAAGTTCATTTGAGTGCTAGTTTTCGCATGAAAACAATAATTCCCGAATTAGCCAACTCTGTGGGATGTTTTACATCCATTCTGATAATGATAATTAACCTTCAATCAATTGTTTTTAAAATGTGCATGATTGGTGATTCCAATGTGAAATCGGAATAGATAAGATTGGAACTAAGATTTAACCAACACAACTAACCATTATAAGGAATATCTTTTCGAATAATTGTCTCGGTTTGTCAAAATTAAGACATTATACTGATGTCGGTGATACTTGCTTTAAAATTTAAGTGAATTCTGACTCAACTTTCTAATCGAACCACAAAATATATTTGACTTCCTGATATTACAGTCAATCTGCATTGAAAAGATCCAAATGCTAAAGCAATCATCGTCAAAATGGCGAAAGACTTGCTTGCTTCAAGAATAATTAAGTTGATATTTAGCCAGAATTTGAAAATTTAAAATTCGATTGAGCAGTTTGTGCATATTTGACTTAAGATTTCAGTTGATGTTCAGTTTCTGAGGTAGGTTTAGGTTGAGTATTTGTAATAACCCGAATTTTATGGTGAGCCCGAATTCATAATGAAAAAAATCAAAAACATAAAGCTTGCGCTTTTTTCAAATTGAGAAAAACTAATTGCAATTATCACAATAAGAAAACCATTGATCAAGATGGTCACTAAATGGTAAATGAAAGTTAAAGATTACAGTAGTGGTTAGGGTTAAGTTAATAGATTTTCTTGCGTGGACCGGCCAGCCGCGACAGCTTTTAAGGCGCCGTCTACCCCTTGCTACCTAGGTGTTTTACCGACCCATAGGCGCCAGGCTTTATCCAGCTTAGCTGGGAATCCATCAGGAAGGGAGGATGGGATAGTCCAGGGGGCTTAACCCTGAGTAAGCTCTACTGTATGCGCCTTAACTTCAGGACTTGGGCGAGATTCGAACGCTAACCCCAAGATGCAGAGAACAACATATGAAGATTAGCAGTCTTATCGCCAACGCTAACCACTAGGCTAACGTTAAGTTAACAAATGGGGAGATTTTTTTCATAGTCGCCATCTAACAATAATTTAAAGTACCTTTAAGATCGAATTTAATTTTGTCCATTTCTCCATTGTCTAGTTTCTCTGAAAACTAATTATTACCGAGATGGCGACACCTGAAAATTAACTTAAGTCTGGCCCTGTTTTGTTAACTTAACCCTAACCACTACTGTATTAAATTTGGGTTAGTCTATATCCGATGTCCAGACAGAGATTCATTCAAATTTTTCTTTGCTTCTGTTTCCGTATTTTACGTGAATCGATTAAAAACAATTCCTCGATTTTAGTAAAAGTTGCTTAAAGTTTGGCTGCAGATTCGCGATATGCTTGAACATGAATTTCAGTAAAAACTCAGGATTGCTTAGTAGATTTTCAGTAATTTGGTTAATTAAGTGATTTCTTTATTTAGATTGTATTATACTGCAAATATTTTATTGATATATTTAGCATCACTAAATAATACATTAATAAAAATACATATTTTCATTTCTGGACTTTTACTTGTTTGATAGAATTCGATATTGTCTGTAGAATACATCGATGATTTGTCCAAATCGAACCAGTGCATCGTGTATGATATTTCTGTAGTTGGGAATAGATTCAGTTATAAGATTGATTTTGTCATAAGTGTTTTCAAGCTCTCGATAAGAAGCGCTGGACATTGCTTTTACGAGGTCGTCATTGCTAGTTGAATTGTATGTCTTAATATCATTCATAAAGATTTTGATAGAAGCAAGTGATTTGGATTTTACAAAAGTAAATGATGGAGAATCAGTGATTTTCTTTTCAAGAAGAACTGCTGGTGTATCAGGAGTCAAATTGGGAATCTTGAGGAATTCAAATTCTCGAGCGAATGTTTCAGTCAATAATGCGAATTGAGAAATGAAACCTTTGATTGTCTTATCATAAGTAGCGTCACCACAAATGACTTGACTTTCATCCATCAACTGGATATCAGATGCAAGGACAGCATAACTGTTGAGAATGACTTCACAGAGATTCACTTGTTCATCGGTTAGGCCAATTGTCGAATTGATGACTTTGATTTGTTGCATCTTGTGATTGATTCGCTCCAAAATCAAATTCTTGACCAAAGCAGGACTGTATTTCCCAGAAGCCTCAGTAAGGAATTGGACATCTTCAGTCTGAGTGTCACAGCTGACCAAATTCAAGCCTAGTTCAAATAGGAGAGTTAAATTTTTTATTAAAATAGCAAAAAATTATGAGTTAAATTCAAATAATAGACTTACCGATACATAATAAAGCAACGAAGAAGGCTTTTGAATACATTTTTAGTTTGATTTTGTAATGAAACTTATGACAATATCAATCAGTAAAAGTTGATTTGACATTGTTATTATAAATGAACAAGTTGATATTTATAATAACAAGTTTTATCATTAACCGTTTATTTATCAGAAAATATGGATTGTTTTAAAGTTTTAACTGCTAATGCAATCATTATCATGTATGAACATTGAACTTGATAGCATTTATCTTGAAATAATTGTTTAAACATTCAATTCTAGGTTTCAAAACACGTAGCGCCTAACAATATTATTTGTATAAACAATCGAGTATTATATTGATGAGGTAAGATTGGGTATTAATTGGGTGGATATAATAATCAATTGATTTCAAGTCAACATGAAATTGATAAGCCATTCTGGTCTGGATTATTATACTGGATTTGTAAGCTTTGTATTAACTATTTTCAAAACTAAACTCAATTTATTACTTCATGTTATTAGCTTGAATATCAGTGAGTTACACTAAATACTTTTGATTTAGAGTAAATATTTCAAGATGTTCAGCAAATTCACATTTCTTTTTCTTATGCTAGGTAAGTCCATGTTTCAGATAATTGAACTATTGTATTAAACATAACCTTTTCTCAATCTGTTAGGACTAACTCTTGTCTCTAGTAAACTCCAGGATGTTGAATTTTTGAATGAAATCTCCCAAAAATACAGTCCACCGGTAGTTGGTCGAATGATGCTCAAACGTATTGAGGGTCGCATGAATGAGGTGAAACGAGCCAATCGTTCTAGAAGTATGACTGCTGACCAACACTTTCTCTGTACATCCATTTACAATGCTTTGGACACGCTACATCATGATGTTGAATTAATGGATAAAAGTCCAGTTCTTTGTGGAAACCAAAGATTTGAAAAGGTCATCAATTACTTTCTCGGAAAATTTAAATGGCTCCTAAATTTGTACAACAAGGGATCATTGAAAGCTTTGCAATGAACAGTAAATCTTAAAACATGATCCACGTAATCAATGTACTGAACAAATGTTTTCTATTTTAAATAAATTCCATTTATAATGCAACAACTTGAACAATTACTTTATTTAAGCTCTGAAATTTTATTATGAGCTGAAGTAAATGAATTGTTTGGATGCAACTTGTATCAGAATACATTGCTATTCTTATTATATGGTACTTTTTGACCATATATTTGACTTTAATCATGTATCCACTTTCATAAAATTGATTTCACATTATTTGCATTTCAAATTAGATTTGAACATCAGTTAACTAACGGCTTCGACTGCGTTCATGCATGTAATAAATCATGTTGCTCCTCGTCTCATTAAGTTAATTAACATGCAAAGTGACCGTTTATTTTGAATTTTTACTTTAATGGTAAAAATTGATGAAAATGATTGATTTTGAACACTATTTGATCTAATATATTGAAATATTAAAACAGATATTCTGATGTTTGCTTTATCTCATCAACTAATGATCACTTTCTTTCTGATATTTTCCCAACAGGATTTGAAGCAATGCTCACCTCATCTGAATTTGATTTGTTCAACCAGGACCATTACAATACACACCAAGATATGAATCGACCATTAAATCATTACTACATTCTGTCATCACATAATACGTGAGCATTAATTTTAGCAAATTGAATGAATTAATATTGATGCTAAATTTGCTAATGATTGTTCAAACAGATACCTGTTAGCTGGACAATTAGTTGGAGACAGTAGCATTGAAGGTTATATTGATGCTATGAGAAGAGGATATCGATGCGTTGAATGTTAGTTTGCCAAATATAACAATGTTTGTCAGTAATTAATTTACATCTATTTTCATTGCTATCAGTGGATATTTGGGATGGTAATGATAATGAAGGACCCATCGTTTATCATGGATACACTATGGTTTCCAAACTATTACTTAAAGATGTATTGGAAGCTATTGGAGCGTATGCTTTTGATACTACACCTTATCCATTAATACTGTCTCTGGAAATTAATTGTTCCCAGGAGCAGCAAAGTTCAGTCGCAGGACTTTTGGTTGCAATCCTTGGAGGTAACAGCTCGAAACGTTGCCAATAATTTGATAACCCGTTAATCAAACTTTTTTTTACCTTTTATATTGATAGATAAGTTATATAGAAGGCCGATCATTCCGAACGAACGTGAATTACCAAGCCCTGAAATGTTAAAGAATAAAATATTAGTCAAATCTAAAGGACGCCCCTCTGGTAGTGAAGATACCGATTCTTCTTCTTCTGAATCATCAGAAAGTGAAGAAGAACTCAATGAGACTCGCCGATACATTACGGACAGAAGGTATTCAGTTTCTGCAGTTGCCAAATCATCTTCGGGTAAATCAAAAAAAGTAAGAGAATCAGCTAACCTCTACCAAAATGAAGACTAATTTACTTTTTTATATTTTCCCATGAACTCTAGCATAAAATATCGAACAATTTAGCGGATCTAGCAGTCTATTGTTCAGCAAAAAAGTTCCGTAGCCTTGAAGATACATTATCATGTAAGTTTCATAGCAATAAACTTCGATTGTTTTAGCTAAATGATCCAAATGAAAAAATGATAATCTTTGTTAATGTTAATTTTTTTATCGTGATTTACAGGGAAATTCAATGAAATGTTTTCTCTCAAGGAAACCGTCTCAGCGGATTTGGCTAATTTTTACACAAAAGAGTACATTGCTTGTACTGCTAAACGTTTAGTCAGAATTTATCCCAAAGGTTCTAGATTTAATTCATCAAATTACGACCCTACAATCCATTGGAACGTTGGGTGTCAGATGGGTAAATATTGACAAAAATTACAATCGCATGATTTATTATTAACATGTAATCTTAATAACTTGGTATTTTAATTTTTAAATTTACAGTGGCTCTTAACGTCCAAACTCTTGGTAAACATTTGTTAATCAATGAAGCTCGATTTGCTACCAACGGACACTGTGGTTATGCATTGAAGCCAGATTTTCTTATGAAAACAAAAGAAGGACAATCACCAAAACCTCTTCGCCTTGAATTGACCGTCTTGAGCGGTCAACACTTGAGGAATACAGATGCAAGCCCAGAGGATGATATAATTGATCCTTATGTAAAAATATCTGTGATTGGACACGGTGAAGATAGACAAAAAATGACGACTAAAGCTATTTCCAATAATGGTTTGTTAATTGATTAGCGGTTTGATTTAATTTTATAAATATGGCTTGAATCTATAAAATTGAATCAAACTGATTATGTGAATAGGAATCATTAATATGTTGTATTTATTTCTATCAGGTTTTAATCCGATTTGGCTAGAAACTTTCGTATTGACCATAAATTTTCCAGAATTAGCATTCCTCTATTTTAAAGTCAAAGATGAGCGACTAAGTGGCAAAGATGCCAAGTTGGCTGGAAATGTGATAGCGGTTACATCAATGCGAACAGGTAAGCCATTTGAAAAAGAAAACCCTTTTCAATCTATTGTTAACTATTGTAGTTGATTTCAATGTCTGTAACAATTCAGATTTTAATCCATTTCTTTTTCTATTGCAGGCTATAGACATTTACAATTATTAGACAATCGTGGTAAAAAAATTGATGGCTGTACACTTTTCTTGAAAGTCCATACGGAATGACGAATTGTTAATTTGCTTTAGGATTTTTTTATCTTAAATTTATTTCATATTTTAACTTTCCTTTTGAAAGAAATGTTATAATCAGATGTCAGATTTATTAAATTACCATTATTGTTGTATTTAAAATATTTCAGAATCATAATCATGTCTGAAAGTTTTGTTCTACATGTTACTTCCCAACAAGTTTTTCATGAAATAATTTAAATTGTTGCCTCTATTCATCCTCGTAAAGTATATTTAATCAAATATACAATTCAATCAAGAAACTTTAATAAAACATTTATTTTCATTTCACGAGACACAAAATGGCAAATGTATCTATGATTATTAATTGTAACAGCATTGCCAAATATTAGTTATCAAGTTTTTCACCAGTGTCCCAATCATCGATTGCTGCTGGAGCTACAGCTATTAACTTGAAGTAATCACTCACAGAATCACTTGCAGTACTTTCTGGATAAATCCGTTTTTAGATGGCCTTTTGATCGGCGTAAATCAGTGTGTAAATCATCCCTTAGTATTATGTAACCACCGTGAGATAAGAATGTTTTGATGAACATAATGATAGAATAAAAAGAAATATAAATAGATATTCGGCGATGATTTCAAAACTTGAGATTCACACATTTTTCGTAATTACATCTGTTTGTTGAGTAGTGACCAGTGTAACCACCGTAAGATAAGAATGTTTTGCCGCATACGCATTCATATGACAACTTGAAATGGTGTGTCAGGACGTATATCCTCGTCTTTGGCAAACTTGGGGTCATGTATCTATTCGCGACACAAGCATCATTTTCACATGAGCAAACAAAATTTTTGCCATTTTTAGTCACACGCTCGTCAGACTGAGCTTCATCCCAAAGCTTGCTAAATTGGTCAACGGTTATTGGGAGACCAGATTGATAAGGCCGGAAAGCACCGTTTTGGTATTTGACAAAAATTTTGTCAAGGTTTTTTTCATTACATTCCGACGATTGTGATTGTAGTTTCTTAACACTATCCTTATACTTACATCTGCTGAAAGAATAGTGAGCAGTGTAAGAAGCGTAATAAGTAATTGGCTGTCCACAGCAACATTCGAATGTTATGCCTAAATGCTTTGCAAATAAATGATTCTTCATTGCCACACTGTTCTTGTGTTTATATTGGCACGAAGGGTTTTCACTTAAGCAAACAAACTCTTTTGCAGCATTTCTGGCGGTGTACTTCTCAGATAAAACCTCATTCCAAAGTTTTTTGAATTCCTCAACTTTTAGTAGGCGGCCAGATTGATAAACACGGTACGCATCTTCATGGTATTTATGAAAGTATTCATCCTCACTTGGCCTTTGCTTTTCATTCTGCAAATTTTCAAATAACCAACGTGTGATAACAGGAGAAGAATTGTATTTCAAATTTTTGATTCGTCGGTGAAATTCTTCAAAATTTTCATAAGTCGATAAGTTGATGTTTCGCTTTAATTCAGCCAAAGCTTCATCAGGGTCAGATGACAGAGTTTCCATATATGAATCTCGTTCACGAGATGGACTTCCAGATGGTGATCTATAACCTACTTGCGATCTTACGCGAGAGCTAGATCTCGATTCTTGGCCTGTTGAGTGATGTGATCCGGCGAATGGGATAGAACTATTAGATGAAAAATATCGTCCATATCTGGTGCACTTTGTTCTTCTATTGGGTTAGACGATTGATCAGAAGTCGTTGGTATATTATCGGCGGCGAATGATTTTCCAAAAGCTTTGGAAATAAAACATTGAATTATGAATTGCTCAAATTACTGAAGATCTTTACGTACCTTCAGTTCTTCTCCTTTTGTTGGTAGCTAAAGAGCTAAATTTTTATGTTTTTTCTTGCCAAACCTTTTCAGAATCTTTTTAATGTTGATACACAAACCTTTGGATGATAGTTGGTCAAAAAAATGCGATATAAACAAATGCTTAACCACCAGACTTAAGAAGTTTTATCTTGGATAATAAATGGCAAGACACTTCATAAACAATTAAAACGTTGCAATGAACAAATTATTAAATTTAAGTCAATAACTAGCCGACTTAGCTTTGTAGAAGCAAAGATAACCCCAGAGTCTGGAACAATGCAATGGGTAAAGAGGTAAAAGGCTAGCAACTCTGTTGCTATAGACCGAAGGCGGTGTAATCAAATTTCAAAACAAAAGATTCACTCAACCGTCAATGTAATCCAATTCATTCTATTGGAATCAAAAATTGTTCATTTCGAGACAGTTGATAGACACAATGGCCACATAACTCAACTCATCTTGACATGAACAGTCTCTTGTTCCATTGAGATGAGGTAAGTTACACCGGCGATTGAGTCTATCAACCTTCTCTTATTCCAATATCATCGGCGATTGAGTCTATCAACTGTCTTGATTCGTTTTGCTTTATATTTTGATTTATAAAAACCAATTTTCTAAGATAATTTTCATCAAAAATGCGGAGCAAAGCTGATTAACACTACTGAATGAATTGTTGTACTGACTATGAGATTAAGTTACGATAGTCAGTGACTACACAGAATCGGTTTACTAATCCATCTACGCTTGAGTCTTGTTCCAATAGGATGAGGTGAGTTACATCGACGATTGAGTTCAGCAATTGTCTTGAAATGAACAACTTCTTGTTCCAATAGGATGAGGTGAGAAACATCGACGATTGAGTCCAATTGTCTATGACTACGCAATGCAGTAACAATAGTCGGCATGACTAAACAATCTCTTTTTACGAATCCATCGACGATTGGGTCTATCAATTGTCTTGAAATGAACAACTTCTTGTTCCAATAGGATGAGGTTAGTAACATCGACGATTGAAAAAACACGAGACAGTAGGTTCAGCAAAACTTTACACAAGTCTAATACGTGAGTGAACTTATCAATTTTATTGAGTAGAGATATATGAGGCCATGATGTTATTTTATCTACCTTTCAACTTGGAAATTTTATGTTTCAATTTCGACTAGTTTCAATGCTGCTATCATGTCGGCTTCTCGTCTCAATACATCCTCGTTAACAAGTACAACATATTTGTACATCTATCAACAACCAATCGTCTCATACTTCGCTCGTTATGACTTACAACGTCACATACAGTTTGAAAATTTCTCACTCGTTTGTAAGGGTTGCAAGATCGGATTGGTCCAACAGTCAGCCATGGAAAATCAATTCGAAAATTGTGAACCTCCGAAAGCCATTTGAATTGATTATTTGAAAATTTTTTTTATTAATACTCATTTAATTATCATATTCATAATTACATTACATTTATTACATTTGCTTTTTCATTAAAAATAGTTAAAAATTGCGTTGTGAAACTTAATAGTTATTAAATTTTTTTCCATTCTTATTCAAGATTTTAGGCAATCATAAGGATAGTGTTAAGAAACTGCAATCACAATCGTCGGATTGTAATAAAGAAAACCTTGACAAAATTTTTGCCAAAGATGAGGAAACACGTCCTGACACACCATTTCAAGTTGTCATATGAATGCGTATGCGGCAAAACATTCTTATCTTACGGTGGTTACACTGGTCACTACTCAACAAACAGATATAATTAATATCTATTTATATTTCTTTTTATTCTATAATTAAGTTAAAGTGCAAAGTAAATGCAATTTTTTAAGCAACTTACGAACTGTATCAAAATTTACTTACATGTTTACATGAGTTTACATGGTATGGTTACATAATAATATACACTGTAATTCATTAAAATTGTAAATTAAAAATTTTGAAACCTACTGAATGTAATAACTGTGTGTAAAAAATAGCCCAAAAAGCTTTATTTTTAATCATGATCGACTAATAAATGAAGAGGGCAATTTACAAATGCCGTAGGATTTTAGTTTTGAAAGAAAGTATTGTCATTGTTGATGTTGAGATTTCAGAATGAATGATATTTATTGCAATTTATTTATTCATTTTTATTCATAAAATTAATAAAATCTCTTGACTTTAGTTACCGCTTCTAGTGCTCGGTAGAAAATATCAATAAATTCTTGGAAACTTGTGATCTTACTCTCTAGAGCTTGTAAGGTTTGTTCATGAGGTGTCCAAGCTCTCATTACGTTTACCATATCTCTCAACTCAGTTAATATATCTGCACCTAAATAATTAATTTCACCGGAAGTTGTCTCATCAGCAATTTTAGCAATATCTGTGGTAAAGGCTTCAATCGACTTGATAGTTTGTTCTTTAATTGTGTCAATATTGTCCTGAGTTAGACTCTCCAAGAGTAATTCAGGATTAATTTTAGTTGGAACCGGATCTTCAATTTTATAAGCGGGCGTTGTATTTAATTCAGTAGATTGATCAATAAAACTTTTACCAGATAACAGTTCTAGTTGTCGGTAGAAAATATCAATCAATTGTTGGAAACTTGTAATCTGATTCTTCAGAAGTTGTAATTTTTGTACAGGATACGAAGATTTCATTTCGATTACCATGTCTTTCAACTCATTTGATATTCCTTGACCTAAAGCTTTCAGTTCATTGGAAGTCTTTTTATCGGCAACAATTTCATCGATGTCTGCGGCAAAAGCTGTAATTAATTCAATAGCTTGTTGTCTAATTTTGTCAATATTGGCCTGAGTTAGACTCTCCAAGAGTATGTCAGGATTGTATTTAGTTAAAACTGGATGTTTGAGGACTTCAAATTCATATTCAAACATTTCATTCAAATAAGTAAATTGATTGATGAAATATTTGATTGCCTTTTGATAAGTATCATCACCACAGATGACTTCATGTTGATCCATTAATTTAACATCAACTTCGAGAGTCGCAAAGGCTTGATAAGTAACTTGGCAAAGGTTAATTTGATCTCGAGTAAGGCCAACTGATGAACTCAGTTTAGTAAGCTGTTCCCTCTTGTGCTGGATACGTTTGATAATCAATTGCTTGACCAAAGCAGGACTGTATTTATCAACTACAGCATTGAGAAAATCAGTTTCCTCAACTGCATTCGAGTAACAGATTACGGATCCTGTAAACAGCAGAGAAACAATCAGCCATGAAAAATATAAAAATAATAACAAAATGAATTCTTACCTAAAATAAGAGAACAAACGAGAAGAGTTTTTGACAACATTTCAAACTAAAAGGATTAATGTGTTTGAATCTGGTTCAGTTATAACAATATGAAAATGATGGTTTATCCATTTTGTTATATTTTTATATTTAACTCAATCGATTGTTTCTCATCTCTGATAATTTGCCTTGGATTTTATGATTGAATAAAAATTGCAATGTTGAATAATATTCAAACAGAAATTTTTATCTACCAGTTTTCATGCTTGTGTCATTGTGCTTATATAATATAAAACATAAAATTTATATATAATGCAATATAATCAGTCTTTTATCGGCGTTTCAATTCAGGCTGCATTGTTACATTTTGTTTCTATCGACATTTCTTGTTTTTTTGCCAATAAATTTGCTCGAAAATTCGTAATCGTGATAATATTCAAGTTTATTTGAGTACCATTGCTCTCGCGAAAATCAATAATTCGGGAATTGGATTGCTGTGTGGGCTGTTTCACATTTGTTATGATGGTGATAGCTGCTAATCTTTGGTAAATTGTTTTTGAAATTATGCTTTGCATGATGGATGATTCCAATATGAAACTAAAATAGATAAGATCGGAACTAAGATTTTACTAACAACGATTATGTTGAATATTTTTTGCAAGATATGTCTCAATTCAATCGAAACAAATTTTCCCATCTCTGATCAACAATTTTTATTTATCCAAAAGATCTTCTGTTCTCCGGAGATCATATATTCTTCAAATTAAAAAGTTATAATACTTGATGGTGCTTACTTTGATTAGCTAAAATGTGAATCAAACTGCATATCGAACCGCAAAATATATGCGACAACCTAATAGAGATTGCAAGAAAGTCAATCCACTTTCAAAAAACCCCAATTCACAATGAAATAAACCTTCGTCAAAATAAAAGAAAGGCTTGCTTGCTTTGACAATCATTCAAAGTTTATGTTTAACCAAGATTTGATATTTGCTACTAAAAAGACACAATTGTCACAAATTGACACAAACACTGCAAGAAAAATGGGCAAAAACGGATAAAATAAATTTCCTTCAAATTTAGACTCTGTTGGTTTGTAGGCAATTAAAAACTAAGGCCATTGGTTCTAATAAATAATTTATTCGATGGATAGTATTAGAGAAAATCTGGTTCGAAGTTGAAACTTGCAAAGCTTTTTGTACCATTATGGGAAGCAGATTTTTTCAAGAAACTTATAATACTGAACTACCTTCTGATAATAAACCACAAAATGTATTCATTTTGAGAAACAAAACTTTTGTTTTTCTGCAAAACGGATAAGTTCAATTTTCAGTTGAACCGATCGTTTTCTAGGACTATAAAAGTTAAGGAGCTGAAACTTATTATTTGTTCATAAAAACTGTTGGCTAACATTATGGCTTGAATAATTTTAACAATTTAACAATAGTTCCCTTGATCTTGCCCATTGGACTCAAAACTTTGAACCTCAATATCTCGAGAAAGGCATCACATTCAATGATCATTCTTTGACCAATTTAATCCCTTCCTAATTAATAATGCAATCCAATTCAATAACATTCTATAAGAGCATTTTGGTCTTGGGTTTTGAGTTGTAAATGCACGAGGAACAACTTATTTAACAAAACAAACTTATAACAACCAATATCTTGGTAAATAAAGCAATTTTTGGGTTAAGCTTGCAAAAGAGATGCAAAGAGTGCTGCCAAAGGCTCGAACATTTGAGTTGTGGGTTAATACTTAGTGGACTTTGTAGGGACATGAAAACTGAGTCGATTGATGCTATTAAATAATTCATCTGATAAATAATTTTCGAGAAAATCGAAGTCAAAGTTGAAACTTCGATCGCTTTTTGCTCATTCATGGAAGCATATTTTTTCATGGAACTTAGTTTGAGGATGTAAGTTTTGATAGACAACCAGAAAATGGACTTATTTTGATAGTAAACATTTTATTTTTCCATTAAAACCGCTTAGTTCGATTTTTAGTTAAAGTGACCTCATTCTATGATCGTAAAAGTTAGCGAGTTGAAACTTATTATCAGTCAGTAAAAATTGTTTGTTCTTATCATGGATTAAATACTTTTTTCAATTTATCAATAGTTCTCTCGATTTTGGCCATTGAACTTAAAACTTTGAACTTGAATAGTTCGTGAATGGAGTTAGGTACAATAACCAATCTTTAACCAAACATTAGATTTCACCATGATCTATGACTGAATATCAAAGAAAACTGAGTTTTGCAATGAGAAATTTATTTAATAATGAATACAAACATAAGATTTGTGTCTGATTAACCATTCAGCTTTATACATCAAGCTCAAAATTACTTATGCTATAGCTTTTTTTGTAGGATCTCGAATGGTCACAAGTTTCTTTATATTATAGCCCATGTTAAAATCTAATGTTTGGTCAAAGAATGATGATTTTAGGTGATGCCTTTCTCGAAATATTGAGCATCAAAGTTTTAAGGCCAATGGCCAAAATCAAGAGAACTAGCTGTAAACTGAAAAAAGTATTTAATCCAGGATATAAAACACCAATTTTTATGGACAAATGATAAGTTTCAATTTGCTCAGTCTTACGATCACAGAATATGGTCACTTTAACTAGAAATCGCACTGATCTGTTTTCAAAGAAACAGAAAATGTTTTTTCTCAAAATAAGATCATTTTATTGTTGGTCATTAAAAGTTACATTGGTAGAATAAGTTTCATGAAAAAATCTGCTTCCATTGCTGAAGAAAAGGCGATCAAAGTCTCAACTTTAACCTCGATTTTCTGACCAACTGTCCATCTGATAAATTATTTAATAGTCTAAATGGTCTCAGTTCTTATGTCCCTACAAATCCCACTAAGCATAAACTCTCTCAGCTCAAATGTTCGAGCCTTTGACAGCACTCTTTGCATATCTTTTGCAAGCTTAACCAGAAAAATGGTTTATTTAGCAAGATATTGGTTTATATGAGTTTATTTTGTTAAATAAGTTGTTTCTCGTGCATCTATAGCCCAAAAACCATGACTTAAATGCGTTCATTGAATTTTATTAAATTGTATTAGATTATTAATTAGTGAATAGTTAAATTAATGAAAGAATAATGATTGTAGGTGATGCCATTGTTGAAATATTGAGGATCGAAGTTTTAAGAGAGAATGGACAAGATCAAGAGAACTATTGTTAAATTGTTAAAATTATTTAATCCATAATGTGAGCCAACAATTTTTATGCAGAAATTATAAATTTCAGCTCTCTAACTTTTATGGTCCTAAAAAACGGTCGTCTTAACTGAAAATCAAACTTATCCGTTTCGCAACAAAACAGAAGTTCTATTTCTCAAAATGAATACATTTCGTGGTTTGCCATTTGAATTTTCATCGGTAAAATGAATTTTATGCAAAAATCTGCTTCCATAATGGTACAAAAAGCTTTGCAAGTTTCAACTTCGAACCAGATTTTCTCTAAGACTATCCATCGGATGAATTATTCAATATTGCCAATGGACTCAGTTTTTAATTGCCTACAAACCAACAGAGTCTGAATTTGAAAGAAATTTATTTTCACCCGTTTTTGCCTATTTGTGCATGCATGTAACAATCGATTTGATTGTGTCTTTTAGAAACACCCAGATTTGTTTTTTACCTCATCTTATAAATGGAAATACTGTTGTTGATTTTGCTCAAATTTTGCTTTGATCTTGAGTTATTTTCAGTTTTAGTTATAAAATACTATAAGATAGGTTTGGTTTGTTTATATTTTACTTAGGATTCGTCATTAGTTATCGCGAATTGATCCTAAAGTTAGTTTCCTAAGGTTTGAAAATTCCTAGCAGAGTTTGGTGGTTGGTTGATTAAAGTCAAGTGAAAACAGATAAGTATTAAATTGCTAATATTTTATTGATATTTTTTACTAAGAAATACATTGATAAAAATTTAAAACTTTCATTTGTTTGATAAAATTCGATATTGTCTATAGAATACATCGATGATTTGTCCAAATCGAACCAAAGCATCGTGTATGATATTTCTGTAGTTGGGAGTAGAATCGGTTATAAGATTGATTTTGTCATAAGTGTTTTCAAGCTCTCGATAAGAAACACTGGAAATTACTTTTACGAGGTCGTCTTTTCCAGTTGTATTGTATGTCTTAATATCATTCATAAAGATTTTGATAGAAGCAAGTGATTTGGATTTCACAAAGGTAAATGACTGAGAATCAGTGATTTTCTTTTCAAGAAGAACTGCTGGTGTATCAGGAGTCAAATTGGGAATCTTCATGAATTCGAGTTCTCGAGTGAATGTTTCAATCAGTGATGCGAATTGAGCAATGAAACCTTTGATTGTCTTATCATAAGTAGTATCACCACAAATGACTTGACTTTCATCCATCAACTGGATGTCAGATGCGAGGACAGCATAACTGTTGAGAATGACTTCACAGAGATTCACTTGTTCATCGGTGAGGCCAATTGTCGAATTGATGACCTTGATTTGTTGCATCTTGTGATTGATTCGCTCCAAAATCAAATTCTTGACCAAAGCAGGACTGTATTTCTCAGAAGCTTCAGTAAGGAATTGAACATCTTCAGTCTGAGTGTCACAGCTGACCAAATTCAAGCCTAGTTCAAAGGAGTTAAATTGGTTATTAAAATATCAAAAAATGAATTAAATCAAAATAGTTGAGACTTACCAAGACATAATAAAGCAACCAAGAAGGTTTTTGAATACATTTTTAGTTTGATTTTGTAATGAAACTTATGACAAAATATCAATCAGTAAAAGTTGAATTCGAATAGTTTATAAGCAATGAACAAGTTGTTATTTATACAAGTTTTTCCCCAACCGTAATCATTGCCATGTATGAATATTTTAGGCATGATAGCATTTATCTTGAAACTATAATTTTAATAAAAGATTGAATGCTAGGTTTGAAACAATTAACGCGAAAATGTTTTTTGTTCAATCAATTATTATATTGATGAGGTAAGATTATGCATTAATTGGGTGGAAATAATAATCAATTGGTTTCAAGTCACCATGAAATCGATACTAGCCCATTTTGGTCTGGATTATGATATTAAATTATATTAAATTTGCCTGCTTTGTATTAACTAAACTCAGTTTATTATTGTCACAATATTAGTGTAATTCACTGAATACTATTGATTCGAAGTAAAAGATGCTTTTTCGGAAAAGATGATCAGCAAAGTCTCATTTCTTTTTCTTGTGCTAGGTAAGTCCATGTTTAAGTTGATTAAACTTTTATGACGATATCCTTTTCTCAATCTATTAGGAATAGCTCTCGTTTTTGGTAAAGTTGAGGATGTTGATTTTTTGGAAGAAATCTCTCAAATTTATAGTCCACCAGTAGTTGGTCGCATGATACTCAAACGAATCGAGAGTCGCATGGATGAGGTGAAACGAGCCAATCGTTCCAGAAGTATGACTGCTGACCAACACTTTCTCAGTACATCCATTTACAATGCTTTGGACACGCTACATCACGATGTTGAATTAATGGATAAAAGTCCAGTTCTTTGGGGAAACCAAAGATTTGAAAAGGTCATCAATTTCTTTATCGGACAATTTAAACGACTCCTGAATCTGTACAACAAGCTTGTCGTACAACTGCATTGAAAGCTTTGCAATGAACAATAAATCTCAAAACATGATCCACGTAATCAATGTATCCAATAAATTTTTTATTATAAATAAATTCGAGTTATAATGCAACAACTTGAACAATTACTTTATTCAAGCTCTGAAATTTCATCATGAGCTGAAGTAAATGAATTTGGATGCAAAATGTATCAGAATACATTGCTATTATTATTATATGGTACTTTTTGACCGTAGGGTTGGCTTTAATTGTAAACGTTCCAGAAATTTGATTTCACATTAGATAGATTTGAACATCAGTTAACTAATGGCTTCGATTGCGTTCATGCTGTTCACGTAAATCATGTTGCTCCTCGTCCATAGTTGCACAAAAAGCTTTGCAACATCGAAACCGATTTCTCGAAAACGGCTCTTCAGAGAAATCTTTGAATCCCACTAATACACTCAGCTACAATGTCCCTTGCAATGAGTAAAAAAAGTTTCATGAAAAAATCTACTTCCATTGCTAGAGAAAAGGTGATCGAAGTTGTAACTTTAACCTCGATTCTCTGAGCAACTGTCCATCTGATGCATTATTTAATAGCATCAATCGACTCAGCTTTCATGTCCCTACAAAGTCCACTAAGTATTAACCCACAACTCAAATGTTCGAGCCTTTGGCAGCACTCTTTGCATCTCTTTTGCAAGCTTAACCAGAAAAATGGTTTATTATGGTTTATTAAAACTTCGACCCTCAATATTTCAACAAAGGCATCACCTACAATCATTATTCTTTCATTAATTTAACTATTCACTAATTAATAATCTAATACAATTTAATAAAATTCAATGAACGCATTTAAGTCATGGTTTTTGGGCTATAGATGCACGAGAAACAACTTATTTAACAAAATAAACTCATATAAACCAATATCTTGCTAAATAAACCATTTTTCTGGTTAAGCTTGCAAAAGATATGCAAAGAGTGCTGTCAAAGGCTCGAACATTTGAGCTGAGAGAGTTTATGCTTAGTGGGATTTGTAGGGACATAAGAACTGAGACCATTTAGACTATTAAATAATTTATCAGATGGACAGTTGGTCAGAAAATCGAGGTTAAAGTTGAGACTTTGATCGCCTTTTCTTCAGCAATGGAAGCAGATTTTTTCATGAAACTTATTCTACCAATGTAACTTTTAATGACCAACAATAAAATGATCTTATTTTGAGAAAAAACATTTTCTGTTTCTTTGAAAACAGATCAGTGCGATTTCTAGTTAAAGTGACCATATTCTGTGATCGTAAGACTGAGCAAATTGAAACTTATCATTTGTCCATAAAAATTGGTGTTTTATATCCTGGATTAAATACTTTTTTCAGTTTACAGCTAGTTCTCTTGATTTTGGCCATTGGCCTTAAAACTTTGATGCTCAATATTTCGAGAAAGGCATCACCTAAAATCATCATTCTTTGACCAAACATTAGATTTTAACATGGGCTATAATATAAAGAAACTTGTGACCATTCGAGATCCTACAAAAAAAGCTATAGCATAAGTAATTTTGAGCTTGATGTATAAAGCTGAATGGTTAATCAGACACAAATCTTATGTTTGTATTCATTATTAAATAAATTTCTCATTGCAAAACTCAGTTTTCTTTGATATTCAGTCATAGATCATGGTGAAATCTAATGTTTGGTTAAAGATTGGTTATTGTACCTAACTCCATTCACGAACTATTCAAGTTCAAAGTTTTAAGTTCAATGGCCAAAATCGAGAGAACTATTGATAAATTGAAAAAAGTATTTAATCCATGATAAGAACAAACAATTTTTACTGACTGATAATAAGTTTCAACTCGCTAACTTTTACGATCATAGAATGAGGTCACTTTAACTAAAAATCGAACTAAGCGGTTTTAATGGAAAAATAAAATGTTTACTATCAAAATAAGTCCATTTTCTGGTTGTCTATCAAAACTTACATCCTCAAACTAAGTTCCATGAAAAAATATGCTTCCATGAATGAGCAAAAAGCGATCGAAGTTGTAACTTTAACCTCGATTCTCTGAGCAACTGTCCATCTGATGCATTATTTAATAGCATCAATCGACTCAGCTTTCATGTCCCTACAAAGTCCACTAAGTATTAACCCACAACTCAAATGTTCGAGCCTTTGGCAGCACTCTTTGCATCTCTTTTGATTCTTAACCCAAAAATTGCTTTATTTACCAAGATATTGGTTGTTATAAGTTTGTTTTGTTAAATAAGTTGTTTCTCTTGCATCTATAGCCCAATAATTATGACCCGAACGCAATAATGAAGAGTTATTGAATGCAATTGACTTATTAATTAGGAAAGGATTAAACTCGTCAAAGAATGGCGATTGTAAGTGAGACCTTTCTCGAGATATCGAGGTTCAAAGTTTTGAGGCCAATTGTCAAGATCAAGAAAACCATTGTTAAATTGTTAAAATTATTCAATCCATAATGTTAGCCACCGGTTTTTATGAATAAATAATAAGTTTCAGATCGCTAACTTTTATAGTCTTAAAAAACGATCGGTTCAACTGAAAATCGAACTTATCCGTTTTGCAGAAAAATAAAAGTTCTATTTCTCAAAATGACTACATTTTATGGTTTATCATCAGAAGGTAGTTCAGTATTATAAGTTTCTTGAAAAAATCTGCTTCCATAATTGTACAAAAAGCTTTGCAAGTTTCAACTTTGAACCAGATTTTCTCTAAGACTGTCAATCGTATGAATTATTCAATAGGGCCAATAGACTCAGTTTTTGGTTCTCTACAAACCAACAGTGACTGAATTTGAGAGAAATTCATTTTTCCCCACTTGTGTACAAATGTAACAATTGATTTGATTGTGTCTTTCTAGAAACAGTCAGATTTGTTTTTTACCATCTTATAAATGGATATACGCATGTTGATCTTGTTCACATTATGATCTTGACCTTATTGATTTATTTTCAGTTTTATAATAGTGATAAAATACTCGAAGATATTTGAGGGTTGTGTTTATTTATCTTAGGATTACAAAACTTTTCCATTTTTAGTGAAAATTCTCTAAAGTTTGGTTGCAAGTTCGCTTACATCAATAATTCAGAAATTCGAGTTTGGTTGATTAAAGTTAAGTGCTAATATTTTATTGATAAATTTTACTAGAAATGAGTTAACAAAAATTTTAAACTTTCATTTGTTTGATAAAATTCGATATTGTCTGTAGAATACATCGATGATTTGTCCAAATCGAACCAAAGCATCGTGTATGATATTTCTGTAGTTGGGAGTAGAATCGGTTATAAGATTGATTTTGTCATAAGTGTTTTCAAGCTCTCGATAAGAAGCGCCGGACATTGCTTTTACGAGGTCGTCATTGCTAGTTGAATTGTATGTCTTAATATCATTCATAAAGATTTTGATAGAAGCAAGTGATTTGGATTTTAGATAATTGAATGATGGGGAATCAGTGATTTTCTTTTCGAGAAGAACTGCTGGTGTATCAGGAGTCAAATTGGGAATCTTGAGTAATTCAAATTCTCGATTGAATGTTTCAGTCAATAATGCGAAATGAGAAATGAAACCTTTGATTGTCTTATCATAAGTAGTATCACCACAAATGACTTGACTTTCATCCATCAACTGGATATCAGATGCGAGGACAGCATAACTGTTGAGAATAACTTCACAGAGATTCACTTGTTCATCGGTGAGGCCAATTGTCGAATTGATGACTTTTATCTGTTGCATCTCGTGATTGATTCGCTCCAAAATCAAATTCTTGACCAAAGCAGGACTGTATTTCTCAGAAGCCTCAGTAAGGAATTGGACATCTTCAATCTGACTGTCACAGCTGACCAAATTCAAGCCTAGTTTAAAAGAGGAATTAATTATTAAAATAGCAAAAAATGAAATGAATTAAAATAGTCTAGACTTACCAATGCATAATAAAGCAACGAAGAAAGTAACTTTCTCTATTCAATGCTGGCTAGCTCAGTATCAGGCACACCATGAGATACAACACGAATCTTCTTTAACCATTCTAGTAATGTTTTGGGTTTTTCGACGAAAATTTCCTTTAATTCTGGATTCAACAGCTTTTTCCATACCTTCAATAGTTAAAGATGCAACAAAAATTTCATATTAAGGAGTAAATAGAGATCATGTAAACATTGAGAAGCAAAGCACATGTTACAACAAAGTTGGATATCATCTTCTAAAAAACACGCTTTATAATGTAACCATTTTTGAAAATAAAATCTTCTGCACTGAAAAATATTATCATCAGTTCAATATTCTACTCCATTCCTTCAGAGATATGTTTCAATGTAATTTACATATCATTGAAGACTTTATTGGAAATTAATTACGACAATTAGTCGCTTAAAAGCACATGAAATTTTTTTATTCACATTGTTTACTATCAGCTAACTATTATCTCCACAAGATGGCTGATCCTCTGATCTGATCAATCTGATGCTGTGTTTTCGTGATTTTGTTAGTGATTGTTCATCGATTCGTTATAATAATTACAATCAAACCTGTTCTAGAGTTTTAATATTTCAATTCTCCTTCGCTCTCTTTTCCTTTCTCCCTCTCTCTATCTTTATATATCTCTCTTTCAATCTTTAATCTCTGTGATCTTTTGCATTTTTTCTCCCTCTTCTATACTCCCTCTTTCTGTCTCTATCGGTCTCACTGTGTTTACATCTTCTCTGCGATTTAGATGATGAGTGATAATTTCCAAACTTCCAACTCAATTTCATCACATCAACAAACAATTTATGTGCTACCTGGTAAACTTAAACTCCCCATTCATTTCACAGATGCAGCTGATATCTTGCAGGATGATAAAATTAAAGATGAAGTTTCGATGGAAACAGCTGAGTTTAGGTCAGAAGAGATTCAAGGAATAGAAGAGGATAAAGATGAGCAAGCTATTTGTAATATGTTGCAAATGTTGGAAGCTATACGACGCGAAAACGTGCTAAGTTTTTTGGACAAAAAGAAAGAAGAACTAGAGAATTATGCGAAAATACAGAATCTAAAAAACAAGAGTTTGGAACATAAAAAGACATTCGCCACAAAATTGCAGGAGTTGCTGATTGAAGATAAAACTGATGAAGATACAGAGATGTATAAACCAATCATCACACCATCACAGCCTGATACAACAATTAAAGATGAGAAACCGGAAAGTGAAAATTTTAAAGTGATAAAGGATGTTCAATTGAATATTGAATATAAATTGGATACTGAATGTCAACTGGACACTGAATGTCAGCCAGAAACTGAATATAAACTAGGCACTGAATGTCAACTGGACACTGAATGTCAACTGGACATTGAATTTCAGCCAGAAACTGAATGTCAACAGGACAATGAACTTAAACAGGACACTGAACATAGACAGACCGCTGAACATAAACAGGCCACTGAACCTAAACAGGCCGCTGAATGTCAACCGGACGCTGATTATCAACTGGAAACATTTTGTGTAAATTTTGAAAAATCGCTCGTGGGTTTTATTACTGAAAATAGATTCAAAGCTTATCGAAACGAGCTTCAACTTTTCATTCGGACAACAATCAATACAATATCTAGAAATTCAGTTGAAGAAGTAAAGACAAAAGCCAAACAGTTAATTTTGCTTCTGACAAAATCACCAATATATTACAAAGGGAAACAATTAGATTGTTGTCAACATCCTGATGCCCTGAATTTTTGTTTACACTTTACTGCTAAAACTTTCATTGTGAGTTTCAGAAGCGTTTAACTTGAGTCCAATATTAATTTGACATCTTTTTATTTTTGATTTAGAGCTCTGGTGTTGTTCAGGTTTCATCTGTTTCCGCTGCGGCATTTCCTATTGGTGCCACAATAGCTTTGCTTTGGTCCCATTCGCCTACATTTGGTAAACTTTTTCTTGGTCTTTTGATCCAAAAATGTCCCTATGTTAAACCAAGCTACTCGAACATCCAGCATGAGAATAACGAATCTTACTTCAAACGTTGTAGAGCTCTTTTAATGGTTTACGGTGCAGTAATCCAGGTAGGATTATCAAATAAACATCCACATGGAATACGTTTCGGATGGATTTGGTTATCAAGTAAATTACGTCAAAACCCAGATCCCTTTATTACGTCAAATATTTTAGAAGCTTTTCTGCAAATAACATCATTTAAGATGGCCAAATGTTATAAGAAGCAATTTTATAAGATTTTATTTTTTATAAAAAATGTTTACCTGCCAATGATAGCAAAAATAGTTGGAGCAGAAGGTACTAGGCAGCCTTACATCAAATTTGAATTATTTATCAAAGAGTTGATTGACAAATTTGTAAAGTTCGGATATATTAGTCAACCTGACGGATTTATCGATAGAGTTTAAATGCCAACTTAAGCTGATACAATTGTATATTTATTTTGATATTTCTGTCTTAAATGTGGACGAAAATGGGATAATTGCTCAGAATCTAAATGACTAATTACTATTGAAATTGATTATTATCGCTTGCTTTCAAATATTCCTATTTGAAAGTAAATCAACAATGTCACCAATAATGAAAAGATGGCCTGAAATCTTATTTATTGTAAATAAGTGTGTATAGTCATTTAATTAAATAGTCGCATAAATAAAAATTGTTTTACAAACGTAAATGGCTGAATCATATTCAATGATAGGGAGTTTTGTTTTTCGCTGTTTTTGCTATAATCATTATTGTTTGCAATAATAGACAAAATGTGCATCATTGATTGTGCCTATAGATGCTTATGCAAGGTTTGAACTAAATGATTGACTTTTTTTAATGCATGAGATCTGAGAATTTTGCGATGATTGATAATAAGAATGATTAATTTCGAGTATAAAAACTCTGGAGGAAGAAAGAGTGAAGATGCTTGGTGACCAATGAAAATGAGCACAGGAAAGTAGTTGATAATCAACTGAACAATTGATTAACAGGGAAAAGGTTAATAAACACGTTGTAAAGGCAAAAGCCTTAAAAAGAATACTAGTTAACCACGGCCATTGGTAGCGATTTTGGCATCTTGGTTTAAATCACATCGGTCCCAACGCCAAATGGAAGCATCATCACAAATGCAAATCAATACGGACCCGTCTTGAGAAAGGCATGTTTGGCGAATAGTTGTAGTACAATTTGGGGCTGAAAGGATAGTAAATCTGAAAAGATAGAGGATATTTTAATAATTAATTAGTAAAAAACAAAATTTGAAAGGATTTTTTCTCAAAAAATCTACTCACCTGGCATTAGCAGGGTCATCAGTGTCTAAATCCCAAACATAAGTTTTACCAACTTGATTACCTAAAGCCAAAATCTTTTGTTCCCTATCCATAGAGAATCTTATAAACCATATTTCACTGTTTTTATAATCAAATCTATGTAAAATAGTGGTAGTTTGGTCAGTTGTATAATTGACAACAGGTAATTCAAAATCATTCTCGTTCTCTATCTTTCCGGGTTTCCAACAGATAATTGCATTTTCACACGATTTGGACAAAACAAAATTACCATACCATCGAACACAGTCAACATAATTTCTATGAATGTCTCTTGTAGTGAAAGTCGGAAAGTGAAGCTTAAACGTTTTGAACGGCTTTTTACTTTTCTCCACATTAAATTCATAAGAATCTTTAATTTTAGCGGCAACTCGCTCATTGTCCAAAGACCATATTTTTAGCGAATGATCCATTCCACAACTAATGATCTTATGACCTTTCAAATGAAAATCAGCATATAATACTTCATCTCGGTGACCTTCAACTCCACCAAATATGATAATACAAATGTCTGTTTTGAGGTTCCATAACCGAAGAGAGTAATCTTTACTGGCAGAGAGCAACAGATTTGGATCGTGTGGGTGAATTTTGAGATCATTAATGGATTGTCCATGACCTTTGTAATGTTTTATACAATCATTTGTCACCGGGTCGATGACTCGAATGACCCCTTTACTTCCCGCAACGAGAAGAATGGGGTCAAGAGTAGTATCATTGTACGTCCAAGTGCAACAATAGTAATTCTCTTCAGAGTCTGGATCCGAATATGCTTGTAAAATTTTAATACTTCCATCCTCTAAACATTCATAAACTCCAACTCTATTATTACCTACAGTAGCAAATACAAAGTGACCATCCTTTTGAAGTTGAACATTCATGGAAACTCCAAAGAGAGGACCGTTGCCGGTTTCCTTAGCAGAATACGAAAGTTTATAGCTTAAACCTTTCTTAGCTTTAACCAGTTTGTTAGATCTAACACCATTCTTTTTACCTCTACCGAAAGATTTTCTCGTGGAACCACACGAATTAGCTTCACTTTCTGTACTTGTCATCTTTTTGATAACATACAGGATATTAAAAAATGATAAAAACTGGCGAATTCACAAAAAAAGAAGAACAAGAAAGCAGATTCAAAGTAAAAAAATCAACAGAACAAAACAAACAACATTGTTTATAGCTATTCGTACAGCAAATTTTGTTGAAATAACCCAGAGAAACATTTTTACCGGTTAGTTTGTTAATTCAATTCAGTTGATTATAACTGAAATCTTGGATTTAGTTTCTATAAAATAAGTGCAATTTATCGACAATCAAGAACGATTTCAAAGCTTTGATAGTTTCATAACCTATAATTCATCAACCTTTTCATGTTAATCGTTTATGACTCCTTCAAGAATCATTGATGTCTAGCCAATTGTGATCATAAACAAAAACATTTTGTTATATTGCCATTTTATCTTCAAATCGCGATCGACATCTCTCAATTTGTTACAACTAATATACTTGCTCAACAAACGTAACCCACACTTGTATTGATTAAATTACGCTAAAAATAAAGTCATTAAGTTATCCATAAAGAGCAATAACCGGTTAGCTGGTTACTTTTTTAACCGACTATAGACGAATTTGATTGTCATTTTGCTCAATTAACAGTCTCGATTAACCAAACCTAGAATCAGTGATTTCAATAAAAAAAATGATTGTACATTTAGCTGATTAAAACATTCAATATTGAATATTTGTTTAGCCAATCTGTAAGCAAATCTCTAATGGTAAAAAATTGTCTAGTCAATATTAGTGCCTATAAATAGTTGAATTAAGATGTAAAAGTTATCACAAGTATCTGTCAATTTTGAGGATAAACGAGAGCAAACATGTCAATCCATTTCGATAAATGTTATTAAATAAAATGTCTTCAACATTTCCTTGCCTATTCCAACGCTTTACCGGTAAAAACATCACAACGTGAACAAAAATGTATTTCAAACATTCGAGATGCATGAAGATGACTTGACCCAACTGCTAGTTGAATTTAGATTTATTAATGATCTTTAACGTTTCATAAAATTACTGTTGAGTTATAAGATTATGATTCTGGTTAATTAGGCTGAAAAAACCGCTGAAAAGTAATGTGTTTACAGTTGCCTGGTTACTCATTTTTTCTCTGTTGCTTTTACTCACTCACAAGTACTCAGGGAGTATTTTTGCCTTTCCTCTCTTTCTGATGGTCTCTCTCTTGAAATTGCAATTTTAGTCTCCCTTTTGAGTATCATCATTTTGAAATAATAAAACATTATGTCCAATTGAATTGTTCACCTCTAACTGTGATTTATTTGATATGATTAATTTTTCTAATTAAAAGAGACTGTTTTCATTAAGGCACCCCTCATTTGTATGTGGCAACTGTGAATTAAGACAATTTAAAATAGTGTTTGGATTAACATGGCGGAACCAAGGCTGATAGACATCAAGAGCTCATCGACAGCTGAAGAAGACTCAGAGGATGAATCTGAGGTCTTGGAAGAAAGCCCTTGTGGTAGATGGTTGAAGAGAAGAGAAGAAGTAAGTGTCCATTAATTTAGCATCATCAAAAATTATCAATATTTCGTCTGGATTAGTATACATTCACTTTTATGCATATGAATCTATTCTTTACCTCATTAAATCAATTTTCATTTTTTTCTTTCTTCTTCTCTTTCTTTTCTCTCTTCCTCTCTTTCTTGTTCTCTTTCTCTTCCGTTTTCCTTCTCTTTCGCTTTTGCTTCTATTTTTCTTCGCTTTCTATTACTTCTATTAATATTATCATTCTAATCTTCCTTCCTATCTCTGTCTCTTTTTCTATCCCATCGTTATCATCTCTTACTCGTCTCTTTACCCGTTTAAATCTCACCCACTCGTGATGATGGCAATAACATGGTAACATGAAGGTAGAACAGCGAGACATACCTGGTATAGAGGCAACATACCTGGCTATGGATACTGAAGAGGGTGTAGAAGTCGTCTGGAATGAAGTTAGATTTTCAGAGAGAAAATATTTCAAAGCTCGTGAAGAAAAGATTAGTCAAATTTTTAATCGCTTAATACAGTTGGATCATCCTAATATTGTAAAGTTGCATAAATATTGGATGGACAAAGATGTTGATAAACCTAGAGTGATATTTATTACGGAATATAATTCAAGTGGATCGCTCAAACAGTTTCTCAAGAAAACCAAACGGAACCAAATTAAAATGGCTTTACCCGTTAGTTGATTATTTGACTATTTGTCTATTTTTTATGCTTGATTCCTTTCTGAAAACTGCATCGAGTTCTCTTCATTAACTTTCGCTTAATTGCTATTTACACAATGTCGTTGTTTTCTTTGTTTACTTTTCTTTTCTTCTTTTACAAAGTATTTTTTTAAGTAAACAAAGAAAAATTACGTAAGTTCATTACTGAGAACTCGAAGCGTAATATGCCTTGTTTTGCAGGTAATCAGAAAGTGCTTAAATTTAATATCAATTTCCTTATTAACATAATTTGAGTTAATGTTTATGTTTTTTTTATCTATATTTCTAGGCCTGGAAACGTTGGTGTACCCAAATTTTGTCTGCATTATGTTATCTTCATTCATCTCAGCCTCCTATAATTCACGCCAATTTAACTTGCGACACAATTTTTCTCAGTCACAATGGTCTAATCAAAATCGGTGCTGTGGCTCCAGACGCAATACATCGGCATATCAAAACCGTTCGGGAGCAAACTATGGCAAATTTATATTTTGTAGCCCCTGAGTTAGGAGAGATTACCGGTGAAACATCTACAGCATTAACACCAGCAGTTGATATTTATTCTTTTGGTATGTGTGCCCTGGAAATGGCAGCTTTAGAGATATCAAACAATAATGGGGAAAGTAGTAGTTCTTCTGCACAAGTGACTGAAGAAGCAATAAACCGGACAATCGATTCTCTGGAAAATCCTTTACAAGCTGATTTTATAAGACAATGTTTACGTAAAAATCGATTAGAACGACCCACATCGAAACAACTTTTATTTCATCCTGTTATTTTTGAAGTTCCATCCCTTAGATTATTGGCTGCTCATGTAATTGTCGATACACCCTCATACCAACCTGAACAACTCACAGAAGAAGCTTTGCAAAGATTTCTACAATCTCAATCAGCTGATAATGTTTTAGCCGAAATAATTCATAAAGATGGACGTCCTGGTACGTCTATAAAGTGCTGTGATGCTCCCAGAGCGGAAATGGAAAAATTTTTTGAAGAAGTTCGAAACGGGGCTTATCCGTTAACCGCTATCATTCCTACTTCCCGTCCACCCATAATTACAAGACAGAGCACAACTTCACCGATAGGAGAAGAATCGCTTAAACCAAATTCACCGGAAAATATGTATGATGAAGAGAATCGCAGAATATTGAACATGATGTGCGACATTAAATCTATTCCTGAAGGTGAAGCTCTTCTTGTGCTTAAATTAACCCTCTTGTTAACCATGGATGACAGAATGAACCGTCAACTGTCATGTGAAATAACGGAACAAGATTCTCCCCATTCTTTAGCTAAAGAGCTTGTTGAATTTGGTTTTATACACCAGGTAAATTCATTTTCAATTCAACTCCCCATGACCAACCTAAGTAAATAATCTTTCCAATAACAAAATAGCCATAACCACATATTTAAACCCTTTTTGTTTAGTCGCCTTTGTCATAAAATTTTTATTTCCTCAAATTGAAATATCAGTAGTATTAACCATTATGTGTTAGCCACGTTATGTCTGCTTTAGACTCTGTTATACTAAATGATCCTAAAATACAGTTTACTCAACTAACACATTACGCCTTCATCATTTTCTGCTCTTTCTTCCTTTCTTTCAGTTCTTTCTTTCCATCCTCTTCTTATTCATTTAAAATTACCCTTCATCAGCTTGTCTTGTCTTGTCTGTGCTTGTTTTCTTTTGATCCTTCTCTCTCATTACTCATCAGTTCCCTTACTTCCCCTCTTCCTTTTACCCTCAATTCTGTTCTAAATGAACAATTTATCAAATATTTTGGATAACTGAACCTGTTTTCATAATAGGATGATTGTGATATGGTTGCAACCTTGATTGCTGATACGATCAGCAGAAGCAGGTTAACTTCCGATCCAACGTTGTCAACCACCGCTACTACGGCACATACTCAAGCAATTTCTGTATAAAATGTTTTTTGGGATCAAAGTTCGAAGTATCTTTTTTTGGTCGGTCCCAAGATGCAGATGAAAGTTTGGATCAACAAACGAAACACGAGAGACGGTAACAAGTTTGGATTCATGAAGCATCTTAATGAAGGAGACGATATCAAACCAAATCGTCTCTTGAAGAAGATAAAATTCTATCACTCACTCTTATTTCACTTTTTGTTTAAAGTAATTCAAATTTTTGGATTTACCTAAATAAACATCAGTTGAGTGATAGAGAGCTAAGGACAGCAAGATAAAAACAAACTTTTTTACTTATACTCTTCATGCTTTCCCTTTTACATTCAAAATTTAATAATCGCACCCTCAACCAAAAGAAAAGTCATCCAAAAAGCTCGATTCAGTCTGTTGAAGTCTGGACGGAAAGCAAAGATTTGGACGCTCATCAATTACAAACAAAGCAAACAAAAGGGAGGAAAGGACTGGACCAAGAAGATGGACTTACAAAACCCATTCACTTCGTTTTTCGCATCGTTTTTATATCTCGATGATTATTTCTCAGAGGGAAAGTGTTTGCAAAGCAAATCCAAGTGCAAGCTAAAATTATCAAGATGATGTCGGAGCCAAGAGAGCCAACAATTGTGAATTAAGCCATAGCTTCCAGACTTAAAGTAATAGTCTCTTTTTCTTCGCTAATTTTTTGCGTAAATTGACTCTTCCTTGACCTCATCTTTGAATATAAAGATGACGAGAAAATAAAGGGAAACAGAATTGGCCTTGCTAAACTGTCCTAAAATGCTACCAACTTCAATATTAAGAATGATTTGCATGCTACTTGAGATGATAATGATAATGATTATGATGGTGATGATGATAACGATGAAATGTTGATAAATGTGATGAAAGTGACTTTATTATTAATTATGAAGTTGTTTACTTTTTATTTCCCCGTTAATAGTATATTTAATGTTATTGATGATGACGAGGACGGTAAATTTGATAACAATTATCACAGAGACAAAAGCATAAGAAAGAGAAAGAGAAAAATTTAAATCGATTCGGAAGCAAACAATTTACCGTGACGATTTTTTGTATAAATTTTAAATGCCAAAATACACGGGAAACAATTTAAAGTGAGACTCTTACCAAGGTCAAAGTCAATTTTCCCATTCACAATCACTTTATTATTAAAAAATGAATCTCTAATTGTCATTGAATTAGAGTCATAAATATAAGTGATTGTCTGTATAAAAATGCAAAGTATCGCGCTGTAACCTAATTGTTCAATATCTCACTGATCAACCAACTAATATGCGCATCATTTATAGATAACCGAATCAAAAACCAGTTGCAATTAGTCGTTAACCACTTCTCTTAAACCAATCTAACGGACTTGGCAAGCCAAGTTTCAAAGCGATCATTCAATTTTCATTTTTGTAAAAATGGGTCCTTTTTTGGGCCATTTCCATCTCGAGCTTATTTTACATTTTATTTCCATTTAAAAATCATTTTAATCAAGATCTCAATTTCATTTGTTGAAAATCTCCATTTTGTTCCTTAACTTTTTTACCCTTTTTTTCAACAGCCAAGTTTCAAGCCATGTTCAACATTAAACAGCTATAATTGTCAACCTTCTATGACGTAATTTTGAAAAAATGTTCAATTACATCTACTTTTGGCTTTCATCGCCATCGCAATTGTACTACATGGCAACAAATGGATTAAGGACGTAATGAAATTGAATTGATGAAGACAGATTGGCAAATTGTAAAGGACAATCAACACAAAGAGTTGATCATTTTTAAACGGTTGAATTGTATTCCTGTTATTTATCATTGTTGATCTAATAATTACGGTTACGGATTGTAGAACTCTTTCATCTTGTTTTTATACTTGAAATACACTTTTAAATATGAATAACGACGATTCTTTCTAATTCAATTAATTATGTCAGAGATACATTTTTTCATCTTTTTTTATTTTTTTGTTTTTTTTCAATAATAGAAGAGCAAAAATCAAAACAGCCAAAAACAAAAAATATATATATATTTAGTTATTGTTAATAATAATATTATAGTTGGTGTCAAAATGAACCATTTCCACTCTTCAAGTTCGTTAAGATGAAAATTTCAAACTAGCAACATTCAATAGAGATAATTTCCAAATTTTGTTCAACCTTTGAATTTCGATGTTTTATGCAATTTTTCATCAACCCATCTTTAGCTTACAATTGAGCTTTTTTGTCCCACTTTTCGACTTTGTCACCTTACCGAAAATTGGCCTGAGTTTAGAGATTTTCAAAGGTTGATCAAACTAAACTTGGAAATTTTCTGTTGAATGGTGCGAGTTTGAGATTTTTATCTTAACGAACTCAAAAGTGTAAATGGTTCATTACGACACCCAGTATAAGTATGTGTTGCTTTCATTTCAACTTTCACTCATTGCTATCGTTAAGTGTTTTGCTAACTGAACCACAGTCACTCCTCTCATTATCTTCATCAGTTCAATTCACATTTATCACACTTAACATATTTTGATTTTTTTTGACAATTTTTCTCTTCCATCTATTATTAATCTCTTTTGTACATTCCTCCTCGTCGTACCAGCTTGCAAATACATTCATTGTTATTATGTGTACATTAACTCGGCCATGTAAGACATTTTTCGAGGAATATACAGTTGAACATCCAAGTATGCGGCCAATTCTTCGACGGAAACATCAGGCTCAACTGGCAATCCATCTTCATATTTGGTGTTTTGATCACTAGATTGGTTAAGGTGATGATTGCTATCAATTTGGTGATGGTGATGACGATTATGTTGATGGTGGTAACTATCAGTTGATTGGCCTTCACGAATTGTTAAATCTCTGTATTTGCCCATGGAATAGCAAGATGAAGGAGAAGTTGAGGAGGACGAAGACAAAGAGGAGGCTGCTGATGAAGGGGGAGAAACAGGGGAATCCAAGGAAAATCTGAGGTTTTGTTCTTCTTGTTGATGCTGGTTAGGTTGATAACTTTTTTTAACTCTTCTGGTTCCAACTTTCATCCGTTCAAAAGCTTTCTCAATTTGAGAACAGTTATCATCAACTTGAACATTATCTCCTTCCATTTTTATATTTACTTTTTTTCTAATTATCTTTATCAAGCCATTAAGACATGAAAAAGTACAATAACATCAATTAGACTTGATTGTAACAGAATAGAGGCAAAAGTCACATGAAACCAAAAGTTATCGCATTAAGAAAGATACCTTTTTGTTTTTAAACCACCAAGCACAGAGTAAAGATGTAGCACAATTCAATTTCAATTAATATAAATTTCACTTAAAGAAAGAGAGTGAGAATAATAACAATATTAACTCGAGTTAAATCAATTACAACAATAATACAATGAAAAACAAAAAATTTCAGCTTTATTGGTCATATGATTTAGGGCGCCTCCTTTTGGAAGAAAAGACAAAAAACTGCATTAAGCTGAGAAAAGGCGCTCAGTATAAATTGTTGATAGGCTATTGAACAGCGAATGAAAACACCAAAGAATTGCTGGATTCATGGAAAAATTCAGAGTTGAAAATATTTAACTTGATAAAGTTGAAGTTAATAAAGTTGATGAAGAAATAATTAAAGAAAAAATAGTTGATAGTAGACCATTTATAACAGTTTACCAGAAATAAATATAAACCTACTTTAGTTGAATATTTAAAAGCAATGACAATAAATGATTACAATTCATATGTTTATGAGACAAGAAGTCTTTGAAGGAAAGGGAAAAGATAATATTAAAAAATGTTAATCACAACCATGTTATCGTCATAAACTCCAGAATTGAATCTCAATTTTTAGGTTTATCCAGAACAATTGGTATTTGTTTTAACACAATTTAAATCCTTTACTCTTTGGTTGAAACTATCCATTTACATTGAGTGAAATGATTAGAAAATTGAATAAGACAAATAGTTTATTCTGCAACCAATAGATAGAGCAAGTAAAGCAGAGTTAGAAACGATTTCGATTCGATTAATGTATTCGTTTTAATGATTGTTTCATCCTATTCTGAACAAAAAACCATCCATCGATAGTAGAGAGTCTGACCTGACAAAGTCTCTCTTCCTTATCATCATCATTCCTGCTCTCTTATTCCCAAAGACATTGAAAAGAGACACAAGAAAGTTGTTGTTTTGGTATACAACAAGCAAACATTCAATAAAGTCACCAACATTTTCCCTCTTCAATCTTTCTGTTACGTCCATAAAGTAACTAATTTTACTTTTCATTTTTCGTTTTCTTTTCTAATCCAACTCCTGATTCTTGCCAGAATCATCAAACCTCTCTATTACCTTAACCATTAGTCCAGTTAATCTTCATCACCAACCTAATCTCGACAATATTTAAAACATCATAAACTCACCTAAATATATTCAAATGTTGCTGTATATCTTAACATAATTTTGTCTGTTCTTTCAACTTGCTTACAATCAAAGTCTTACTTTCCCAGTAACATTAATTTACCTTTCAAGGTATATAAATTACAACACCTGAAGACACCCAAATAAACCCAAACACAACTAAACTCATCTCACAAATAACCTGACTTTGTAACATTTGTATAGTCACGGTAAATTGTTTGCTGTTACAACAAAGCTGAACCCAAAAAAAAGGTGAAACATTTTCAACCAATTTGTCATTTGGTTTCCCACTTCAACCAATCGTCATCTTTTTACCATTGGATTGTTTAATCATTTGGGTTAACCGAGTGACTAAATAAGTGAATTACCATTATCTTTACATCAACTGCCAATGAGAACGATTAAATGGTAAGTTTTAATCTCATTTTAAAACGGTTAATCCAAAGGCCTGGACAAATTTCAGTTATTAATCAATTCTTCACTTCACTCAACCTGTCAACACTTTCAAGTCTCTAACCTTAATATTATACCATTTTTGTTCAACTTCACGTTCATTTTTAATATTATGACTTGTTTCAATCTTGATTACACTCGATGGAAAATCCTTGAGACATGATTTGTCTTCATTTTGACATTCAATAATAGATTCTGTTCAACTCTATGGAAGCATAAAAATTTTTTGACATAAAAGGAAAGAAAAGAAACGAACAAAAAAATCAGCTGAAAATATCAATGTTGTCACAATTTCTTATCAATTGTTAAGTTTACCATTTTTTCCATAAATTTAAAGTACATTCAATTTACGATTATATATTCTCATCATGAACCATTATTCAAATTTTCCCCTGAAAACACATGTTTAACTAACCTTTCCTCCAATCCTTTAGCCAAGATTTTTCCAACAATTGAACAAATATGAATAAATGAAACAATTAAATGTGTGTTTTCCCTCCAAATTGGCCAAAATTTTCACTCCATGAAACTCAATGATTACTGAATAATATTCAAACTTGCGCACACAAAAAGCAAACTTACCCAAAGAGGAAGAAGAGAAGAAGAAAAAAATTGATATAAAATGAAATGTTGATTCACTTTTCAACTTTACATTTACCTTAATAATAGTTTCATCAAGTTGAATCTGATAAGATGAATGCATACAATGAACATTTTTCAACATTATCATTAGCTTGCCAGAACACTAAGTATATCCATTTAATGTACATCATGAACTCGCATTGAGTATAATTAATGGTCAAAATTACATATTAAAATCTTTACATTTTTTCAGCCTGTAAATAAATTGTTGGGTTTACAACTAAATATTATCTGGGAAAAGCAAAGGGAGAAAAAGTTGAGATGAAAATTGAACATTATAATGATGATAAAAGGATTGCTATTAGAGCTGATTAAGTGTAATGATGAAAGTTGAATATGACCAGAGTAAAAAAAGAAGAAACGAGAGTAAAAGACTGAGTGTTTCATGGTGATGAACTTGAATGAAGATGTTGACTTGGAATGCAATAAGAAAGTTGAAATGTTGGAATGAAAGTGATAAACGGAAGTGTTATTGAGATGAAGAGGAAAAAGATGTTGAGATGAAGAAGGAAAAGGAGGAGACAAGAATAGGGATAAAAAAGGATGAGAAAAGAAGTGAAAGGCTAAAATATTTCAGGTCACATCCATTATGATGTTGAGGTCAGCAGATGATTGTTAAGATTAATCGAGTCTCATCAGATTAACCATTACTTTCTCACTTTTTTTTCATATTACATTTGTTGTTACTTTTTTGTTGCCCTCACACAATCTGTAAAGCTACAGATTCAATCCTTGTGTGTTCATCACACGATAAACATGAACAGTTAAAAAATGTATCTCATTTGATGATGATATCTCAGCAAAAATTTATCCTCAACTTTCCTTCATCAGAGCAAAGTTGATTGATTCATGAAGATTGTCAGATTGATCTCGATCATTGTTGCTGGTCAAGAATGTTATAGCATTTATATCGATATTTCATATCACAGTGAAATCAGTTTGAATTGAGACGCTTTTCAAACTGTTTGGTTAAGCTGATTAGAGTTTCCCTTTGGAAGAGCATTTCTTGCCTGAATTTTCATCAAGAAAATTTTAAAGACGTTTCAAAATGTTTCAGATTTTGTTTAACACGATGGACGAGATGAGATAAGCTGGTGTTGGCTCAATGAGTAGACATATTGATCAATGATAACTCTTTTGAAAACCAATTGAATGTAAAGAAGTTTTGAATCAATTTCTCAGGATGAATTGAAAATTTCATGTAAAATGTTTTACAATGTACTTTAGAGGCCATTTGAAAGTCATCTCATATTGACTTTTGATATAATTATATAAATGATGAATCAAAGTTATCGACTTGAAGCAAGAATCACAATTTCCTGTCGACTCGATAATGAGACAGAAATTTTTCAATTTCGAAATTCAATTCATGAAAATCTTTCTAATTACAAACTAATTTCTGTATCATAATTTAAAATCATTTGAGTAAAATGAGTTTTCTGTATCTTTCAGCCAACCTTACAATTTGAATTGTGAAAAAGGATTAGAAAATTTGTTTGCAAATATTGACTTTCGTCTGTTTCCATCAAACTGTAAAGGTCTTGAAAAAAGGAACCTCAAAAAGGGTAGAACCTTTTCTAATCAATTTAATCAAATTGTTGTAATCATTAAGATGCATTACCGAGACAAAAAATACCATAATTAAACAGATTGAAGATGCGAATAAGGATGATGCTGATGAGGAGAGGATAAAGAAAAGGGTAAACTTTTCTTGAAAATTGATACAAACTTTTGTTCGCATAAAAGATCAATTTCACTTACAATTTGTTGAAGGAAAAGACGAAGAAGAAGAAGAAGAAGAAAGAAGATGGCGAAGAAAATCTTTACACAATTAATAGTTTTTCATCCTCAATGTTTAACCCTAATTAAGCTATAAATTATTGGATAACAATTTAACCCAAGCCATACTCATCCTGACTGTCTGTTTGTTTTGTACTTGCTTACTTCATCTCATTTATCTGCTTCTTTTGCATTGCCTAAAGGTTATCTTTTCACATTTACTTTGACTAAACAGTGAAACGCTTTCTTCCTTTTTGTTGTTGTTGCTTCCTTATCATCCCATTCATCCAAGACGCTTTCCCTGACATAATCTTTCAAGTTAACCCTTCATGCCATCCTCATCCTCATCATCCAACAGTAAATATCAAACAATTGTTTGAAGTGATGCTAAAAGAAAAGTTAAGTTGAATGTAATACGCTTTCAAAGACGATTTATCATTTTACATTTACCCATAAAAAGGGAAACTGATTGTTTGTATATCGATTTTTTTCTTTGCTGGTGTCTACAAACAAATATTACAATAAATGTATTACCAAAGGTAAAGGGTTAAACATAGTCAAGTGTCGGTAAAGTCTTGAAACAGTAAAAGGCAAATGATGAAAGTCACAAGATTAAGAGTAGACTGAATCAGGATTTGAATCAATTTTGTTGCCATTTTTACCATTCCTTAAAAAGTCATCCAACAACAGTTATTTATTACTCTTGTTATTTCTCATGAAATGGATAGATTAATATTTTGTTTTCAACCGAGTTTTTTCTTCTTCTTCTTCTTCTTTACTCCATTCCTTAACCTTTCCTTTTCAATGATTAACTTTTGATTATCAGTTGTACCTTTTCTGTTTTCTTCCTCCTCTCGGTGACTGCTACTTTCTTTCCCTGTAATTGATTGATTCAATTCAATTAGACTCTTTGATTACATGATGGTTTGAAGTTGCAGAGAAACAGAGAAAGGTGAAACTTTTTTCTTCTTCTCTCATCTTTTCGTCCTTTTTCGTCTTCAGTCAAATCTGTCTAATCTGTTTAATTGTGCTGATGTAAGTGTTGAGACGATGAGATTCAATGAAAAGGCGTTAACTGTCCCATTACGATGCAACCATTTCAACGTATTCAATGGTCATCCTTATTTGCTGATTCAATT